ATAGGTGTACAGTTGAAATAAAAATCATTAATAAATAACTAATTAATAATGCAAGAATAAGCTATGTGTTTCATATACTCACAACTGTAAATCTAGGTTTGCCCACCCCTGTATGTCAATTATACCTCAATAAAGCCGGAAAAGAATAATAAATGTTCTCCAGTTTAAAATGGCAGCTTTGCCCTGGCTGGTGTAGCTCAGTGGATTGAGCGCGGGCCTGAGAACCAGACAATCTCAGTTCGGTTCCCAGTCAGGGCACATGCCTGGGTTGCAGGCCAGTTCCCAGCAGGGGATGCACAAAAGGCAACCATACATTGATGTTTCTCTCTCTCTCTCCTTCTCTTCCCCTCTAAAGGTAAATAAATTTTTAAAAAATTAAAAATAAATAAATAAAATGGCAGCTTTGATGAATATAAAAATTATTTGTATTTTTATATTTATAGGTGTAAGTAGCCTGTGAACCCTCTATGACCCAGAAATTTCACTTCTTAGAAATTCAGTATTCAGCCCTGGCTGGTGTAGCTCAGTGGATTGAGTGCAGGCCTGCGAACCACACGATCATGGTCACATGCCTGGGTTGCAGGCCAGTCCCCAGCGGGGGGCTCACGAGAAGCAACCACACATTGATATTTCTCTCCCTCTCTTCTTCCCTTCCTCTCTAAAGATAAATAAATAAAATCTTTAAAATATATACCTATTTTAAGAAAAAGAAATTCAGTATTCAGGCACATGGAAATAAGGAGACAAGTACGAGGATGTTCAAAAAAAACAGTGTTGTTCACCTTAGGAGAAATTGAGAAACAAAACCAGCCACTGGTGAAATGGATACACTGTGATATATTCATACATTTACATCCTGTAAGGCAGGAGAAAATAAATGAATGGTTCACACACACTTAACACTGGTACATTCTGAAGAACATGATAGGAAGCAAAAGAAAAAAGTCTTAGAAGGATCTCTTCAGTCTAATTCAAAACCAGGGAAAACTAAACACATCTCTTAGGAGAACATCAGTAGGTACAGCAGTGGGGGAGGAAGTCATGGGGAATAATTAACACAAAATTCACTTCATTTGGTAAATATGGAGGGTGGAGAGGGCATGCAGCTGGGACTGGGAGGCAGAGCCTACAAAAAAAAACCCTTATAATGTCTATTTCTCTTAAATATTAAACTTATTGAGGTGACATTTGTTAATAAAATTATATATGTTTCTGGGGTACAGTCCTATAATATATCCTCTGTATATTGCATTGTATGTTCACCACCCAGAGTCTAGTCTTTTTCCATCACCATATATTTGAATCTGCTCTACAGTGACTATTTCTTTAATCCTCACCCGAACACATCAACTATTTCTTCATTTAGGTTCTGCACCAGAGATAGTGTGTTCTGAGTGTGTTTATTCCTTAAGTGTTCCATTACGTTGTCTACATTTTGAGAAGACTCTTGGTAGAAGGAGAATGGCAGAGGAGTGAATGGGATGTCACGCTTAACCTCTTCCCAGGGCCAGTCTGGAATTACAACTCAATTGTGGAGAAACCACGTGGAACAAACAACTGAGCAATAGTGAGAAAAAAAGCCTTGTATCCTTATAACCAGAATAATCAGCCTTGGCCCAACCTATCTGCCTCTGCCCAACAGCACAGGAGACATGGTGGGCGGAGTGACCCTCAGTCAACCAGCTGGAGGGAAGGACCCACTGAAGACAGACCCAACAACAATCGAAATCCAATTACATCCAGAGAACCAACATAAATGGCAAAAAAAAGACATCCCAAGAGCATCTAGTTCAGGTGATCAAGGAGAATAACAGTCCTTCACTCAGAGAATTCCTATAAAGAGAGAGCGAATGTATAACAAGACCAGGATCGTTTCTGCACGATGAAGTTCTCACAGAAGTTCAGAGAGGAGTGCAGGGAGTGGGGAGCCCCAAGGCAGAGTGAAAACCACCCCGAAACACGTGAGCCATGATGCTATACATACTCCCAATGACATCGCCGACAGACAGTCTCTGGGTTCCTCTCCTGAGCGACAGAAGAATGTTCACGGCCCGACATCATTTCGGATCTAAGAGGGAGTCCATCATTTAGACGAACTTCATAATTGCTAGGGTGGTCGTGATGCTAGGAAAGAATTCACAAAGACAAGGAAGTGCAGAGAATCAAGTTTTATTCACTCAGCAAGAAAGGGGAGGGGTGTGGTGGGGAAATGAGGAGTGGGGGCTTTGGGTTTTTGCTGGACTATGATTGGATTTAAAAAGGGTGGAGGAGGTGCTGTTGTGTGGTCTGAGGATTGTTGGCTATAACCGCAGGCTGCAGTCTGTTCAGATGTTATCTTCCCCCTGTGGCTATAGGGAGAGGCTAGTTCTGTTCTTGCTTTCCGGTAATTTCCAGTACTGGGGACACAGGCTCAGAAGAGTAAAATGACCATCACCTTTGACAAGGTCACATGCCTGCTAGGCAAATGGGGCTGACTTTATCCTTTCGATAATCACTTAGACACAGAAGGAAGTCAGCACCACTTCCCAAACAGTCAGTTTGGTGAGCCAGCAGGAATTTTCTAGCAGACAGAAGCCCTGGGAAAATCCAAAATCGGTATCTCAGTCTGAAATATCTACCCTGGTAGGACTCCAGGGTCAAAGAGCTAGACCACACCCAAGGTGGGAACATTTAAAAAAAAAAAAAAAGAGGAATTTGTTTCACCTATCCTTGGGCCTAGTCTTGGGCCTAGTCCCCTGGAGCCAATGGGAAGGGAATGATTCATTGGCCAATCAGGTGTCCATGAAGCCTATTTCTTCCCAGTTCCAGCCGCCACTCATTAAGGACCCACCAGGAAGACTTGAAGCGGTGAGTCAGCAGGTCCTGCCCCTGGGTCTCAATTTTATCCGTTAATATTTTCTTTGTCACTCAAGTCTTCATTTTCTCCCCTTTGTCCTGCCTCCTTTCTTGACCTCCCAGAGAGGTGTCCTTGTGTCCTTCACCATGGCCCTGACATGTGACTTTTTAACAGGTTACATTTCAGTTAAAAGACTACTGCTGTGATGGTGTTCGCCATGTGGGCCTCAAGACTCTCTAGTGCAGAACTATGGACTATACCCTGGCCAGGTAGCTCAGTTGGTTAGAGCATCCACCTGATAGGTCAGGTTTCATGCGAGTTTAGTTCTGGTCAGGGCACATACAAGAATTAATGAATGAATGCATAAATACGTGGAACAACAAGTTGGTGTTTCTCACTCTCTTTTCCTCTCTTTCCTTCCCTCTCTCTCTGCCCCATCCAACACTAGCCCAGAAAGGCTGCTCCTACTCCACTTAGCTGGCTTTTTTCTACTCTAAACTGGTAGACCAGATGAACTGTATATGCTTGTAAATTCTATATTGGCTCAAAGGGTGGGGTGTCTCAAATACACAGGAAGACATTAATGCACAAAAGGAATCAGGAGGATGGGAGAACTTGGAGCTTAGGGATGAGGTTTTTTTAAACATTTTAAAAAAGATTTTACTTATTTATCTTTAGAAGAGGAGGGAAGGAGAGAGGGAGAGAAATAGCAATGTGTGGTTGCCTCTTGTGCATCCCCTGCTGGGATCTGGCCTGCAATCCAGGCATGTGTCCTGACTGGGAATCAACCACAATTCTTTGATTCGCAAGCCCGCACTCAGGGATGAGTATTTTTTTTTTTTAATTAGATTCCTTCCTCTTGAGACTAACAGGAGAACACAGAGATGAGATCCAGAGACATTACCCCAAGAACATTAGGTTTAATCTATTTGGCTGCCTTAAGCTTGTTGTCAGACTTCAGACAGAAAGTTCTTTGATAACCATAATTCTCAGGAGTGATAGATAAAGAATTTGCTTAGTTTTGTGACACTTATTTAGACTATGACATAAATGTATGCAGAGAGAATATCTCTCCCCCCATCAATGAGATGGTCTTTATGGGTTGAAATGTGTCCCCATTAAAAACTGCACATACATGAAAGGCCTATAACTATAACCCTCAGTACCTCAGAATGTGATCTTGTTTGGAAATAAGGTTGTTGTCAATGTAATTAGGTCAGATGAGGGGCTGCTGGAGTAGGAGGTTGCCCTAATTCAGGGTAACTGGTGTCCTTTCAAGAAGAAAGCCACCCAAAGGCAGAGACACAGGAAAATGTTGGGTGGGGATGGGGGAATGATGGGAGTTATTCAGCTCCAAGCCAAGAAATGCCAGCAAACCACCAGAAACTGGAAAGCAGCAAGCAAGGACTCTGAGTTCAGGGATGCCTTTATCTTTGGACTTCTAGCCTCTAGTACTGCAAGACAACACATTTCTATTGTTTCAAGCTACTCGGTTTTGATACAGCCCAAAGAAACTACTAGATTAGTCACCCCCCCATTTAAAATTTGTTTTTTTAACTTTTTTTAAATTTTATTTATTTCTAGAGAGAGGGGAAGGGAGGGAGAAAAGGGAGAAAAACAGCAATATGTGGTTGCCTCTCAAGCGTCCCCCACTGGAGCAGACCTGGCCTGCAACCCAGGCATGTGCGTTGATGGGGAATCAAACTGGTGAGCCTTTGCTTTGCAGTCTAGTGCTCAATTCACTGGGCTATGCCAGCCAGGGCTAAATTTTTATTTTTATTTTTAATTGAATTTATTGGGATAATAATTAATAAAATTATATAGATTTCGGGCATACAATTCTATACTATATCCACTTGGATACTTTTCATTATGTGGCTCCACCAGCCATCAGCGGAGTTGGGGTTAGCAGTAATTTGTGGGGGGATTATTTCTTAATCATCCGGAACTTTATTTCAGATGTCCTTTTTTAATGGGAAGGTAAGAACAGATGAGTCTGTTCTAAAAAACTTCCTGCCCTCATCATCATGCCCTCAAAACTAGCAAGGTATTGAGTTTCCTCAATCGAATGATTTTCAAATAATGTGGTTCTTCTCTGAATTTTACCCAGGTTTCATTTATTCTTTGTTCCTCTCTGAAGACCATCATCTCTGACCTGGTCACGATGGCCACATCTTTCTTTTCTGAGTTTGGCCTCATGTGGTACCTGGGGGAGCTCAGAAGGAACGAGTTCCGTAAATTTAAGGAACTCCTGAAGGAAACATCTGTTCAGCTTGGACTCCAGCAAATGCCCTGGGCTGATGTGAAGAAAGGGACTCGAGAACACCTGGCAAACCTACTGGCCAAACATTATGGGGAAGAACAAGCCTGGGACGTGACCTTCCTCATCTTTCAGAAGATCAATAGAAAGGATCTCTGCGAAAAGGCCAAGAAGGAGATTACTGGTGAGAGGGGTCTGGGATCAGTGGATGGGGACAGGGCTTCTTGTCTTGAGGATTATGTCTCAATTTTGATAAATGGTCTCCATCTACCTCCTCCATCTTCACAGCAGGGTGAGAATGTGCTATAAGACAGAGTTAGTAGATAGAAGATAGTGGTTCCATGTGGTAAATGTGGGTGGGGACCATGTCTTAGTCTGAATTGCATGTCTGGGCTGCCAATCATTTGTCCTTGCATCTAAGTCAGAAACTCTAAGGTGAAGTTCTCATTATTATTATTATTACTACTTTAATCCTCACCTGAGGATATGTTTTTACTGATTTTAGAGGGGGGGGAGTGAAAGAAAGAGAGACGGGGGGAGAGAGAGCAAGAAAGAAAAAGAAAGAGAGAAAAGAAAAGATCAATTGCTTGCCTCTCATATACACCCCAACCAGGGATCAAACCCACAACTTTTTGGTGCACAGGACAATGCTCCAACCATCTGAGCCACCTGGCTAAGGCTCTAAGGTGAAGTTGTATCACAGGAACTATGAACTTGGTGGTTCAGCAAAGACAACAATTGACATCTTTTGTAGATGACTCCTTGAACTGAGACTAACTGGTGTTAACTATATGTATTCAGAGGTCACAGAATGCCAGTGTTTAGTAAGATTTCTAAATCATTGTCCCATGTGTATATATTTCAATGTTTAACAAGAAAACATTGTGTCAGAGAAGCAATGACCTGCTGCAATACAGTCTTAAGGGACAATTTTTTTGAGGCAAGATTGTCTCTTATTCAGAACTTTATCAAGGGTTGTTGGCCATTTTACAACATAGAGGCCCCAACAGCAACAGTTGTCATGATCTCTGAGTCTCCAGGACAACCATCCGCATTTGCAGATAGTATATTCACAAATAATGCGGGTCCCCAGCTGCTTCATTATATTCTCACAGTAGCCCCAGAGGATCATTAAAATATTGGCATATATACCATTTTACTATGACAGTTAGGACATGATGTTGACTTTTTAAGTAGAGTTGCATGCAATATGACAATTGTTTCAATGTACAATACAGTGAAACAATACCACATTTATACACCTCACAGGAACTATCTTCCACCATGTGAATTTTCACACTGTTATTGACTAGATTCTGCTTCAGCTTTTTTAGTCTTCCTTCCTACCCCCACCCATTGGGAACCATCCATCTGTTTTTTGTTTCTATGAGTCTGTTTTTGTTTTGTTTGTTCATTTGTGGGTGTTTTTTTTTTGGAATCTACATATAAGTAAAACTATAGGGCATTTGTCTTTTTCTGACTTATTTCATGGAGAATAGCACCCTATGACCATCTATGTTACCACCAATGATAAGATTTCATTCTTTTTTATGGCTGAGTAGTAGTCCATTGTATATAGGTACCACGTCTTCTTTAGCCAATCATCAACTAAGGGGCCCTCTATCATATCTATGACACCTAACTTCCATGTGTCTGTCCTTCAGATAAACTCCATACCCAGGAAACCACTTTCTCTATCTAAATTTCTGCAGACATAAATGGGTACACAGCAGAGAAACTGCTTGGGGTTTGTTTGTTTGTTTGTTTTAGATTCTATTTATTTATTTTGGACAAAGGAGAAGTGAAGAAGAAAGAGGGAGAGAAGCATCAATGTGTGGTTGCCTCCCACATGCCCCCTACCAGGGACCTAGCCTGCAACCCAGGCATGTGCTCTGACTGGGAACTGAACCAGTGACCCTTTGATTTGCAGGCTGGCACTCAATCTACTGAGCCATACCAGCTAGGGCCTTTTTTTTAATATAGAAAACATTACATACTTTTACTACCTATGTTATAATCCATAAATAATTGAGCTAGTCTTCTATCCATGGTTAGAAGTGATTCTCTAGTGTTTGTTGTATAGTAGCAACAAGGAACAGCTGTGTGTGTGCGTGTGTGTGTGTGTGTGTGTGTGTGTGTGTCTAGAGCAGGGTTTGTTGGACTGTAGGGGGCCATGGAGTTCATAGTTTAGACTTCATGAGCCATATCTTCATCACAGCTGCTCATCTTTGCCACTGTAGGGGCAAAGCAGCTGTAGACAATGTGTAAGCAAAGAATATGACTGGCTCCCAGTGAATTTTTATTTACAAAACAGACTGTTAACTAGCTTTGGCCTGTGGGCCACAGTTGGCAGGTCCCCGAGCAGACCCATTGAGAAGAAAAGTGGCAGGGACAAAGCCAATGTTTGCATGAGCACTTTAACTCGAACACGTTGTGTTGTGTTTTGTTTTCTCATGCTTACCGACTCAGGACATGCAAAGACCTACCGCGCTCATGTCGAGGAAAAATTCACCAAAATGTGGTTCACAGACTCTGTCACCAGGATTTATGATCACTGTGAGAAGACACTCACCCCAAAAGAATGCGAATATCTGAAGTATCTTTTTGCCCCCTTGAAAACTGGGAAACAGACCGTGGTCCTGAAAGGATTCCAGGGGGTCGGGAAGACAACGGTCCTGATGAAGCTGATGTTGTCCTGGGCAGAGGGCACTATCTACCAGAAGTTCTCCTACATCTTCTACTTCTGCTGCCGGGAACTCAAGCAGATGACAGTGACCAGCTTGGCTGCACTGATTTGTAGAGACTGGTCTGACTCCCTCTCCCCAATAGCAGAGATTGCATCTGACCCAGAGAGACTCTTGTTCATCATCGATGGCTTTGAAGAACTGGGGTATGACCTGAAGGAACCAGACACAGATTTGTGCAGCAACTGGATGGAGCAGCGGCCCATCCGTGTGATCCTGAGCAGCCTGCTGACAAAGAAAATGCTTCCGGAGTCCTCACTGCTCATTGCTGCTGCACCCAGGTATCCACAGAGCATTGAGGACAGGTTGGAGAGCCCTGAGATCAGAATACTCAAGGGGTTCTGTGAGAGGGAGAAAAAGCTGTATTTCTGCCACTTATTCCAAGACAAGAATAGAGGCATCAAAGCCTTCAGCCTTGTAAGAGAGAACGAACAACTCTTTTCCATGTGTGAAATGCCCATTCTCTGCTGGACTGTGGGCACTTGTCTGAAGCAGGAGTTGGAAAAAGGGCACGATATAGCTGTGACATGCCAACGGACCACCTCCCTTTATTCCTCTTTTGTCTTGAACCTGTTCACACCCAAGGGGGCTAGTCATCCAGACAGACAAAGCCAAGTCCGACTGATGGGCTTATGCTCCCTGGCTGCCGAGGGCATGTGGACCAACACATTTGTGTTCGGTAAAGAGGATCTCAGGAGAAATGGGTTAGTTGATTCTGACATCCCTGCATTGCTGGACGCCAAGGCTCTTCACAGGCACTGGGATGCTGAGAACTCCTATTCCTTCATCCACCTGTGCATCCAGGAGATCTGTGCTGCCCTGTTCTATCTCGTGAAGAGTCACACTGACCATCCCAACCCGGCTGTGGCAAGTATGGAGACACTGGTATCTACCTTTTTAAGGAAAGTCAATATCCGTTGGGTTTTTGTGGTGTGTTTCTTGTTTGGCCTTTCAAGTGAAAAAGAACAACAGAAGCTGGAGGCATTTTTTGGCTCCCACCTGCGGCAGCAGGAGGTACAGCAGACGCTTCAGCAGCACTTACAGAGCATCATCGAGAGTGAATACCTCCAGGGACACGTAGATTTCCTGTCGTTATGTTACTGCCTGTTTGAGACGGAGAATGAAACTTTTGTGAAGTGGGCAGTGAACCTCTTCCAAGACGTGCATCTTTTTATTCGCGACAAGTTAGACTTGCGGCCTGTTGCCTACTGCTTAAAACACTGTTCTGCCTTGGAGAGACTTTGTTTTTCTACCCAAAATGTCTTTGCACAAGAGGGCGCAGACACTCCCATGTGAGTCTATTCAATGATTTCCTTTCTATTGCCTTTTCAACATCTGTCCCCATTCCCGGGTGGGTTTTGCTAGTCAAGTTTTTGACTTGCAGAGGATTAGGGTTGGGACCTCACCTCTTGTGTCAAACAGACCTCAGCGCCCACCCTGGTTGGACTCCTTGTAAAATATGCGGCCTTGTTGGTGGGGTCTTCTTTCTTCGTGGAACTTGCCTAGTGGCAATAATGTGAACTACCACCTCGTGAGGTGCTGTGCAGATGGATATGAGGTTCCGTATGCAATGTGCTTCCTATTCTCTAATATTTGATGATATGTACTTAAATTGACATCTCTTCTCATTTCCATAGGATTACATTCTTTCTTAGCCTCCCAGCTAAAAGCTAGGTTTTCTAATGTATTCTGAAAAATCTAATGCATTTTTAACTCCCCTTAATACTCACCAAAAAATCATATGAGATTCTCTTACTATATCATGTTACGAGTGAGGAAACTGAGGCAGAGGTCTTGGAAGCTGCCCAAGTGAGGAAGTGGTGGAGGCTCAGTTTGGGCATAGATGTTCTGCTCGAAACACCTCAGCTTCCCCTGTAAAACTGCCCAAAGGGAAGGCAAGCCTCCTGACATGGCACTTGTGACATGGATAATTGTTGGCAAGGTGGGGGGTTTTCTGTGCATTCTAGTACATTTAGAAGCATCCCTGGTTTCTACCCACTAGATGCCAGGAGTACCCCTCCCCAAATGTTAGCAACCAAAAATGCCCCAGACATTGCCCAGTGTCCTCTGGATGAAGGGACAATGTTGCCTCTGGTTAAGAATCATGAATACAAGATAACTAAGGGTAGCTGTGATCTGAGTCAAATGTCCTGTGTTCCAGAAGATAATGTTTGATGCTTATAGGTTAGGAATGACTTGGGTTGACTGTCCACCCACGGCAACCATTCCCGTTCTCCTTCCTTACAGATCAAGTGACCACTTAGCCTGTTGGTATCACATCTGCTCCGTGCTCACTACAAACAAGAACCTCACGGAGTTTCGAGTAAATCACAGTAACCTCCAGGAGTCAACCTTTGGAACTCTGAGCAGTCAGCTCAGGCATCCCTGGTGTCGCCTGCAAAAACTTCAGTAAGTCGGAGGTCCCTCTGGACCCAAGTTGGTGGTGGGGATAAAGGAGCAATGTAGAGAGTCGCAACCTACTTTTTCCGTACTCGCCAGGATAAAGCAAGCTTCTCAAGGCCACAAAGCTCACAGAAGGCAAAGCTGTGCTCTGGACTCGGAGCTGATCAATCACAGAGCTTCTGCTGGTGGCAACTGCACCTGCTCCTTCCTGAAATGCTTCAGGGGCATCTCATCAACCAATATATGAGGACCAGTTGGGTGTCTGGCTTTGTACTAAATCCCAAGAAATAGAGGCCTGGCTGGTGTAGCTCAGTGGATTGGGTGCAGGCCTGCAAACTAGAGGATCACAGTTCGATTCCCAGTCGGGGCACATGCCTGGGTTGCAGGCCAGTTCTTGGCAGGGGACACACCAGAGGCAACCATACATTGATATTTCTCTCCCTCTCTCCTTCCCTTCCCCTCTAAAGATAAATAAATTAAATTTAAAAAATAAATCCCAAGAAATAAATGGAGTCTAGAGTTATGATCCTGACCTCAGATAGTTTTTTTTTTAATTCTCACCCAAGAATATGATTTTTATTAATTTTAGAGGGTTGGGGGGAGAGAGAGACATTGATGTGAGGGAGAAACATCCGTTGGTTGCCTCCCACATGTGGCCTGACCAGGAATTGAACCTGAACCTAGGTAAGTGCCCTGACTAGGAATTGAACCCACAACCTTTTTGGTGCATGGGCTGATACTCTAACCAACTGAGCTACCTGGCCAGGACCACAAAGACCTTTTTAAAAAGTGTGGTTGGTGTGGCCAGCCTGTGAGCCAAAAAGGTCAGCGGTTTGGTTCCCAGTTAGGGCACATGCCTGGGTTGGAAGCTGGGTCCCCAGTGAGGGATTTGTGCAACCAATGGGTATTTCTCTCCCTCTCTTTCTCCCTCCCTTCCCTTCTCTCTAAAAAAAAATTTTTTTTAAATCTCCATGCCTAGGTCAAGCCCCTAAATCAATTTACCAAGATATCCTGACTTGATTTCAATGTCAGTCAATATAGAGAACTATGATTTAAAGGAACATTTCCCCTCCCCACCAAAAAGTCAGTAACACCTTTATTAAACCATTACATGAGGAAAATAAACTTTGTGTTAATTCACTTAAACTTGGGAGTTTGTCACCCTGGATAGTATTACAAGTCACAGGGTGGGAATCAAAGACAGATGCATCTACTCAGGTTTTTTTGAATGAAACCGACTAAAAATTTTCTTCATTTCTGCAGGATAAATGATGTTACTTTGTCTGGTAGTAGCTGGCTTTTCTTCGAGGTGCTCACTCATAGCCCAGATTTGAAATACCTGGACCTCAGCGGCACAAGTCTCTCCCGTGATGATGTGATGCTGCTCTGTCAAGCCTTGCACAACCCAGTGTGCAACATACAGAAGTTACTGTAAGTCTCTTGGCTCTCCACCTCACTAATTTGATTTCAGAAGGGACCATGCATTTTTTTTTTAATCTGTCTACTTTCAGCCTCTTTTCTATGCTTCACATGCAACCTTAACCTCCTGTGAACTTGAGAATTGAAGATGGGAATTAACGTTTCTAAATCAGTACAACCACTTTGGAAAATCATTTGCCTCTGTCAAGCTTTCATAGGTCCTAGAGTTCCATATAACCTCAAAATGCCTTTTGGGGTGTACACCCAACAGAGCTGCATGAATAACTTTGCTGAAGGATAGGTTCTAAAACATTCACGATGAGTAGTCATATTACCTGAACAGTGGAAATACCTACTAGCAGTAAATTAGAGAAAAGACCTGTGGTTATAGACTTGCTTCCTGAGAATGAATGATCTGCAATTATAGAGCAACAATTTGTGAGGTTTAAGATTTTATTTATTTATTTACTATTTTATTTTATTTTTTTATTTTATTTAGTTATTTTTCAAGTACAGTTTTTTGTCTATTTTTCCCATCCCAGCCTCCCCGCCTATTTATTTATTTTTAGAGAGAGGGGAAGAGAAGGAGAAAGAGAGGGAGAGAAACATTAATGCGTGGTTACCTCTCACTTGCCCCCTACTGCAGATCTGGCCCACAACCCAGGCATGGGCCCTGACTGGGAATTGAACCAATGACCCTTTCGTTGTCAAACCAGTACTCAGCCCACTGAGCTACACCAGCCAGGGCACAACAGGGTTTTTGTTGTGCTACACCAGCCAGGGCACAACAGGGTTTTTGTTGTTTTTTTCCTTTTAATTGAATGTATTGGGGTGACACTGGTTAACAAAATTATACAGGTTTTAGGTGCACAATTCTACAACACATCATCTATACACTGTATTTTGTCTTTACCACCCCAAGTCAAGTAGCTGTTCATCACCATTTATCCTCACTATGCCCTCCTCCATCTACAAGTCTATGTCTATTTTGCTTGCTAATTCATTTTGTTCATTAAATTCCACATGTAAGTGAGATCATGTGGTACTTGTCTTTCTCTGACTAGCTAATTTCACTGAGCATAACACTCTCCAGGTCCATCCATGTCTATCCAACAATTTGGATGAATCCCACAGACCCCCAGTAGTGGAAATGAGCCAAACTTAAGAATAAATATATCACAGGATTTCATTTACATGAAGTTCAAAGTCAGGCAGGGCTATGGTGTAAGAGGTGAAGATCGTGAGGGGAGGTGACAGAGAGGATCTGTTCTTGGACCTGAGTCCTGGTAACACAGGTGTGTCCATTTCATGGCCATTCAGGGTGAATAAGTACAAACACCACAAGTGGGAGGAAGGAGTTTGGGGAACAGCAAACGTGAGTGAACACCTTGAAGAAGCACACCTGATACAGGTCGAGCAAATCACCACAGTGTGTGTCACCAGTACACATGGGTTTAGGAAGAGGCAGGAGCCTTGTGGATCACACAGTGCACTTCGGGCTTTCCACTGGGGAATTTAAGCTGTGTACAGACGATGACTTTGAGTGTACGTGCCTGAAGTCTAGAGAAGGATGCAAGGGGCTCAGGGAGGGTCTCGAGCAGAGCAAACGTGAGCTTCCTGACTCTTACAGGATTAGCAAGGGACATGACTCAGGGACTAGAATCCAATGAAGGGGATGTTTTCTTTCCCACAGGCTGTCCAATTGTGGCCTCTTACCTGAGGACTGTGAAGGCTTCAGAGGCGTCCTACAGGAGAACACGAAGCTGAGGGTTCTTAACCTCTCCTGCAACTACCTGGACAGAGGGATGCTCCTCTTGTGTGAAGGCCTGTGCCACCCAACCTGTGCCATGCACGCCTTGGTGTAAGTGACCATTGGGAAGGTCCACTGTGGAGGGCCATGGAGGCCGCAAGTTTGAACTCAAACCCACTGACCAAAATCTATCCATTGATAACGACCTCAGTAGCTTGCAACCTCAGCTCTACACTTAGCTAGACCTGACAATTTTCCCAAAGTCAATGTGCATCCTTTTGAAAGCCACAAACGAGCGTGATATTTTGCTAAGTGAAATGAGTCAGATGGAGAAAGACAAATGCCAGGTGATTTCACTGATATGTGGAATCTAAAGAATAAAGTAAACAAACAAGCGGAACAGAAACAGAGAACAAACAGCTGGTTACCAAATGGGAGAGAGGATCGGCAGGCTGGATGAAAAGACGAAGGGATTAAGAAATACAAGGTGCCCTGGCTGGGTGACTCAGTTGATTAGAGTGTCATCCCACGCACCAAAACATTGTGGGTTTGATTCCTTGTCAGGGCACAGGTCTCTTTCTTTCTCTCTCCCGCCTCCTTCCCTTATTCTCTCTCTAAAATCAATAAATATATCATCAGGTGGCCATTTAAAAAAAAGAAGAAGTACAAATTGGTAGTTACAAAATAGGGATATAAAGTCTAGCATAGGGAATATGGTCAATAATATTGTAATAACTATACGTGGCATCAGGTGGGTACTAGATTTATAGGGGCAGCTTTCCCTAAGTTATATAAATGCCTAATCCCTGTGTCGTATACCTGCTGCTAATATAATATTGCATGTCAACTGTAATAGAAACATTTTAAAAAGAAATTACAGAGGAACAGAATTGAAAAAGTTATGGATTTTACATGTAAGGTAATTCAATACACACAACTAGTTCATGGCGAAGACAGACTCAGATGTAAAATTAGAACCAACACTTTCCAACTTCTCCTTGTGAATTACCTTCTGCTCTGTTCTTCCTTCTCCATTACTTGGTGAGCTTTCTGTTCTAATCTCTCTATCATGTAAGTAAGAAGGAAAAAAGGAGGAGGTGTTTTCAGGTATGGCAGAAATTCATGGCCTCCCTTGAGGATTTCACGTGTATAAGATTATAGGCAGCGCTGGCTGGTGTGGCTCAGTTGGTTGGAGCATTGTCCCATAAACTGAAGGATCATGGGTTCCATTCCCAGTCAGGGTATATGCCTGAATTGTGGGTTTGATCTGGGGTCAGGCTGTGTACAAGAGGCAGATTGCTGTTTCTCTCTCACATCAATGTTTCTCTCCCTCCATTACCCTATCTCTAACATGTCCTCAGGTGAGGATTAAAAAAAAAAAAAAGGTTATAGGAATACTCTCCTCATATGGGGTGAAACAAAGCCCCCGGACACATCATTCCCCTCCTTTGCTCCCCCACCCTTGTCCCCACAGGTTAGCTTGCTGCTACATCAGTGAAGATTGCTGGGGACTCCTGCCTGAGTTTCTTCTGCATAACAAGGCCCTGATCCATCTAGATATCAGCACAAACGTCTTGAAAAATGAAAACTTGAGCCTTTTGTGTGAAGCCTTAACACAGCCTGGCTGCTTCCTGGCATCACTATGGTAAGTGTCTTCGAGGTTTATTTGGAAAACCAAGCCTCCATCTCTGGGGCTGGGGTTGCTAAGAAGGCACCAGGAAGTGAGGAAACCCATAGCATCGATGACCAAGAAGGTGATAGTTAAAAATGACTTCATTCAGATTCTTGAGATGTTCAGGAGAACACACCTGTCTCTTGACTCTGGTCACAGATTGAATGTGTGGTAAGGGGTCCTTCACTGGGCTCTACATAAGGGCTAAAAGAGAGAGCAAAATTGCAACTGGGGCTGAGGGACTCTTTTTTAATCCTTACCCAAGTATATGTCCATTGATATGAGAGAGAGAGAGAAAGAGAGAGACATCGATCGGTTGGCTCCCTTACTCACTACCTGGGGATTGAACCCTCAACCTTTTGGTGCATGGGACAATGCTCCAACCACCTGAGCCACCTGGCCAGGGTGTATTCTATAATATGTATAAGTTTCATCAGGTGGAAAAGGAGAGCTGAAATTTCAGGTAGAAAGGTTAAATATGGAGATGAGAGACCTAATATTTGTGAGAATGAACACGGATAAAAACAGGAATACTTGAGGAAGGAGTAAGAGCAGTTAATAGGGAAATGGGGAAACAGGGAATGAAAAGACTTCAACGCATGTTATAAAATTGAGAAATATTTGGGTAAGCTGTGGTGGGTGTTGGTGCTCTGGAGTGACCCATTGGCATAGCATTTCATCATCAAATGCCTCTCCCTGAGGAATCAACAGACTTGTGGGATTAGGCAGAACTATTTTTCTTAATCTCTCAAGAAGTCTGAATTTAGGCCCTGGCTGGTGTAGCTCAGTGGATTGAGCGCAGACCTGCAAACCAAACAACTGCGGTTCGATTCCCAGTCAGGACACATGCCTGGGTTGCAGGCCAGTTCCCAGAAGGGGATGCATGAGGGGCAACCATACACTGATATTTCTCACCCTCTCTCCTTCCCTTCCCCTCTAAAGATAAATAAATAAAACCTTTAAAAAATGAAATAAAAAAAAAAAGAAATCTGAGAGTTTAGAATGTTGTATTCCTTGCTTGGAAAGTCTGTTAAATAAGGTGAGAAAAGAGTCAGATGCATTCTACTTTTTTTTTTTAAGATTTTATCCATTTATCTTTATAAGGGAAGGGAAGGGGAGAGGGAGAAAAACAATAAATGGTTGCCCCTCGTGTGTCCCCTGCTGGGAACTGGCCTGCAACCCAGGCATATGCCCTGACTGGGAACCGAACCACGATCCCTTGGTTATCCGGCCTGTGCTCAATCCACTGAGCCACACCAGCCAGGACCATATAAAAATATATTTATATTTCAAAATATTAAACTAGACAACTGCTAATAAAACAAGTACACATCCCCCTTCGAGGTGGATAATAGGAGAGCATAATCTTAGCCATCAGCTGATTTCTAAAGCAACCATTCACGGTCACATACCACACATACTTAAAAATAACCTAAAACACAGGGAAAGATGGCACTATAAGCAAGAATAAAACAGATGCACCTACCAAACTTCAAAAAATGGTAGTAACTATGCTTATTAGCTATAAAACCATGACATTCCTTTTGTTTAAAGAAAAGAATAAGTTTAAACATCTTAGGAGAAAGGAAACCGTAAAATGAAATAAAACTGGCAAACTGAGAAAGCAAATAAAATGGAACATCTAGAAATTATCAATAGAATATCAAAAACCTAATAGATGGTTTGACAGTAGATTTGATACAGCTAAAGGGAAAATTAGTAAAATGGGTTGAATAATAGACTAGACATAATTAGAGGGCAAATTAGTAAAATAGAAGATAGATCACAATTATGCAGACACAGCATGAAGAGGAGGGAAAAACGATGTAAATAGAGAAGTTCTGGCATACTTCATAGAATCTGAGGAAGAAAACATATCTAAAGAAGTAATGGCTAAAACTTTAGTATAGCTGATGAAAGACTCCAGTCTACAGGTTGATGCTTCCTTACTGTCCCTAGTGGGATAAGTAATGGAGAACACCACACATAAAGATAATGATTTTACATCTGTGATGGGGTTTGGGCTGGGAGCAGCCATAATGTGTAGAGGACAGAAAGATCAGTGATCGGTGCCAATGGGAAAAGGCAGTACAGTGAGGTCATCAGTGTGCTGGGGAAAAGCTGTTGACCTGGAATTTTACAACCCACTGAAATAATCCTACACAAGGACAAAACAATTTTAAAAAATAACTAAGCTTCCCAACATCAGATAGATCATCCCTTGGGGCAACTCTAATGAAGTTTTCCTTGAAGAGAAGTTAAGCAATTCCAGATGGAAAGGCTTATAGAGCCAAGAAAGTGGGAAACCTGTAGAAAAAAGTTGAAACAAAATAGGGGCTGCCTACAAAAATGCAGGGTAAGGCACAGGTTTACAGTTGTGAGTACATGAAAGGCAGTTTACTCTGTCTTGTTACTTATTAATTATTGTATTACTTTCCATATAAACAGCTGTAAACCTACTTTTCCCCCCACCCCGTGATAGTGTTTTTAAGACTTTAAGGTTAAAAAAAATTGAAAAGCACAGCAGCAGTAATCTAAGTGTCCACTAATGTCATAAAATCCAGAAAGAAGGTAGAAGAAGGGTTGATGAACTTGAGGTGTTGGCAGGTTAAATACAGATAGAAACACTTCTATTATGAAATTAGGGGAAAGAAACAAATTATTGCTAACTCTGAATCAGCAGAGAAGAGACAAAAGAATGATAAAACATCAGCTGAAAAGAAAAACCCTGGCCAGGCGGCTCATTTGGTTGGAGCATCATCTGTACGCCAAAAAGGTTGCAGGTTCAAACCCTGGTCAGGGTGCACCCCAGCCAGGCGTGTATGGGAGACAACTGACCGATGTTTCTTTCTCCCTTCCTCTCTCTCTAAAACAACAACAACAAAACCCAAAAAACCCACAGTAATCCTATAGAGTGACATCACTATTGTTCTCTTGCAGTTTAGTGAACTGTTTCATAACCACCGAGGGCTGTCGGGATCTTGCTTTGGTCTTGACCAGAAACCCAAACCTGAGGAATCTACAACTCGGTCACAACGACATAGGAGATGATGGCGTGAGGCTGCTGTGCATAGCCCTGATTCAGTCCACCTGTCACTTACAGATGCTTGGGTGGGTACCTCTTCAATGTCATGGTTATATCTCTGTGGGTGACCAAAGATGGAGAATTGATGGGCAGTAAGAGGAAGGAAAAATGGAAAACCTCGTTGGGGAACATGGCAGTTAGCCATCATTGTATAATTACTCCAAAACATAGACTATGCAATCCATGAGCCCTGAGGATGGCTGGCTGGCTGGCTGGCTCTGCTGGTCTGGGGCGGGCATAGCTGTCCTTGAATGGGCACGATCAGGAATCGGGAGTGGCCCAGGTGACTGGGTGGTTGACCTAGGTGCACCTAACTGTCGAGTCTGAAGGTTGGTTGGCTGTGAATCAAGACCAGCAGGGAGGACTGGGCCACCTGTCTCCTGTCGGCCTCATTAGCCTGGCCCTATGGACAGACATGCTATTTGGATCAGTGTGCTCCAGCTGCTATGGCAAAGTAGCCCAATTCAGGTGACTTAACTAATAGAAATGCATCCTCTCGTGGTTCTGGAGGCTGGAAGCCTGAGATCCAGGTCTGAGCAGGGCTGGTTCCTCCCGAGGCCTCTCTCCTTGGCTTATAGATGGCCGTCTCCCCCCTGTGTCCTCACAGGGTCCTCCCTCTGTGGGTGTCTGTGTCCTCATTCCCTCTTCTGATAAGGACACCAGTCCTGTTGGACTAGAGCCGACCCTAATGACCCCATTTTAATTTCATTGCCTCTGTGGAGACCCTACCTGCAAAGGCAGCCATATTTCGAGGAGCTGGGGTTTAGGGCTTCAACCTGTGACTTTTTACAAGCACGCAGTGTCTCGGATTCAAGAGAGTGAGAAACATGCCAGGGGGCAGCTCAGAGCTCACATAACCTTACCTGCACTGAGTCAAGGCTGAGGCCAGCCCAGACGCAGGGGTGGGGAACACACCTTGGCCCTGAGTGGGGTGAGCCACAGAGTCCCATCACCATGAGCCTGGGTGCAGAGATGAACAGACAAGGGTGGCCACTTGTACAAGCAGCCCCAGAGCAGGAAGCCAATATTACGAGCGCCGGACTGTCAGAGGCTGTACACTGAGGCAAGGGGGTGGGCCTGGGCCAAGCAGTCCCCACTCTCATGACACTATGGGCCTCCTCCTGCCCCAAGGAGGGGCCCCTTCTCACCCAGCGTCTCTCTGTTGCAGGCTGGGAATGTGCAGCTTGACCAGTGCCTGCTGTAAGGACCTCGCCTCTGTGCTCATCAACTGCAGGACTCTGAGAAAACTCACCCTGTCTGGAAATGCCTTGGACCACAAAGGGGTGCTAGTGCTCTGTCAGGCCCTGAGACATCCCCAGTGCAGGCTGCAGTGGCTGGGGTGAGCGGTGGGCGCGCTGCTGCTGGGGATGGGCCTGGGGCTGAGGAGGGAGGGAGGGCCCACTGAGGAGCCTCCACAAGCTGATCTCACTGCACTTCAGGTGCGAAGGATGCTCCCAGTCTCAGGGCTGTTGCAGGAGGGAGACTTAAGCCCCTTATGGAGCACAGTGACCGGTGACCAGTGAGTGCCCAATGAATGGTCACAGCAGGACTGTGATAATACAAATTATAATATAATTTGGCACTGGTACTGTGATAATAAAAATTATAATAATAGTGCAAATTATAATCTAATGTATAAATTATAATTATAGTAATTATAGGACATATAACCAGTGTGTATTCTAATTATGACTATATATTTACATACATAAATTATAATCATGTTTAATATATTTAAATATGTGTGATTATAAACATAAAGCATAATTACATGAAATATATTTTATCTATATTAAACATTACCTATTAAAATAAAATTTTAGTTTAACAAATATTTATAATTATATGTAGCTATAATTATAATTACATAATTAATAGTTACATAATTATAGCTACATATAATTATAAACATAATAAAATAATTATCTAAAAGTAATATATAATACACAAATGTGTATTATAATTATAGACTTATATATTTAAGTCTATAGTTACAAATATATGATATCATCAAATATATTTGTAAGTATAACTTTATAATTAAGTCTAATTTACACATATAACAGTAATACAGATTATTCCTATAATTTTCTCTGATGAGTATTATTTTACTAGACAATGATGTAATGAATCCATAGCATATGTTTTTCTCATTTTTTCCTACATTTCTTTTTTTTCTTCAAGAATTTATTTCTTTTTAGAGGGAGGGGAAGGGAGGGAGAAAAGGGAGAGAAACATTAATATGTGGTTGCCTCTCCCACGCCCCCTACTGGGGACCTAGCCCACTACCCAGCTATGTTGCCCTGACTGGGAATTAAATCAGCAACCCTTTGATTTGCAGGCCGCTGCTCAGTCCACTGAGCCACAGCAGCCGGGGCTCATTTTTTCCTGCATTTCTAAAACTTGAATGCAATCACAGGTAGTTAACATATCACTCATTTCAGGAAAAGGAAACTAGAAGATATTGGGCTAAAACTGGTGTAACTCCAGCACGGAGAAAAGTTACCTTCTTTTCTGTCTTGTGAAGATCCGGGCCCATTTCTTTACAGTCCACCCTTGTAAATCGACATCTAGAAACCTCAGCTGCCTGGCACGATCTCACCCCAAGCTTCAGAACACAGAGCGTCAGGGCCGACGCAGGCGACGACGCAGGAGGTCATGGGAAGACATGGGGGGTCTGCTAGTTCCTGCCCCCTGGAGGTCAGAGTAGGAACGCCACCCTTCCTGTGTTTCATCCTGGGGCCTCAGGCAGGGTGTTTGTCCCGTCTGGTGACCTGTCTCCTTCCTGCACAATAGGGAGAGTTATTTGACATGGTAACGATGAAAATGTAAGTTAGTTAATCTGATAAAATGACGACGCCAATCAGTGAGCTCGCATGGCCTCTGTGCCCTTCCCCATCTGTGGACTGTCTCACAAACTATGTGAAGGAGAATCGCTGAATGAAGGCAGGTGCTTCGCTTTAACAGTAAGATGAGCGTGCTTGGGGTAGTTGCAAATAAAGAGATAAGAGACACCGGTACTCACAGAACCGCCAGGGCACAATGATCCTTAGCCCTCCTGCCCAGTTCAAAGCAACAATAGAACACCGTGCGAGAGGCAGCCTCTACAGCACGATATTATGGTGGCTGTGTGACCTTGGGACCTCTGTGTCTTTCTTCATCACAGATCCGGTCGAAACAGCAGCTCATAAAGCTGTTGGGAGATTTTAACGAGATATGGCTGCCAAACCCTCAGCAGAGGGCCAGGACCCAGCACCCAGAGAATAGAAACTATTTTATCTTTCTAAAAGTAGAATTATTACGAGCCCTGCTTGGGTGGCTCAGTGGGTTGGAGCATGGTCTCATAGATGAGAAGGTTGCAAGTGTGGTCCCTGGTCAGGGCACACACTTGGGTTTTAAGGGTTCGATTCTCAGGGCAGCTAAGGGAGGCAACTGATTGATATTTCTCTCTCTGTCTCTCTATGTTCCTTCCTCTAAAATTTTTTAAAAATAGAATTACTATTTTATGTTTTTAAAAATAAAAATAGCTCAGTCTTGCTCCTAAGCTCTTCCCCTGACCTCCTGTCCCAGACCTCATGTTGAGGTGGAGAAGGGGCTTTCCATCACATTTGAGGATGTTGGCTCAGTCCCGTGACACATTTGAGACGTCCCCTCCCAGCCAGGAGGACCCCGTGTGAATGGCTCCGCCCAATGTTTGGTGACATCAGTTGGCAACTTGATGTTGGCCCTGGTTGGAGGATTTACACCCCAGAGAAACATGGCACTACTAACCAGAGCTTGCGCGCGCGTGCGTGTGTGTGCGTGTGTGCGTGTGTGTGTGTGTGTGAGAGACACCCCCAAGGGTCCCTTGTTCATGCACACACCAACATCTGTCTTCTGTCTTGGAGGCCACACCAGGTCCTCTCAGGCCTGCCCAGGGAAGAAAGAAGGAAGAAAGATGAAGTCCAGAAATAAAAAAAGAGGTATGAGTTCAATCAAGCCCCTCTTATATCTTCCAGGCTGAGGAAAGCTGATTTTGATGAGGAAACTCAGAAACTTCTGACAGATGAGGAACAGAGAAATCCCTCCTTGGAAATAATAAACGAGTGACAGGACAGACCCAGCACCGGACACACGGACGGAAATTGGCTTGCAAGCAGGTTCTGATGCAAGAGCAGCTTTGAGGGATATATGTTGGAGCCCCGACTTGTACCTACTCTGTGCCCAGGAATGACACATTACTGACCCTGCTTTTTCTAGGACCCCATTTACATGTGTTTTATTGATGGTGCATTTTCGTGGTTTTTATTAGCTGGTGGGTTTGGGCAAGCCGGAGAGACCTTCCAGATTAATGTCCCCTCTTGTCTCCCAAGGACACTTGAAACCCTCAATAAAGTTTTGTGTTTTAAAACATGTTGTAAAATCTTGAAGCAGGACTTGTTACTGGTGGATGCCCAGAGCACACCTGTGGGCTCAGGAATGGAGGTCCCTTCTCCCCATTGACTCAGAGTTCTGGAAACGCATGCCTGACCTGGTTGCTGCTTTTTCTGTGCATCCTATCAGTGGGTCAGCACCAGCTTTTTTTTTTTTTCCTCATGACAGTCTTATTTTTTCAAGTAATTTTTATTCTTTCAATGACAGTTGACACACAATACTAGTTCAGGTGTACAGCATAGTGGTTAGACATTTTTATAATTTGAGGGATGTACCCTTAAGGTCTAGTGTCCATCTGGCACCCTACTGAGTTATTACAATATTATCGACTCTGTCCCCTATGCTGTTTTCATAACTGGCAGCTTGCATGATGGTATTTTAAAAGTACATCTTTAAAAATTCAGCAGTGGCTCTGGCTGGTGTGGGTCAGTGGATTGAGTGCCAGCCTGCAAACCAGAGGAAAATAGTAGTTGAGAATTTGTGGATCAGCAGGTGAACACACAATATAATATACAGATGATGTAATACAGAATTGTATACTTGAAACATAATTTTATTAGCCAGCATCACCCCCAATAAATTCAGTAAAATTTTAAAAAATACACCTGTTATTTTTTTTAAGAAATTAAGAGCCCTGGCTGGTGTAGCTCATATTCTCTCCCTCTCTCCTTCCCTTCCCCTCTAAAGATAAATAAATAAAATTTAAAAAAAAAGAAATTAAGACATTTGGGGACAGTCTTGGATTTGGGGTTCACAAAAGCAGGGTTTAACAACCCCATTTTAATAGCTGGTAACCTAAAGTGAGCACAACCAGTGACGTAGCAATTAAGGCATCTAACTGTTGATTTTCTGAAGTCTCTACCTTGACACAATTTTCTTTATTATTTAAGCTTTTATTTGTTTTTTTTTAGGGAGGGGAAGGGAGAGGGAAAGAGAGGGAGAGAAACATTAATGTGTGGTTGCCTCTTGCACACCCCCTACTGGGGACCAGACCCACAATCCAGGCATGTGCCCTGACTGGGAATTGAATCGGCAACCCTTTGATTTGCAGGCCAGCACTCAACCCACTGAGCCACACCAGCCAGGGCTCATTCTAAATTAGTTCATATACCTGTCCCCACTTGCTCTTCCATCTTGCACTTCCAAACCACAACAGAAGTGCAGAAGGAGGCAGGGAATAAAATAGTCATTGCAAGGACTCTGGCTTTCACTTACGTGTATTAATGAGGGCACATGGGTGCGCAGGATGACAGCATCTGATGTGTCAGATCTCATGGCCCCTTGAGAGGCATGTTGGCTCTTACAACCAAAGACGTGCGTTCAAAGGCCAGTTTTTCAACGTGCTCTCTCTAATCTGCAAAGCATTTTTCTCTCAGTATCTGTGTCTATATCAGGAAAGTCAGGATGTCTCTTCCTACAGGGGGCTTTGATGAAGATGGAGACATACCATGAGGATGTTTTATAAGCTATGAAATGCAAAATATCCAACCGTGCCCAACAACAACTCCTAATAGCTTTGGCTTAGGAGTCAAGAGTACAAGAAAGAATCTCGGTTTAGGTAAGGGAGAGAAAAATTACCATATAATAAACTCCTATTCCTCACATACAGTTCCACACATGGCCTCACAGAGTTCACCTTGTATTCTGTGTGGGATCCATGCTGCCAGGTATTTTCAGGTGGGCAAAATATATTTTATTTTAGGTGGCGCAGAGCCACAGATGCCTCAAAGATAGAAGCAAAAGCCACAGTTGGGTGTGTCTGCCTATTAAGAATCATTCTGGAGGTCTGTCTGGTTTATTTAGCCACAGTATGATGATTTGGGGATTTTGATGACATCTACTAGCATATTTCTCAGTCCACGAGAAATGAAGAACAAGTTTTCTCAAACTATGTTCAGATCCTTTCCTTTATTGAATCTTTGTAACGCACCCAAGAATTAAAGAAAACGTTACACTAAGAAACACTAAAAGTCAATGTATGCTCTTGGGGCCAAATACAACATTAGATTAGGATCTTAGTGATTGGGTATGTAATATGCTGCCTGCAACACAGAAAACAACCGAGGTGGCTGCCCATTTGACCCATGAACAGGGACACCAGAGTGACACATGGGGGAGGAGCTTCTGGTGGTTGTGCTCCAAGAACCTCCCAGGAGAAGGCAGTGACCTTCTTCTTGTCCTTGGGTCACCACCACCACTTATCTTCAAGGTCATTCAAGTCCCACTTGCACAGGACCCTCAGCACACGCCCCTTCGCCTGCAATTCCTGCAACTTCCCTTTTACTAGATTGTATAAGTCTTCTTCCAGCCTACAAAAACAAACAAAAAAAATTAGAGTAGAAAATTAGAAGAGATGATTGACTATATTTCTTTGTAATCCTCTCCCAAGGATATGTTTACTGATTTTAGAGAAAGAGAGAGAGAGAGCAGTTTCCTCCTGTACATGTTCTGACTGGGGATCAAACCTGCAACCTTTTGGTATATAGCATGATGCTCCAACCCACTGAGCCACCCAGCCAGGGCATGGCAACACACCATTCCCACCATTACTACACACTCTGTTAGCCATCACTGCCGTAGGATACTGAATTCAGGGTCAACCTGATGTCTGCTTTCGCTATTAGCCAACCCATCCCCACTTCTCAGCAAAAAGGTGCTGTAAAAGTCAGTAGCAGCTACCCGAGTTTCTGGAGTGTGCAGGTTGACTTTTTCAGGGACTTCCACAGCTTGTTGACGCCTTGAGTTCCCAAGTCATTTCCTAAGAGGTTCAGGTTAACCAGGCTTGTGCTGCTTCCAAGAACCGCGGACAGATGCTCGCAGCAAGCAGAAGTCAGACTGCATTTCTCCAACCTGGGGAGGGTGGGAAGGAAGTGTTAAAGCTGGTCCTCCGATCCTGAGAAATTGGAAATAAAAGGGATGCCAAGTCCAGGGTGGGAAATGCTACTAGAACAGACTTGCCAGCAGCACACGCCACAAATGCCGATGTGTAAATCATTTTAACCCACACACCAACCCCATGAAGGTAAGGAACACCTTAAACCCCACTTGACAAACACATATCACCTGCCCGAACATGAGAGACACAATGTTAGTATAAAGTGCATGTGAGTTTATTTTTGTAAGATTTTATGTACTTACTTTTAGAGAGAGGACAAGGAAGGGAGAAAGAAAGAAACATCCATCAGTTGCCTCTCATACGCCCCCAACTAGGGACCTGGCCTGCAATCCAGGAATGTGCCCTGACCAGGAATCAATCCAGCAACCTTTCAGTTTGCAGGCTGGCACTCAATCCATTGAGCCACACCAGCCAGGGCTGTACATGAATTTAGTTATAAGGCCTTTGAAAGGACTAAAATGTTAGCACTACAACCTCTTTCATGACATATCTTTCATGTTATTTTTTTAAAGATGCTATTATTTTTAGACGGGAGAAGAGAAGGAGAAAGAGAGGGAAAGAAACATCAATGTGCCTCTTGAGCTCCCCCTACTGGGGACCTGGTCTGCAACCCAGGCACATGCCCTGACTGGGGATTGAACCAGAGACCCTTTGGTTCATAGGCCAGCACTCAATCCACTGAGCTACACCAGCCAGGGTATTATTTCTAAATTCTATAATACAACATCTGGACACAGGGTTGGCTAGCTACTGGGAACACAAGGTGAAAAGAAACGTGTCCTCTGTCAGTTTAACACAGCAGCAATTTCCACGTGAGTCTACAAAGAAAGGTGACAGGAGGCTGTACATGTAAGACTTTAATGAATAAAATGCCAAGGGTGGGAGAGGTTGGGGAGGACTCAGAAAATGCTTCAAGGTGAAGGTACCATTTGATGGGTAGGAATAGCATTATATCATGAAAACATGGGCCCTGACAGGGTAGCTCAGTGGGTTAGAGCATCTCCCTGATACCCCAAAGTCACAGGTTTGTTCCCAGTCAGAGCACATACAAGAATCACCCAATGAATGCATCAATAAGTAGAACAACAAATTGATATTTCTCTTTCTCTCTTTCTCTTTCTAAAAAAAAAGGAATTAGTCAAAAACAAAAATTTTTCTTGCTGTTTGAGAATGAAGATTCACAGGGCTGGGGCATTTCCTCTCCCCCAGCAACTTCTCTACCCAAAATGTACTGATATAAAGAAAGAATATCAACAAGCCAAGAGATTTTAAAGAGAAGAATGTTGTCTTTCACATGTCTCACCCATGTACCCCCACGTGACCAGATAGTACCTATTCCCACCCAAGAGTGAGAGGGGGATTCCCTGCCAAAGAACAGCACTGACTCACCCAAGTGTGCTCAGCACACAGCTCGAGCATTTCAGAACCTCGCAAAGCCGCCTCCCTCCATCATCCTGAACACAGTTTCTCCCGATGTCCAGCACCTTCAGGTTCTGATTTTGCTCCAGGGCATCCGCCAGCTCCCGACAGCCCTCCACCGTGAAGGAGCACTCCGACAGACTGTGAGATGGAAATGTACCAAAGGGGGAAATCATCCCACAGTCTCAGGCTTTATCAGCTCTAGCCCCCCCTCACCTTCTTCCAGGGAGAAGAGATAAGCCAGAGATGACTTCTCATCCTGGGCCTGCAGCTGGTCCTCCATCCATGCTCACATGTGTGTGTGTGTGTGTGTGTGTGGCAGACAGAGTCATTGATGGGAGAGAGAAAGAGGAAGGAGGAAGAGAGAGAGAAAGAGAAAGGGAGGGAGGGAGACAGACATTGATGTGAGACAGGAAGGGGGTGTGGAGAGAGGTCCTTGGAAGGCCTCTTACACAGATGTGTTTCAACCTCTGAACTCAATAGTTGAGCGGGGAAAAAAAAACATCAAAATCTCATGTACAATGAGTTATTGTACCAAAATGAGTTCAAGATGCAGAATCCAGGTAAATATTGGGAGAGAGAGAATAAGAGGAGGGGAGGGTTGAGAGGGAGACAGGGGAGAGGGAGTAGATGGAGAGGAGAGAGAAGAAAGACAAAGAAGAGAGAGGGAAGAGACAGAGGTATAGAGACAATAAAACAGACAAACAGAGAAGAGACAGAGAAAATAGGAGACAGACAGGAAAGAGACATAGATAAAGAAATAGACACAGAGAGATGGGTGGAGGGAGACAGAGGGAGCAGAGAGGCAAAAGTGGAAGTGATACCTTAAGGTGGGAGAAGGCAAACAAAATCCTTCTGCCCTATAGGAAGAGTCTGACAACATGACAATACCCACATGCTTAAAACCATCCCGGGCCAAGTCTAAGGGAACGGCCAAGTAGATACACAGCTACGCAAAGCAGACCCAAGATGGCTAGGTTTCCACGGTGAGGAATGCCCACAAGTCAGCAGGAAAAAAACCTCAACTGGAAAAAAATAGTCCTCAGGTTTTATCAAGAAGTTTTTCATTTAGACATTCACACAGATGCTTTTGAACATTCAGACGTAGCTCAACTCATCCTTATTCAGAGATACAAATATACAAAAACTTGAGTTTATAAATAAGGGGTATGACCCCCTGGGACCGACCTCAAAATAATCTTGGGGGGAGAGTGTGGATGAGGGTTTAGGGGAGAGAAATTGGCCGTGAATCCATAATTGTTGAAATTAGATAATGGAGTGGATTACAGAGACTTCTCTCTACTCTTGTCTAAATTTCGCTATTTCCATGGAAAAATAAAATAGAGGTAGAGCTACCATTTTTCTACACCTCAAATTGAAGAACTCAAGGAAGTTTAGGAACAGGGTATGTGGAGACATGGGTAACAGGTGCCCTTGGCTGGCAGCGATGTTAGTGGAGGACAATGGGCATTGTGGTTGGTCCTTAACAGTTGTCCCCTTTTCTCCACACAGGTACCACAATGCACCACGCACACCCCCACCATCGACCAAACCTAAGGCTCTTCTGTGCCGAGAGTTATGTCTGCACCCAGAACAGGCTGCCCCCTAGAACTCCAGCGAGCAATGGGGGGCCACCCGCTGATGGACAGGGCGGCGTAGCACTCACTCCAGGCTCTGCAGGGCACAGTCCGGCTGACGCAGCGCTTCACACAGAAACCTCACCCCCTCATCACCCAGCTGGTTCTTCCTCAGGTTCAGGTGCGTCAGACTCTTGTTCTGCAGGAGAGCGTCAGTCAGGTGCCTGCAACTGGGCGCTCCGAGCTGGCAGAAGCAGAGCCTGTGGGTCGAGAGTCCCAGAGAGAGCAGCTCAGGAACACAGACCACCCCGAGGAGCCCCAGGCGCAGATGGCCTCCGCGTTCACCGCACTGCGTCCCTGGCCCCTAACCCAGGATTCACTGAGTGTGCCCTGACTTCTGGCCTGTTCCAGACTCAGACAACAAGCATGGCAAGAATGTGCCAGTCATGCCCTGGCTGGTGTGGCTCTGTGGATGGAGTGCTGGCTTCCAAAACAAAAGGGCAACAGTTCAATTCTCAGTCTAGGGCACATGCTTGGGTTGCAGGCCAGGTCCCCAGTAGGGGGTGAGTGTGAGGCAACCACACATCAATGTTACTCCCGCCTTCCCATCTCTAAGAATAAATAAATTAAATATTTAAAAAACAAAAAAGAGTGTGCCAGTCATTATGGTTGGGTAAAAACAAAAAAAAGAATAATGATGGTCAAACGGTACCGCGTTTCCATTTTGCAATATCAATAACTTTGAGTGATCCAGTGCATGGCATTGTGCCTATAGCTAACAATACTCGATTTATGCTTAAAATATGCCAAGAGGGTAGATCCTATATTAAGTATTATAATATTGCTACTACTATTAAAATAATGATGATGATGATGATAATTTTTAAGAAGAATGGAGGAACCATTGGGAGGTGATGGATATACCCATGGCCTTGATGGAGGTGAAGATTTCACAAATGGACGCTTATCCCCAAACTCGCTGAGTAATGTTAGTTCATATTATGTGTATTCACTTCTTATTAATATTCTGGTTCTTGGCAGCCCAGTGCTAGGTGAGTGTTAACCTTTGGCCAAGGCCAGCTCTCCAGTTTTTCACCATAACCGCCCCCTTGGAGGTGCCCCAAGACCCTTGGCCTTCTCCACTCTTTTATGCCCACCTGAATTGTACCTGATCCTAGAAAACCTCAGCTCTCGACCTGTTCTACACCTGCACCAAGAATTACATGCGGCTAAAGGGTAACATCTGTGTAACCACACAGCTGTGGACTCACCCCTGCCCAGGGCTCTCCACTACCCCACCCCCACCCCAGAGCACTTCGGTCCTGTGTACACCTGCTCGGACATCTCCACCTGGCGGATGACCAGGCATCTGCCACACCGGTGTCCTGATCCGCCTTTCACCTGGCTGCCCAAGCCCATTGCCTGAAGCGAGTCTGGGTTCCTTTTCCTCCAAAATCACCGCCAATCCATCACCAAGTCGCACTGGTTCTGCCTCTCCAGATCCCCTGAAATCCTTCAGCGGCACCAGGACAGTTCTCTCATCGCCTCTGGCACATGGGACTGCACCCACTTTGCCCCCAGTAGAGTCTGTGCAATTTCCCATCCTCGGATGACTTTGCATCTCACCCCAAACAGAACAGATTCCTTCACACCCCGCACCAGGGCATTTTGCAGGCCTCTTGCCACCTAACTTCATTTTCTCTTGTTACGCACCCTCCTCACTTATGTTACTCCTGTCCTACATGTTTTCTTGTTCCTCCTACCACATCCCAAACAGCAGCCCCTCCCCTTCCTTCTTTCCTTCCTTCCTTCCTCCAAGTCTCTGCTTCAACATCACCTCCTCAGATAAGTTAGGCAACCAACCTAACCACCCTTTTGTATTCATTCTTTTTCTCATCTTGATTTGTGTGTGTGTGTGTGTGTGTGTGTGTGTGTGTCACCCATAAAACCACATCCCCCACATAGGCAGGAGAAAGCTTGTCTGTCTTATCCTCACCCCAACTTTGGTACCAGCTCTGTGTCTGGAGATAGGAACTCCAATATCAATTGACTGAAACAATCAAAATTTCCCAGGGCCCTTGCTAAAATGGAATTCCTTGGCACAACCCCCAGAGATGGATTTCACATACCCAGGGTGCCACTCACGTGGAGTGATAGCTCTGTGCCTGGGAGTTTTCCAAGTTCTCCACAGGTCCCAACAAAGGAGCCAATGTTCTCCCCAACGCCGACCCTCACAGATGGTCACTTTCAGAAACAGAGCCAAGAGCCACTTACACCAACCTCTCCAAGGCACAGTCGGGCTGACTCAGGGAGGCGCACAGCCACCGCACACCATCATCCCGCAGCGGATTGAATCCCAGGCACAGCCGGGCTGTCCTCTGGGTGCTGGTGAGAATCGAGGCAAGTGCCTCTGAACTGGCAGCCGACAGGTTGCATTTCTCCAAGCTGTGAAAGGCGTAGGTGTGCAAGGTGAACCTCAGCAACGCTCACCTTGGTCCTTTCTCAAACTCCTGGTCCCTTAGGGCCACACATCTGGGAGCCAAACCTCATGGAAAGATTAAATCAGATACAGAACAAAAGCTTCAAGGAGGAAAAAGCAGGTCAAGGTATGGTTTCTCAATCCTTGCCCTACTGAGCTTTGGGTCAGCTCATTCTTTTTTGTGGTATGTCCCCCAACGCATTGTAGGGTGTTGATCATACCTGATCTTTAACCACCACACACCCAGCACCTGCTCCCCTCCCAGCTATAAAAGCCAAGTAAATGTCTGGACAAGGTCAAATGTCCCTGAGGAACAAAATCGCGCCCCCAGTCAAACACCACTGGGTTTAGGGGAAGCTGACAGAAGCCTCAGGGGTCACACTGAAGAGGCTGTGAGGCCCACAGTCATACTGAAGGCAAAACTGGCCAAGACTGAGCTCTAAGGAGAAAGGGAAGAATAAAAATGATAACCCTGGCTGGTGTAGCTCAGTGAATTGAGCACAGGCCTGTGAACCAAACCACAGCAGTTTGAGTCCCAGTCAGGGCACATACCTGGGTTACAGGCCAGTTCCCAGCAGGGGACACACAAGAGGCAACCATACATTGATATTTCTCTCCCTCTCTCTTTCCCTTCCCCTCTAAAGATAAATAAATAAAATCTAAAAAAAAAAAAAACCTTAAAAAAAATGATAAGAACTGTGGCAACACGACAGGCACACACACACACACACACACACACGCACAGCAAAGCTCCTCAAAACATACTCCCACCCTGACACTCGAACTTGCAAAGAAGATATTTGGATAGAGAGGGAAGACTTACGAGAGCTCCTTCAAGGCACACTTGGCCCCATCAAAGGGCTTCTGAAGGTTTTTCACCTCAATATGAGAGAAGTCATTGTCCCCCAGGCTGAGGAAACGCAGGCTGGAGTTCTTGCTGAGTTCCAGGAACAGATGGTCACAAGCCACAGAGGTGAGGCCACACGATTCCAACCTATCAAGGAGGGCCCAAGACAGGCCATCAGTCCCCGGCAGAGTGGTCTTTGAGTATAGGTCCCCTTGCTACATGAACAAAAGCTGACCTCCCCATTTCCGACCCCTCCTTGGGGCAGGTTGGTTTCCAAGGCCGCTCAAAGTGTGGTCCATGGCCCAGCATCACCTCAGAGATGGCTCACCTACTCAGTCTCCGAAAGCGGGGTCCTGGTGTTTGAACACCGCCCCCCGCCACACCTGGACAATTCTGATACATATTAAAATTGGAGACTCACTGCTCTACGCTCATGAACATCTTTTTCCCTCTGCTAATCTTCCTCTGGATCCATTTGCTGCCATGCTGACTCCTGTTCTCCCAGTGAATCTTCACCCCTGGGGGTGGTCCTGGAGACAGACCTGGGGAACCAGAGACTTACCACAGATACTTGAGGTTGCATGCTGAGTGCCTGAAGGTTTTAAAAATCATCATGGACACAGTAATTCCCAGGTTGTTGGAGCTCAAGTTCAGGTGGGTCAGCCGGTTGTTACCATAAAGGACCATAATGAGTTCCTTCAGGACCCTGACAGGGGCTATTGATTTGCATCTGAGGGAGAGAAGAGGCCAGAAAGCTAGTTTGGAGGAGGGTAGGGGGGTGGGGATATGGCATCCTCGTCTTGAATTTGCATGTAAGGACGGACACACAGATGCTCAAGGATAGACAAGGTAAAAGAGGAACCCACAATTTGGCTTTGAGTCATGATAGTGAACGTTTTTAAAAATAGATTTCATTTATTTATTTTCTAGAGAGATGGGAAGGGAGGGAGAAACAGAGTTGAGATAAATGTCAATGTGTATATGGTTGCCTCTTGCACGCCCACAACTGGGGACCTGACCCACAACCCAGGCATGTGCACTGACTGGGAATCAAACCAGTGACCCTTTGGTTCACAGGCCAGCACTCAATCCACTGAGCCACACCAGCCAGGGCTCAAATGTTTTTTTAGATAGTGGGGAGGCCCTTCTTAAGAAACTAATTTTCTTCTCCTTTGGGAGATGTCATTATTTTGTATACAATTCTGATCATTTCGGTGAGTTTCTCCAATACAAGGTAAGTTCCATAAAGGCTGCAGTTATCTGTTCTGTTCATAACCCTAGAACTGATACAGAGATGCTCCTGTAATGACCCAGACCTTCTCAGCCCTTCACATCCAACTCAAACCAGCAGCCCCACTCAGAGGTCTTAAGGAAAAAAATAGTTTCTCTGTGTGTGCCTCTCATGCAAGATTACTCATGGCAGAGTCCCATTTGTTTTTATTTCCACCTACCCTGCCTAAGTAGAAGCTCCACTAATACAAGCACATTTATTTTATTTTCCTGAGCACCTACCTTACTTTCTGACAAGTAGATGCTTACTTACAGAAATTTTTTTAAAAGTTCGGTTGTCCTGCCCTGGCTGGTATGCCTCTGTGGACTGAGTGCTGGCCTGTGAACCAAAGGGTTGCCAGTTTGATTCCCAGTCAGGGCACGTGCTTGGGTAGCAGGCCAGGCCAGGCCAGGTCCCCAGCAGGGGCACATGAGAAGCAACCACACACTGATGTATCTCTTCCTCTCTTTTTCTCTCCCATCCCTTCTGTCTAAAATAAATAAATAAATAATAGCTTTAAAAAATATTTTTAAAAGGTTGAGTTGTCCCACTATGGTATTCATCAAACTGTGAGGGTGTCACACTTACGTCAGTTTTTGGAGTCTGCACCTTGGATTTCTAAGCTCATAGCAGAGTTTTTTCATAGATGTAGCATTCAGCTTGCTGTTACTCAGGTCTAGTTCACTCAAGTTCCCATTGTGGAACACAGAGCAGACATCCTGCCACTGGCTTATCTTGGAATGGACAAACCTCGTCCTTTTTGAGGGAGAGAGAGAAGGCCAATGAGTAAATGAACCTCGATCAACACCTAGAATGTGGTCTACAAGAGGCAAGAAAGAAAAAGACCCTAACAAGTGACGAGGGATTTGTTAGCATTCTGGGTATGAAAATGTGTAATCCCAAAAGTATAGTTCTCAAAATACTACATGTGTAATTTCTGCAATTCTCAATAATTCTTGTCAGAAAAAAAGCAACCACATAAGTGAGGTGAGGTGGACATCCCTGGGACCTGAAATAATTAGCAGATGAGTCAGGTTTTCTTATCTAGATAGAAAATCATTAGTGTCCATGATGGGACAAGGTCAGAGGGAGAGAAGCCAAAGCAGCTAAAGTATTTCTGGGATTCTTCCTCCAGTGAAGTCATTAATGAAAATTGTTAGTATCAGGAATAGGACGAAGTCATAATAACCCAAAGTAGATAAGTAGGTCTGGGGTTTTTTCCTCTTCTAGGAGATAAAGGGGCGAACTCATCAGAACAAGCTTTGGAATTTTGTGGACCCTATAAGCCCCACTCCTACCCCAACTCTCACTCGCTGGAGAAACATCTAGCATCTGATGTAAGATCTGGAGTTCACGGAGAGAGCTGAGCACTAATCTGGGCTGAGCTACTCAATAACCACAAGAACGTAAGTAAACTGTGCTTTTATCCTTCAGTTTTCTTAGCCACGAATGGCAATAGTAGCTCCCTCTTTATTCATCTACTGACATCAGATGCAAGACAATGCAGTAGAACAATATCTGCCCCATAAAAAACCTTTCATGTGCGGTGCCCAAGATAGAAGCTCTACCTTTGATTAGATCAATGAAAGGAGCCAGGGGCCCCCAACATGATAACTAAAGGAATACCTTCACCCAGGGTAAAACTGATTGATGATGTTTAATCAATCATAACCATTGATCACACAGCTACAACAAAGAATCCCCAGTTTTTCACTGTAGAACTCAGGCAGAGCAGAGAGAATTCGGAGAAAAGAAATAACAATGCATTACACACCCCAGTGGTTTCCCGTTGGCCATCAACTCCATTTGGGGGATGTAACAGCTGACAGAGAGCCTTAGCTTACTTAACTTTTGACAGTGCTTTAGACAAAATGAAATAGCCTGAAACTGAAGATCCCCAAGATGCAGGTCTGCTTCAAGGAGGTGGCTCAAAATTTGCCTGACTAGGGACTCCTCCTGCATCTCATACAAGCACTGAAAAAATAGAAGGAATTCAAAACTGCAGGAGACGGCATCAGATGTGGATATCTCTTCTGCCCATTTCAATAACTTGTCCGTGATCCTGGGACACATCTTACAATGCAAAGTATCTTCTACTTTTCTTGCTAGGTCTCCATTCAAGAGACCGAAGAAAAAAAGAACCATCTGGTTCCAGTAGGAGTTTGTGTCCACAAAGGCATCATCCAGGAGCGCCCTCATCTCTTGATACTTTGAGAGACCGCCAACGGCTCCTTCTTTTCCCCTTAGCACGTAGAACATGGCTCCCAAAAACACCTGGAAGCTTTGGTGAGTGAAGGTGACACAGTCCTCACAGTCACTGGCCTTTCGAAGAATATTGAGCCTCAATAGACAACCAATCAGAGGCGCCTGCAGGCGCCGGTGTTCAATGTCCTCTTTTGCAAACGTGAACTTTGAAGACCACATCCCATCAGCAGCCAGAGAGCAGAGGGCTCGCCACTGCTCCATCCAGCTGTGCTTTGACCAACTCGCCTCTGCTGTTTCGAACAAGCTGGAGAAAAAACAAGCGTACAGATGGGTGGTGGTCTGGGCACCCAGCTGGAAAGAGGGACACCTTGCCATCTGCTTCTTCAGGCAGGAGCACACCATCCAGCACACGAGGGGGGCGGAACAGGAACGAGACAGAACTTCTTGCTTTCTTATCCACTGCAAGATTCTCCTGGTTTTCTTTTGTTCCCCAAAGTATCTAAAGAAATACTCCTCCTGATCTTCCTTTGTGAACCCTGGGATCTGTATAAACCATGGATTCAATAACAGTTGTTTAAGGTCTTCCCTGCTACAGTCCCTGGTGGTGATCAATAAGGTAGCAGAGGGAACCAGCTCCTTCTTCAACAAGTGGAGTAGGATTCTGGCCACTGGGAGCTGCTGGTACCAGTCTGGACACGGCAGGCTGTCACCCACATTGGGGGGCATGGTCATTTCCTCAAAGCCATCGATGACAAACAAGAGCCTCTCCGGATGACTCATGAAGTATTCGATGGGGGCCTGAGAGTCTGGTGAGTCCCGGAAAAGCAGGCCGGCAAAGGTGGTGTCCTCCATCTCTCTGGCTTGATGGCAGCTGATGTAAGAGACATAGGAGAAGCTGTGTTGGAACAGTAAGCCCTCTGCCCAGTGCATCAGGAGCTTTGTTGCCAGGGTGGTCTTCCCGACCCCTGCTGCACCATGCAAGACTATCGTCAGGGGCTGGGCTCCAGTCCTCTTGGGGTACAGGAGACACTGAAGCTCTTCATGCTCCTGTGCTGTGACGTTTCGGAGGTATATGTGGTCTTCCGGCCAAGGGATACGGTTCCACATTGCCAATATTTTAGCCTTCATCCTCTCTCGGTACATTCTGATGTCGACTGAAAGAAAGAAGGGAGTCAGAACAGAGCAGTGCTCAGAAGACATTTCAGCATTAGGAATCATTTAATAATGACATTGCCTTCAACAAGACAAACAAGGGTCTAACTTTTAGGAGCAGTGGTAGTAGCAGAAAGTGAAAAAAGGCAGCAAAAGTTAGTTTTATGATATACGCAAATATTTAGAAAATCTCAGACAACACAAGAGATATCTAATTAGAGTTTCAGAAACTCTGAACAGATAACAGTGTGGTGATTGCTGGGGGGGGAGGGGGATATAAGGAGACTAAAAGGTAATGTAAAAAATATAATAAAGATTTAAAAACAGGAAGAAAAACAGAACGAAGAAGGAAGACTCACTGTCAAAGGGACAATATGAATTTTTTGAGATTTTTTCATTTATTTTTAGAGAGAGGGGAAGGGAAGGAGAAAGAGAGGGAGAAAAACATCAACATGTGGTTGCCTCTTACGTGTCCCAAACTGGGGACCTGGCCCACAATCCAGGCATGTGCCCTGGGAATCAAACTTGTGGCCCTTTGGTTTGCAGGCCTGTGCTCAATCCACTGAACTACACCAGCCAGAGCTAGTTCTTTTTTTTTTTTAATTATGATACACCTCACCAGATTTTGTTATGTAATGTTTTATAACCATAAATTTTAAAAATAACTATTAAAAAGGAATATTTAAGAACAGAAGGAGATGCCTTCTTATTTTTTTTATTTATCTATCTTTAGAGGTGAAGGGAAGGAGAGAAGGAGAGAAATATCATTGTATGGTTGCCCCTCATGAGTCCCCTGCTGGGAATTGGTGTGCAACCCAGGCATGTGCCCTGACTGGGAATCAAACCTCGATCCTCTGGTTCACAGGTCTGTGCTCAATCCATTGAGCTACACCAGCCAGGGCAGAAGCTGCCTTTTTAAATTCAAATGTAAAGCTCCCACTTGAGGGCCAGGCCCAGAACCTAGATACCCATGACATGTCAGAACATAGGGTAGAGGACCCCAAAAGCTATCACAGTGAAAAAGACAGGTCCCATACAATGTAAAAAATCAAAGTGGCATCAGATTTATCACCACAGGGCCCTGGAAGACACTGGCCACCAGAAACACTGGCGGAAAATGCTTCTCAACTTGGAAGTGGACCTAAATTATTCATCAAAGGGTACCCTAGAGAAACTTTCAATAAAATAAGCTCTTAAAAATCCTCTCTCACATGGACCTTTGTCAATAAGGTGTTCTAGAACAAGTTCCCTAAGACAGTGTGGAGATAGATAAATGGGCGTGGAATCTACTATCAACTGGATAAAACTTCAAGAAAAATGGCAAACATAGACAAAATAGTGTGCACACCTGACTGGTCTTCTGGGATCTCCAGTTCTTCTTGGCGTGGGTCTTGGGGTGCCTGTGCCATCTCTGAAAAAAACAGTAATGATGGGGTGTGAGGTACCCCAGGCTGGAACGAGCAGGTGGTGATGGGTGCTCTCCAGAAGACCAGCCATGTCCCTGACAAGCTTGGGGTTGACTGCAGGAGCCAAAATGCCCAGCTCCACCAACACCTCTTTGGAAACCTGCTCCTTTGCAAAGCCCACGGCACACATTAAATGCCTCCCAGACTCTGCAGCTTGGGTCCAGCCAGATCCCCCAACAGATTCTTCCATTGGATGTCCACTTGGCTCACTCCCTCACCTCCAAGACTTGCCTCCAGTCTTACCTCCTCAGGGTGGCTGATGATCCTAATCCACACAGCTCCAGACCCCTACCCATCACACACCTGAGGCTCTCCCCACCCACCTTTTTCTCTCTCTTGTCCACTTGGGTGTCACATGCTAACACGCCATGTGGTGTACTTATTGAGCCCATCATTACTCATCCACGACCAGCAATTTGGATTGACCCCATAAAAATCCAATAGCAAGACCCTGGCTGGCGTAGCTCAGTGGATTGAGCACAGGCCTGTGAACCAGAGTATCACGGTTTGATTCCCAGTCAGGGCACATGCCTGGGTTGCAGGCCAGTTCCCAGCAGGGGACGCATAAGAAGCAACCATACATTGATATTTCTCTCCCACTCTTTCTCCTTCCCTTCCCCTCTCTCAATAAATAAATAAATAAAATATATATTTTTAAAAATCCAATAGCAGCATCCTTGCTGCCATGAGGGTAGCTGTCCCCTTGGTCCATCATCTCCCAATGCTCCCAGTGTCTCCATCTCCCTGTGTCCCCCCGCCCCCTGTCTCAGCACCCATGGCCCCATCCCTCCAGCCCCCACTCACCATTCATCTCAGCTCTCAGTTCCTCACAAAGTGAAGTCAGATTCATGTTCTCAAAGATTCGGAGGGTCACCTCCCACACCTGCCTCCCCGGGAAGTGCTCATTCAGCAGACAGAGCAGGTCAGTGGGGTTGGCAGCTTTCATATCGGCCCAGGGGATCTTCTGGGAGCCACTGGGCAGCCACTGTGGGGACTGGAGGCCGAGTTTGAATTCCTCCAGCTGGCACTGATCCAGGCCCCTCAGGTAGGACAGAAGTTTGTCCCAGGAACTGTTGTTCCCAGCCACGCTCACCAAGGAGTTCATTCTGCCAACGCACCCGATTCCCAGCTTCCCCAAGACCTGTGCCACACACAAGACAACCAGGAGCTGCAGGAAAGGAAGCAGAAAAGACATAAGTCTGACCCCCCACCTCCTCCCAAAGGGTCCAGGGGTGTCCAACCTTCTGGCGTCTCTGGGCCACACTGGAAGAAGAAGAGTTGTCTTGGGTTGAACATTAAATACACAAACACTAATGAGAACTGATGGGGAAAAAAATGTTTTAAGTAAATTTACGATTTTGTGTTGGGCCACATTCATAGCCATCCTGGGCTGCGTGCGAGTCCTCCAGGCCTCAGGTTGGACAACCCTGGAAGCTATATCCTCACTCTGTTCACCTTCTAGCATGTCCCACTGCCTGTGTTTGTACACGTGTTCATCAACCTGTCTCCCACTGGGGCATCTGCTTCCTCTGAACAGGGAACCTGCCTGTTCATGGCTGTTACCACCAGCACCAGGCACGCACGAGGCCTCAGCCATGTAGTATCTTTATGTACACCAAATTTATATGTGCCTAAAATCATGTATAATATATCATGTTTACCTATGTGTTGTATATAGAATGTACAATATGAAATATAATATGTAGTGTTTTATATATAATATTATTAGGTCAAGTGTGGTGATTGTGGGGGGACAGATGGGGAGGTAGAGGAGGGTATGGGGGAATAAATGGTGATGAAAAAAAATAGCATTTTATCACTTACAATAAATCTAAAAGCCCTGTCCTAGCAAATTTACTGATTCGAGACTGGACTGTGCTTAAATTCAGAAGATTCGCTCTAAATGTGAATAAAAAAGAACATTGAAGTGAGTTAGTGACATCAAAGACGTGGAGGAGGGGAGGGAGACTAACTAGAGCAAAGGCATAAACAAGGGAGACCATTGTAAACCAGTGTCAGTAACGTCCATCCGGCTGGGGTGGGGACAGTGACCAGTCCACAGAACTGAGATCTGCTACCCTGCTCACAATAGCCTAGACTGGAGACTCTCTCAGTGTCTGTGGACAGAGGGATAAAGAAAATGCAAGAGAGAGAAGGAGAGAAGCACACAGAGGACTATGACTCAGCCATAATGAAGGAGATCCCTCCATTTGCAACAACATGGAGGACCCTACCTGGAGGGTATTCTGCCAAGTGAGATAAGCTGGACAGGGAAAAAGTACCATATGATTTCACTTATACATAGAATCTAAAATAGTCCAACTCACAAGTCGCCAGGAACCCAAAACTAATATATTATTGCCTGTCAACCATAATTAGAAATAAGTAAGTAGCCCTGGCTGGGTAGCTCAGTTGGTTAGAGCATCATCCTGATACACCAAGATTGTAGGTTCAATCCCCAGTCAGGGCACATACAAGAAGCAACCAATAGATGCACAAATAAGTGGAACAACAAATCGATGTTTTCTTCTCTCTCCCTAAAATCAATAAATAAAAAATAATGTTTTCACCAACCAAGAAATGCATAGATAATTGGAACAACACAGCAATTTTCTCTCTCTAAAATCCATTAAAAGTAAAGAAGTGCCTATTTGTAAAATAATAATAATAATAATAATAATAAATTTTCTAAAAAACTCAGCAGGAATACTTAATTAACGAATCCTGAACCATAGCTTCCACTATGGATTACATTCCTTCCCACTTCTAGTCACATTTTTTGTCAACCAACAAATACATAACTCTGGGGTATGTGAGTCTCTGTTTAAAGGTGCCTTATTGACTATGTACTGTTTGGTTAATGTTCAACTCAGGACCAACTGCACTCTCCCTCACACCTGAAGGAAGCCTGTCTATCACCCAGCGTTCTCCATAAATGCCTCCACAGCCTTTGTACACTCAAGACACCAGACCCCACTTCCTGCAAACCAGGGACACCCCCCCAAAACAAGCCCAGAAATGTAAACCGACCTACCTGGAAGGACACGTGTACAGAGAACGAGAGATGGAACAATGAGATGGATTTTCCACCGCTCTACACATATCCAAGAACAACGGGAGAAAGCACCCAATCATTAATGGGGGGAGGCATACAAATACATTTTAGCAAGTAGGTGAATTTGCAAATATGGAATCCATGAGTAATGAAGGTCGACTAAAATTAGAGTTACGTGTCTCATTGAGTACAAGAAGGGACCCTCCAGGGCGCCATGGGATGATACCCTGAGTCGAACTAGAAGGGACATGAGTGAAAAGAATTCCATGCATGAGGCATGAAGTGTCCATCAGATTGAGTTCAGAGCATGGAAAGAGGGTAACAGCCAGGGAACACAGTGGTGGCAGAAGCTCTGAAGGGGGAATGAAGAAATGGAATGAAGAAATTCAGTTGAAAGGTTTTTTTTTTTTTTTCATTTTTTGGGTGTTTTGGGGTTTTTTTAAACTATGGAATCTCCTGGGTCCAGGAGGCAGGAAGTTTTTAATGAGAGGAAATGAGACCTGCAGCAAATTCCTGCATCGAATGCAGAAAACAGCCAGTAGCCACAACTCCCGGCTCACCCTGCCCCCACTCTCTGGGAAACATCCTCAGATTTCTCTGCTTCTGGAAGGCTGACTGTTTTTTTGGGTGCCTCACAGGAGGGGAATCACGAAGCGTTTTAAGGCTGGGTAAAATTTCAGTGTGTGTGCATTTCACGGTGTGAAGTTTCAGTTATGCAGATTAAATTAGTTCTAGAGGTTTTCTATATAGCAAAGTCAACAGAACTGGATTGTTGCCCTGGCTGGGTGGCTCAGCTGGTTGGAGCATCATCACATACACCAAAAAGTTTTAGGTTCAATTTCCAGTCAGGGCACATGCCTAGGTTGATTTGATCTCCAGCTGGGGCACGTGTGAAAGACAGTCAATGGTTTCTTTCTTTCTTTCTCTCTTTTTCTCTCTGTCTCTCTGAAATCAATAAACATATCCTTGGGTGAAGATTTTTTTTTAAATACCCCCAGGTGAGGATTTTAAAAGAACTGTATTGGCATTTAAAATTTTGTTAAGAGGGTAGATCCTGCGTTAGGTGTAGCTATCACATGCACACAAAGAAAGTCACAAAGAAACTTCTGGAGGCAACAGATATGTCTACTACCTTGATTGTGGTGATGCTTCCACAGGGGAACGCCTGTGTGCAAACTCACCAAATTGCATGCTTTAAATATGTGCTGGTTTTGTACCTCTATTAAGTTGTGTTTAAAAAAGAAAGAAAAGAAAATGCCAGCCAGGTCCAAGAAAGGAAGGGATGCCAGGTTTGAGAAAGGGTTGGAGCAGAAGAGAAAGGGGATACCACTTACCAATCAGGCTTTGAACATTGTACAAGTGTCCCGATGCCCCCGTGCAGGGGACCTGAGAGAAGTCAATTCCACCACTCCCTTCTTAGCCTGTGACAGGCCCTCGGGTGTTCAGGGCAACCTCAGCCTCCTCAGGAGTCTGTTGGTAGGTGTCTGGTTGGTGGCTCTCTCCCCACCCCCTCTGAAGAGATCCAGACTAATTCCTGATAGCTCCTGAGCCATCAACACCCAACTGCTGCCTATTAGCTCTGACTCCTTCCCCTCCAGGTGTAAATCACCTGCTAGCCCGGAGGGGGGCAGAGATGGCTTTCCAGTTAAAACCCACAGCATCCTTATGTAAATGAAGTCCTGCATCCCAGCAAAAAGCCACTGATGTGAGTACCTCCCCCAAGCAGCTGGGAGACCACATACCACAATAAAAGGAGAGGAAGAGAGAGGAGAGGAGGCTTTAAAATCAGAGGCAGCAATACCATTGAATGAAAACTGCCATTGAGAAATTAAATTGGCCAGGTGGTTCAGTTGGTTAGAACATCATCCTGCTATTCCAAGGTTGTGGGTTCCATCCCCAGTCAGGGCACATATGACAATCAACCAGTGAATGCATCAATCAGTGGGACAACAGATAGATGTTTTGTGCTCACCCTCTCTATCTCTCTCTCTCTCTCAATAAATTTAAAAATAAAATTAAAAGTAAATCGATAAAATCACAGTGGCCGCCCCATGTGTGCCCCTGTCTTCTCCCAACTCCAGTAACCCCACCACTGAAATCATTTCATCATGGACATGAAGACTTTCCCACTGAAGCCCTGCAGACTAGTCTGAACACCACCACCACAGACAGTGAAGGTGTCCATCAACAACTTCCACGACTTTAAGTTTAAAGGAGCCATTTTAAAGCGCCAATCAGGAAGCTATTGGAAAAAGGTGTAAGAATGAGAAAGGATGCGTGCATCTTTTCAAATTAGTGTTTTAAATTTCCTTGGCTAAACACCCAGAAATGGAATCATTGGATCATATGATAGTTCTATTGTTAATTTTCTTCATAGTCTTTCCAGAGAATATACTCAATAATATTGTGATGATTCTGTATGGTGTCAGGTGGGTACTAAACTTATCAGGGGGATCCCTTTGTAAGTAAGGTATATAAGTATTGAATCACTATGCTGTACACCTGAAACTAATACAACATTATATGCTAACTGTAATTAATGAATTTGCTGTTGTAAGTACGGCCCATTCTCATTCCTCACGAGACTTGCATTGTCACCAGGAGCATTGAATTCTGATACTGAACCATGGCTTTGATGAGAACCATGGGATTAGGCTCCTTCTATTGATTCCCAATTAATTAATTAATTAATTAATTAATAAGGAATTGGAAAGGAACAGGTACAACTGTGTGGCACTTGTTTGCTTGTTGTGTAATCCAACAAAACAGAGGGAAAACTACTAGTAACGCGCACACGCCAGGTCTGTTGCCTCTCCCTTTGACAGCGTCCATGGCTTTCTTTGGGCCTCCAGTTGGGTCCTGTTGACGCCCAGGCCCTCATTTTGCTCAGTAGAATTACACCCTGAGTAGGGGAGACTGCGCTGGTGAACAACCTCATTCAGTAAATCGTTCTAGATGTTTCCAAATGGGAAGCAGAGTGTCTGGGCGGACTCCGGGGATGCGGGGAGCTCTCCAAACCCATCACTTGCTGAAATCGCTTGTTCTGAATCTCAGAGGCAGAAAATCCTTTCTTTCACCGATGATTAGAAGCACCTGTACGAACAGCCAGCAGCCCCTCATCACCTGAGCCACCTACCCTAAGCTTGCAAATCTATGCAAAGCAGGCCCAGCCCCAGCCAATGGGAATGGGTCTCTGAGCCAATATATCAGAGCTGGGGCAGGGCGGACCAAGTACTTTTTCTTTCTGCTTTGCGAGATATTTTTGACAGGAAGGAGCCAGGAAGCCTAATTTTCTTCAGGGGTGAGTGGGTTTTTTTTTTCTTTGTTATTCTGTCCTTTCTGACAGTTACAATCAAGGACACTTGACTTCACCAAGTGACATTGGCCGGTGTCAAAAACGCAAAGGCTAGAAATTCACCTTTTGGAAGGACCAGCTCTGTTCCATTGATAAAAATCCTTACCGGTCTCTGGAACCCGGCCTTTCTGTCCCAGAGGAAAGACTTAAGTCCCGCCCCCCACTTTTTTTTTCTTCCAGATGTCAGAGTGTGACTGTCAGATCTAGCAAAATCCTTTACACCCGAAAGAGATGTCACGGGTCTCCAGGTGCTCAGAGGTCTACGGTAGCCATTTGCAGATAAGACAAAAAAATGAAGATAGTCACAAAAGACAAACAGGGAGGCAGAGAGTAGAGTAGGAAGCAGCCAGGATTCAGAGGTGACAGATTTCAAGAATGGAGGTGAGGGTGGAGTGCTTACTTAAGCAGTGGCCATCACCGCAGCGAGCCTGTGATGATCCAACACCATAGCAATGACTCAAAGGTAGATAAAGCTTTTGAGTCAGTGCTCAGTACATGATGACTTAAGAAAAGCTACCAGAAAGTTCTCCGATGATGGGGATGAGAGTTAAAACACAATCATTAAACGTAGCTCAGAGAAGCAATAGTATATGAAGAGCAGGTCGCCCAAGAAGAAAGCCCATCTCCTGCCAGGAACCTCCTTCTTTTGTCCTTTCTTCTCCACATTCCACTTTTGTCCACAGTAAACATGGTAAAAGAAGACAAAGAAAGATGGTAGAGTGGAGGGCATGGATAGTGGGGATTAACACACCTTCGACTCCAGGCACTTTTTAAAATAACCATGGAGTAAAAGTAAACTCTGAGTAATGTTCGCTGTGATGTGCCAGGAACTGCTTTCCATGTCCTTGTGGACTTACTTCTGAGAATCCTCACAGCCTCGTGAGTAGGCATGAGATGACCCAAGTATCAAAGGTGAGAAAAGAGGCACAGAGCTGTTCAGTGGTTAACTAAAGAAGAGATGTTACCTCGCTCATAAGTGGCACAGAGAATAAGAACTACAGACCTGGCCTGGTGGCTCAGTTGGTTGGAGCATCATACCATATACATCAAAAGGTCGAAGGTTCAATTTTCAGTCAGGCTGCATGCCTAGGTTGCACGTTCAAATCCCAGTTGAGGCACATATAGGAGGCACCTGATCAATGTTCTCTCACATCGATGTTTCTCTCTCTCCCTTTCTATCTCTCTAAAAATCAGTACTCAGTTGAGGATTTGAAAAAGAGAAGAGAGAGAGAGAGATCTACAAAGCAGATTCGAGTCTCAATACTGAACCCAAATCCTGGATAGCCCACCAAGCTTTTCCACGGGAAAGAGAATCTTTGAGCTCAGGAGGTGAAGAGAGTCCCAAGTACATGCTAGGATCCCCAAAATGTGGATTAAATAAATCTGTCCTCTTGGGTAGTATTTTCATTTTTTTATAATTTTCTGTCTCCACAGGTCTTGTCCATTCTGTCTTCTGATTGCTCACTTTTTTATCAGTGGTGCCTGAGGTTCTTGGACTTGAGTAAAGATGAGTGTGAATGTGGATTCTGGTTCTACCACCACCACCACCACCTCCTCCTCTTCCTCCTCCTCCTCTCCATCTTTTATATCATCCTTGATATCCTCGTCCTCCTCCTCCTCCTTTTTCAAAGATGGGGTCATGCTATACATGCTCTACCTAAGCAAGGAGGAGCTACAAAGATTCAAGCAACTTTTAGTGGATGAGAATTCTAGACCCGGCTCTGTCCACATCACCTGGGACCAGGTAAAGACAGCCACCTGGGGGGAGGTGATTCATCTCTTGATGGAGTACTTCCCCGGACGACTAGCTTGGGACGTGACTCATGACATCTTTGCCAAGATGAACCAGGTGACACTGTGTCTTCGGGTACAGAGGGAACTACAAGGTGAGTGGTCATCCGGGTTGCTAAACAGGATGGGCCTGGGTGCTGAAGAACTAAAGGCTTTACTGGCCACCGTACTGGCCACTTGAACAAGAGAGCAAGTAGTGGGAGTGAGATGATGACCCTGACCCCAAAAGGCAAAGACTATCCTATTTACATACTTAAAAATACTTAACCAGATGCCCCTTATATGAAATGAACACAGAGAGACAAGGACATGGAGCAGTTGGAAGTAAAATGGTAAGAAAACATGTGATTTTCATGCTGCGATGAAATCACTAAACAGAAGAAGCTGGTGTAGTTACGGTGAGATCAGCAGCCTAATGTTTAAGGCAAGCAAATTAAAGACTAAAAAGGGCCATTTTGTAATGATAAAGGAGTTCAATTCCACAGGAGGGACTGACATTGCAAATTTCTCTATCAACAACACATCTTCAAAGGCATACACACAGAGGAAAAAAACAATAAACAAACCCATAAGTAGGGCATGAGACGTTAACACACCTCTTCCAATTACTGACAGTACAAGTTGTCAAATACTGATAAGAACAGAGAAAACATGAACCACACAATTCACAAACCTACACAGCAGGTGGCGAGATCCTTTATCTTTCTCATTGGCCAATGTCATCCCGTAGCTCAGTACCAAGCATGTCATAGCTGCACTGGTGTTGAAGGAAGAGACCATCATTGACCAGGAAGAGAGACCTGCTCTTGATAAGGTGCCCCAGGCAGTCTTCTTGGATGAAGTGATACTAAGGTTGGGATCTAACCAATGAGGAAGCAGCTAGACACAGGAGGAGGAGGGAGTGGGGATGGAAAACAGAATCGGAAACCAGGAAACCCTTATGCCCAAGACATCGGTATTGACTAGACCCTGCAGGGAAATGGAAAGAGGGTAACATACATGCAACTAGTTGTATATGGATGCATATGCATGTATTTTATATGTTTCTCTATATAGTCAATCTTGAGAACCTGCGGATTCTCCCACTCACTAAAAATTTATTTGCAAGCTCAAATCAATGTGCAAGGTTCGGTCCAAATTCTGAATCATTCACAGACATGCACAGAGTGGTGAGAAATTTGCACAGGCACATTGCCAGCTGAACAAGGTGTCACTCTGTCTTCTTGCCTCATCTCCCATCCTAGAAACAAGTGTCTGGCCCACAGTCTATTGGTTGTCACATGTTTTGCGTGTGTGCTTCTTGGTGGTGGTATCACTGTTGCACGTGACCCCGAAGCACAATGGTGAAGTGCTGACTAGTGTCCTGATCTCAGGAGGGCTGTGATGTGCCCCAGGGAGGAAATACATGTGTTAGGTGAGCTCTGTTCTGACTTCGGTCATCGTGCTGTTAGCCATACATTCAAAGTGAATGAATCTACAATATAAATTGAATAAGGTATCTTTTTTTTTTACTTTGGAATTGTACACTTTAAAATTTATTTATTTTTTTAGAGAGCAGGGAAGGGAGGGAGGAAGAGAGGGAGAGAAACATCGACCGGTTGCCCCAACTGGGGACCAGACGTGCAACGCGGGCATGTGCCCTGACTGGGAATCAAACCGGTAACCTTTCAGTTTGCAGGAAGAGGCCCAATCAAATGAGCCACACCAGTCAGAGCAAATAAGGTATCTTTAAACAAAAACACACATACGAGCATAAGTGAGGCCATATGGCCTTTGTCTTTCTTTGTTTGACTTATTTCACTGAGTATGGTACCTTCTAGGTCCATCCATGTTGTCACAGATGGTAAGATTTCATTCTCTTTTTTATGGCCAGGTAGTATTCCATTGAATGTCAGTGATAATTTAAAAATCTTAAAAGCAAAATAAACCAAAAGAACAAAAACACATATAGACCAAGGTTGTATATTAAAGGGTTTATAGAAACATTCTCACCAGAGGATACAGGACCCAAACCCTGTGTTTGCCTTGGAATGATGGGTCCATGTTGGTTAATTCAGTGCTAACAGTGATTTTATAGAACATAACTATGATGAATAACAAGGATCAATGGCTATTGCATATAATTTTTATATACATATAAATGCACACATAGATTTGTACACATACATACACAGATGTGGACATCCACATAGATATTCAAGTGTGCATGTGTTTTACATATGTATACATGTATGAGGGTCTGTGTCTGTATTTCAACCCTAGCGTCTGGCTGGGGGTTGAATGTATATGGTCTTAAACACCTTCCTCAGTCCCTCATGAAACAGCGCCATTTCCTCACTCTCTGGTGTCACGATGAGGTCTAGCTAATTTGCTTCTCCCTGAACTATGGAGTGAGATACTTGAGTGGTGTGGCCACTGCTATTTCGTCTGCCAATCTTCTCACTCTCATGGAACAGCTTCATTCTTGGTCTGTTCCAGACATCCTACCTAACTTGGAGCCAGAGGATTTGAACTCCAGAGGAACACAAATGAACATGGAGGCAGAAGAATCTGGTATGTGCTGGGGTGGTGAGAAGCCCTCAAGGAGAATGGGCTATGGGCTGAGAAGAGAAACTTGGTTGCAAGAAGGATTGTAAATGGTGTCTCTCCCATGAGTCAGAACATCAGAATGAAGATTACTTGTGGACTCATCTAACTAGGTGGCCCAGCCACCCCACCTGTAGGAACGGATGTAGGGGGTCAGACTACATCCTGGTGACCTCGTTTCTCTTGTCCTAGCTCCCTCCCTTCTAGTGGATTTAGTCCTGAGTGGTCTCTTCCTCTATACAGTAAATCCTTGTGCCCCCAGCTGCTCTAAGCACAGACAGTAACACTAACAGAAATAAGAGCGTTCCCAAACAGACTCTGCTGAGTGAACTGAGGGCAGGAGCTCATTCATGGAGCAGGTCATTGAAATGCTCTGGTCAGCTGAGATTGGCTAGCATGTGTGTGAGGTAGCTCAGTGGAAGGACCAGCTCCCACCCAATGTTGTAGACTGAGAGTAGGAAGGGGTTCTCCAGAGAAAAATTGGGGCCAGAACAGGAATGGTGGATAGGTGGGCAAACACAGTGGATATCTTTTTTTCCTTTTTTTTTTAATGTTTTTTAAAAGATTTCATTTCTTTGTTTTTAGAGAGAGGGGGAGGGAGACAAACATTGACGTGTGGTTGCCTCTCACACACCCCCTACTGGGGACCTGGCCCACAACCCAGGCATGCGCCCTGACTGGGAATCAAACCGGCAACCTTTAGGTTCACAGGCCAGTGATCAATCCATTGAGCCACACAGACAGGGCTATTTTTATTTTTCTTAATCCTCACTCAAGGATATGTTCACTGATTTGAGAGAAAGAGAGAGAAACATCAATGTAAGAGACATCAATCAGTTGCCTCTCAAATGTGCCCCAACCAAGGATCCAACCAAGGATCGAACCTACAACCTAGGCGCGTGCACTGACCAGCAATGGAACCTGCAAACTTCTGGTGCCTGAGACGGAGCCACCCGGCCAGGGCAAGAACTTCCAGTTTTAACACTGTGGGCTCAGCCAGGGTCATACATTCTACTTCAATATTAGAGATAGCGAAGAGATTCTCTGACTGGCATCAAGTCCTAAAGCCAATGACTTAGTAGTTCTCAGACATCTTGTAGCATCTTCCTGCCCATGTGAAGGGGTACAGTTGGAGCCAGTCACCATTTCTAATTCATGAAGTGTGCAGTTGAGGGCATGGCAGAGAAAGAAAGAGAATCGCAGGTTGAGATGAAGGTGTGTGACTGATCCTATGTCTCTCATCAGCTTTCTCATGTGCTAACAGGTAAAAAGTGCCCAGCCCCACGGGAAATAATTTTCTTCAGCTTTTCTTGACCTTAGGGTGACAGTCCTAGGCCATGAGATGTAAGCAGACTGTGCCTGAGGGTAAAAGCAGACAGGAGCTCTTAGCAGGTCCCGTCTCCCCAACATTCCTACTCTGAAATGAAATAACATAAAGCTGAAATGGCAATCTTCCATCTGTAAGTCAAGACATGTGGAGAACGGACCAAAAGAGTCATGGTTCCCATTGGCCTCGAAGCTGTGGACCCAACATACCAATGTCAACAGCTTGACACCCACCTACCCACGTATTTCATGTCAATAGCAGTCCTTGGTTGGTTTAGGTTGACTTCAAGTTCACTTTTCTGGGACTTGTAGTTCTTAACTGAGTCCCACTCTCCAGACAAGTGTTCCATTTAGGTGAGTGTATGGTGGCACTTGCTGGCGAACTTAAGGCTGGTTGTCTTTCTTTTTTTTTTAATTTTTAACTTTTTTTTATTGTTTTTAGACAGACAGAGAGAGAAAGAGAGATCAATTTGTTGCTCCACTTATTTACACATTCATTGGCTGATTATTGTATGTGCCCTGAATGGGAATTGAACCCACAATCTTGGAGTAACTGCATGGTGCTCTAACTAGCTGAGCTACCCAGCCAGGGCTAACACTGTTAGTTCCCACAATTAACCCTGATGGTGTCACCTGTATTTCTCCCATCTCATTAACCCAGATGAAATACAGAACTACCGACTGCATGTGAAGTCCCAGTATTCCCCGGTGGGGAACAGGACCACGTGGCCTGGGAACCAAGTGGACTTCCTCTACCAAGACATACCCACACACCAGAGGCTCTTATCATGTCTGTTTCTTCCCAGGAGACCTCAAGGTCAACCGCCCAAGACGGTTGTCCTGCTGGGAGTCTCTGGGGTGGGAAAAACAACCCTGGCCCACCAGGTGATGTTGGAGTGGGCAAGAAACATGTTCTACTGCCACAAGTTCTGGTACGCTTTCTACCTCAACTGCTGCGATGTGGCCCAGGACAAGGAGCAGAGCCTGTGTGAGCTGCTGTCACGCCAGTGGCCGGGGTCTCAGGCCCTCATATCCAAGATGATGTCCAAGCCGGAGAGACTACTGCTCATCCTGGATGGCTTCGAGGAGCTGACGCTGACCCTCACAGATCGCCCAGAGGACCTGAGTGAGGACTGGAGCCAGAAGCTGCCAGCGTCCATCCTCCTGGCCAGTCTGCTGAGCAGAAGGATGCTGGCCAAGGCCACGCTGCTGCTCCTGCTGAGGCTGTCCACCTGGAGGGTTGCTATGTCATTTCTAAAGACTCCCTTTGTCCTAACACTCATGGGGTTCAATGAGGTAGAAAAAGCCCAATATCTCAGAACATATTTTGGCAACAAGGGGCAGGCCGAGGAAGCCTTGCGTTTTGCCATGAAAAACCCCATCCTCTTCCCTATGTGCCATGTTCCTGCGATCTGCTGGCTGGTTTGTTCGTGTCTGAAAGAACAGATGGAGAGAGGTGCCAATCTTGCTCAGGTGTTCCCAAACGCCACCGCCGTCTTTGCCTGTTACCTGTCTAGCATGTTTCCCAACCTGGCTGGAAGCCTTCCCAGCGACCCTCAGCAGAAACTATTAGTAGGTCTCTGCAGCCTGGCAGCAGATGGGATGTGGGACAAGCGGTGGGTGTTTGGTAAAAAGGACCTTGAGCAGGCCAAGCTGGACACGACGGCCGTGGCTGCTCTCCTCAAGGTGAACATTCTTCGAAGGGTTGCTGGCGGTGAGGACCACTATGCCTTTGCCCTCCTGACCTTCCAGGAATTTTTTGCAGCCTTGTTGTACGTCCTCTGCTTCCCGCAGAGGTTCCCGGATTTCCAGATGCTGGACCAGTTTCACATGAAACTTCTGGTAGAACACCCAGGGAGCAAGAAAAACCACCTTGCCCACATGGCGATATTTCTGTTTGGCCTCTTCAATGAGACCTGTGCCCTTGCGGTGGAGCGGTCCTTTGGATGCAAGCTGTCCTTGGGGAATAAGGGGCTACTGAAAGTGGAAGACCTGTGGCAGGGGTGTGGCCTGCCCACCGTGCACCATGGGGTCCCGCACCTGTTCTACTGTCTGTATGAGACCCAGGAGCAGGCATTTCTGAGTCAGATCCTGCACAATTGCCGTAAAGTGACCTTGATCATCAATAAAAATAAGGACTTGCAGGTGTCCGCCTTCTGCCTCAGGCACTGTCGACATTTGCGGGAGATGGAGCTGACCATCGCCCTGACTGTCGCCAAGGCGAGCAGTCTTCACCCCTGTGCGTTTTCTTCTGCTGGGTGAGTGATCTAGCCTCTCCCCACCAGCCTGCCTTATCTGAGACCTTGCCCACCTATCCCAGGCATCTAGGGTTAGGGTTAGGGCTATGGGAAGCCACGAATATTCCTGGGAAAATACAGGCGTCCTTGCCTGAGTCCAGGAATCTTCCTGGGAAAATACAGGTGTCCTTACCTGAGTCTAGGAACCTTCCTGGAATAGAATGAGGAATCATGGTATGGCTCCTCGGGGCACTTTTTAATGACGGAGTCTTCACCAGAGTCACCAGGAATCTGTTTTCATCACCAGGGTAGAGGCCGTCGGCTCTGGGTTGACCGGCTGGTTCTCCCCGGTTTACTCTTAAAACCATGCATTTTTTTTCTGGCCCTCTCCACCCCACACAGACCAGAAGGCAACAATGAGCGTTTTCGGTGGTGGCATGACCTCTGCTCCGTGTTCAGGACACATGAGAATTTGGAAGCCCTAGCTCTGACGGACAGTGTTCTGGAGCCCAACACAGTGAGGGTTCTTTCGGAAGCACTGAAGCACCCTCAGTGTAAACTGCGGAAGCTGATGTGAGTCCCAAACTCAGGCCGGCTGACTGTGTCCTCTGTCTGTGTAGCTCACTGAGTGTTAAAACCCTCTAGCCTCCTCCATACTGTCCCAAAGCACACAGTAAGTTTCGTTAACATCCACCACCTACCTCATGTAGTGACCAAAAAAAATAATAAGTTCCTACCCTGGCCAGGTGGCTCAGTTGGAGCATCATCCTGTATACCTAAAGGTTATGAGTTCAATCCCCAGTTGGCACATACCGGGGTTGTGGTTCATTCAGTCCCTGGTTGAGGCACAAACAGGAAGCAACTGATCTATGTTTCTCTTTCTCTGTCTCTCTTCAATTTTTTAAAAAACGCTCTCAGGTAAGGATTTTTTAAAACATGTTTCTTGTGACAAGAAGATTCTATTCTCTGAGCCACTTTTTGATATGCCACCGAGCAGTGTTTACTAAAGTCACCTGGCTTCACGTCATACTCAGCACCCATTTATCTAATGACTGGAAGTTGGTACCTATTGACAATTTTCACCCAGTTCCCCAGCACCCCCAGCCTTTGATAACCACAAACCTCATCTCTTTTTCTATTAGTTTTGCTTTTTTTAAAGATTTTATTTATTTATCTTTAGAGGGGAAGGAAAGGAGAGAGGGAGAGAAATATCAATGTATGGTTGCCTCTCCTGTGTCCCCCACTGGGAACTGGCCTGCAACCCAGGCATGTACCCTGACTGGGAATCGAACTGCGATTTTTTGGTTCGCAGGCCCACGCTCAATCCACTGAGCTACACCAGCCAGGGCTAGTTTTGCTTTTCTTTAGATTCCACTTATAAGTGAGATTATTTTTTCCAAAGAGGGCATACAGAGAGCCCCTAGGTGTGTAAAAAGAGGCTCACCATCACTAATCACCAGACAAATGCAAATTAAAACCACAGTGAGATTTCACACCTGTCAGAATGGCTACCATCCATAAATACACAAACAACAAGTGCTGGGGAGGACGTGAAGAAAAGAGAAACCCTCATGCCCTGTTGGTGGAAATGCAGACAGGGGCAGCCACGGTGGAAAAAAAAACACCAAAAGGTTACAGGTTAGCATTAGGGTTAGAGTGATTTGTATTGTATACTTCAAAGTTGCTATAAAATGGTAATTATATGGCGTGATGGAGGTCTTAGCTAACACCACAGTGGTGTTCTACATACATTGCAATATATAAATGTATCAAACCAATGCATTGCATGCCTTAAATGTATACATTGTTATATGTTGATGATATCTCAGTAAAGCTGGAGGAGGAAAAGAACTAAGTAGCCATTTGATGGTGATGATGGTCTCACAGGGACATGCACATGTCCCAGCTGCTTGAATTGGGTGCATTAAATATAGGACACATGCATTTTGGGGTATATCCGTTATACCTGGGTAACATAGTTTAAAAAGAACTAACTAGCTGGTGATATCCTCCTATATATAATTGGACACAGCTTACCCCTCCAGTCTTAGGCACGTGCATCGCTGTCTGGTGACTGAAGATTTAATCCTCATCTTGATGGAGAACCAGCGTCTGAGCTACCTGGAAATACAAGGCACGGCACTGCAAGAGGAGGCCATAGAAGCTCTCTGCATGGTCTTGAAGTACCATCAGTGTTTTCTGCAGTGTCTGAGGTAAGACTGCAGCCCGGACTGAGAGAACACCTGGCACCCAGGTGATCTTTTCCCAGGTGGGGGGGTCCCCTGGTCAGTCAACCTTGCAAGATGTCTTTATTTTTTTAATTTGTCAATTGCCGTTGACATTTGATAGTATTTTCTAGTAATATAGGTCATCTTTCTCTTAATCCATTTCAGTCTTCTGTTAAAAAAATGTTTTTTACTTACTGATCTATAGAGAGAGAGAGAAGAAGAGAGGGGAGAGAGAGAGTGAGAAAGAGAGTGAGAAACATCCATTTGTTGTTCCACTTGTTGATGCATTCATTGGTTGCTTCTTGTATGTGCCTTGACCAGAAATTGAACCTGCAACCTTGGTGTATTAGCTTGATGCTCTAACACACTGAGCTACCTGGCCAGGGCTTTCTCTCTCTCTCTCTCTCTCTCTCTCTCTCTCTCTCTCTCTCTCTCTCTCTCTCTGTCTTTGGCATACCACAGGGTCATTTAATGTACATAGACACTGTTACATGACCCCCATGATCTACCACCTCGCATATCCCCCCCTCTCTGTGTGTGGTGAGGACACAAGAACTACTCTCTTAGCAAATTTCTCACAGATAATCTTGTTAACTATTGTCCCCATGCTGCCACTGAATGTCAAGGGCTGAATCGAGCCAGTCATGGGATGGTCACCATAGTGCATATTCTTTTCCTGCTGTAATCTGTGACTCTGCTGACCTTGATGCCAACTTCCCAGCTGGGGAAGATGCAGAAGTCCCTGAGAGTCACCAGGGAGAGATGTATGTGGCTCTGGAGGCATTGCTTTCCCTGGGAACTAAGCTTCAGTGTTTTTGTTCCTTCCCCAGGTTGGAAGATTGCCCAATCAGCCCTAAGAATTTGCGTAGCCTCGCCAGGAGTCTCCAAAGTAACTCCCACCTGAAGACGCTCATGCTGGGCAATGGCTCCCTAGACGACTCGGGGGCCTACTACCTGTCTGTGACCCAACTGGAGAGACTGTCGTAAGTCTTTTTCTGGGTGTTGTGACTGCTGTTGGTTTGTTAGGAGGGACTAGTGCTTCTGAGACAAAGGCAGGGACAGGGGCATGTGTGTTTCATGGAGAGATCATGGGTCTCATGATCGAAACAATTAGAGAGATGGGTCAGGGGAGTGTTGAGCAGAGATGGAATATGTACATAAAAACATAGTCCCACCTGGTACCTAGAATGTAGTTCTAATGGTCCGGGTGCATCCCGGGTGCATCCATCGTCCACTCTATGGACTAGACCCTCCCTCACTGTTTGCATCAATCACCGCCCGCCCCCACGATCATCGTCTTCAGTTGGGTCGATGGGGCTCCTTACCTTTGTGCGAACACGGTGCTACCCTACACGTGTCCCTGAACAGAGCACAGTGTGGCTCTGCACGGCTTTGCACTTCACTCGTGCGGCCTCATCCCCAGTGGGTTCTCTTTCCTGATCACCTGTGCTGGTGTCCGTCTGTGTTCACTTGTGCCTGCGGCCCATTCCTCACCACTGCTCAGTGATAACATTTGTACAAATGTGCGACACTGAAGGTGTCGGTCCTGTGTGCAGCGGAGCTGTGGGCTGCTCACACTCAATCACGCACTCACACATTCAGAACCACACATTCACAATCACATACACACACACAACCACACACTCACAACCACACATTCACAATTGCATGCACAATCACACACCCACTCACACACTCATAGCGGCACACTCACACAATCACGCAATCACACACTTACACTCACAACCACACACTCACATTCACAACCACTCATGATAACACACTCACACACCCACACAATCGTACATACACTCACAATCACATGCTCACACAATCACATGTGCACACATGCACACTCACAATCACACACTCACACTTACCCAACACACGTCACTGTCAGTATTCTCATTTCTGTTTCTGCCAACTTGTTGGGCAGAAAATAATATCACATATTATTGACTTGAGAGAGAGAGCAAAAACATCAGTTTTTTGTTCCACTTCTTCATGCATTCATTGGTTGATTCTTTCTTCTTCTTTTCTTTTTCTTTCTTTTCTCTTTTTTCTTCATTTTGTTATTGTTGTTCAAGTACAGTTGTCTCCATTTTTCCCCCACCACTCCCCCCACAATCCAGCCCATTCATTGATTCTTGTATGTGCCCTGACTGGGGATGGAACCCACAACCTTATACATCAGGACGCCTCTCTAACCAACTGAGCTACCTGTCCAGGGCCTTATTTTTTTTTTAATATCACAATATTTTTGTGCATTTTGGATTACTACTTTGGTATAGGTTACTAAAAGAGGAATTATATGGTCAGAAAGTGGACACTTTATTTTATTTCTAACTTTTGGGGGGTGACGCCAGTTAATGAAATTATGCAGATCTCAGGTGCACAATTCCACAACACATCAGCTATACACTGTACTGTGTGTTCACCACCTCAAGTCAGGTCTCCTTCCATCACCATCTATCCCCCCATTCCCTCCTCCACTTCCCCCAGATATATATCAAATTCACATCACTTTCCTGACTCATAAAAAATTTTTCATGACCCTACTATTATTACTCATCTTAGACTCTCTAATATGAATGCCCATGAATGCCTGCTCATATCTTCAGTGCCTCTTTTCCTTTCCTTTCCTTTTCTTTTTCTTTCTTTTTTTTTTGTGTGTGTGTGTGTGTGTAATGGGATGACGTCTCTTCCTGGACCATGTCCATATCTGACACCCACCCCTCCATCGCTGACCTCTGTCTCTTCACTCTTGAGCCCATGGTATCACAGTTTGCCTGATTCACAATCCTTCCAGTCTTCTGTTCTCACATCCAACTTCTGTCCTCTCCTTAAAACCCTGGAGACCTCACAGCTGGTCCCAGAGGTACAATTCGGCTTTTGCATTTACAAGGAAATCCCTGCTGAAATTTCCATCACTCGGTAAGAGATAGAAAACCCAGTCATGACCCTGGCTGGGCAGCTCAGCAGGTTAGTGCATTGTCTGGACATGCCAAGGTTGTGAGTTTGATTCCCGGTCAGGGCACGTACAAGAAGTAACCAGTGAATGTGTGAATAAATAGAACAACAAATTGATGTTTCTCTCTCTCTTTCTCTCTCCTTCCCTCTCTCTCTAAAATAATCAATAAGTAAATAATTTAAATATATATGTATATATATTTTTCAAAAGCCAATCACAGGTGGGCAGGAGTTGCCTCTCATCTGCATGTCTCTGTCCCACAGGCTGGAGAACTGTGACCCCACCCTGTTCCGCTATAACTGCCTCATCTGTCCCCTCGAGAACAGCCAGAAGCTGACCCATCTAAGCTTGGCTGGGAACCCCTTGAAGGAGAAAAGGGCCCAAGAGCTCTGGGACGCCTTACAACACGCCAAGTGTCCCCTCCAGAGGCTGGTGTAAGTCCCCAAGGGTTCTCTTATCAGTCATGGGATGCGAAGTCCACCACAGGGAAGGTAGTCGATAATATTGTAATAACTGTGTATTGAGCCAGGTGGGGACTTGACTTACCAGGGGGACCACTTCATAAGTTATATAAATATCTAATCACTGGGGTGTACCCCTGAAACTCATTTAATATTGAGTGTTAACTGTCAATGAAGAAAATATATATTATGCCCTGGCTGGGTGGCTCAGTTGGTTGGAGCATTGTTCTGGACACCAAAAGGTTATGGGTTCAATTCCTGGTCACGGCCTATACCTAGGTTGCAGGCTTGATGCCTGGTTGGGGTGAGTTACTAGAGGCAACTAATCAATGTTTCTCCCTCACATTGATGTCCCCCTCTCTCCCTGTCTCTCCCCTCCTCTCTCAAATCAATGAGCATATCCTCAAGGGAGGATTTTTTTTAAAGCAGCAAAGTACTGATAAGGACTACAATGTGCATGAACCTTGAAAACATTTTGGTCCATGAGAAAAGCCAGACACGAATCCCCATAACCTATGGTTCCATTTATATCAACTGTCCCAAAGAGGCAAACCTCTATGAGCAGATGCTGGGGTGGGGTAGGGGCAGGGTTGGGGGAGAAACTGAGAAGGAAAATCTCCCACGTTGCAAATGTTGTACAATGTCCTAAAAACCAATGCTTGTGCACCTTCCATGGGTGAATTGCACGGTGTGTTGATGATATCTTGATAAAGCCTTCATACACACACACACACACACACAAAACAAGATGTCAGCTCTAAGAATGGGCTGGTTGGTTTTTCCCTTACGTGTTTTCTTCACAGCCTGAGAAATTGCTCCCTGACCTCTGGCTGCTGTTGGAACATGGCCTCTGCTCTTGTTCAGAATAAAACCCTGAGAAGTCTGGACCTCGGTTTTAACAGCCTGAAGGATGACGGGGTAATTCTGCTCTGTGAGGCCCTGCTGAACCCTGACTCTGCACTGCAGGTTCTTGAGTGAGTGACCCCTGTTTCTTTCGGGGGGAGCAGGCCAAAGCACCGTAAAACTCTCTCAGGATAGAATCTGGAGGAGTCTTTGTGCATTTGGGGGGTTTTCTCCTTCCTGGGGTTGGAGGGGTGAGGAGATGCAGAGCACTGGTTCTCAAAGTGTGGTCCTCAGATGGGAAAACAGCATCTGGGAGGTTGTTAGAAACACAAAATTCTTGCAGTAGCTGCCTTTCTGGGTCTGTCCACACCTTCCCAAATGACAGAACCTCTGTCTTATGGCTGAATAATATTCCACTGTATGCAAATGCCCCATTTTCTTTTTTTTTAAAGAATGCTTAAATTTTTTGACTGTAGTTGACATTTCATACTATTTTATTGTAGTGTCAGGAGTACAGCATTGTAGGTAGGCATTGGCATAATTTACAAAGTGTTCCCCCTCGTGTTTCCAATAGTCATCATGCACAGTTATTACAATATTATTGACTCTGTTTCCTTTGCTGTACTTTACATCCCCATGACTGTTCTGTAACCACCAATGTGTGCTTCTTAACCCTGTCACCTTCTACCCAGTCTGGCAACCTTCAGTCTATTTTCTCTGCCTATGAGTCTGTTTCTGGTTGGTTTGTCTGTGTATGTTGTTCATTAGATCCCACAGGTGAGTGAAATCGTGTGGTATTTGTCTTTCTCTGACTGACTCATTCCACTCAGCACCACACCCTCTAGTCCATCCACGCTGTTGTGAATTCTAAGACTGCACTGGTTTCGTGGCTGAGATATATTCCATTCTATAGCTGCACCCCAACTGCTTTATCCACCTCATGCCAATTTTTTTATGGTCCCCAAATAAGCCCATTTTGCTGGAGAAATAGGTGGCTGTCTATTCTTTAAGGTCATAAGAATATATTTCTTTGTTCTCCTAGCCACCCCCCTACCCCAATCAACCATGACTTCCAGGATGCCACGGACAGTGTGACATTCTTCCCTATTGTCATCAAAGCCCCAGGCAGTGCCCAGCACATAGGTGCTGCCAAATAAATATTTTCTAGCCCTGGCTGGTGTGGCTCAGTGGATTGAGCACCAGTCTGTAAACCAAAGGGTCACCGGTTCAATTCCCAGTCAGGGCATCTGTCTGGGTTGCAGTCCAGGTCCCCAGTAGGGGGCGCATGAGAGGCAACCACACATTGATGTTTCCCTCTTTCTCCCTCCCTTCCTCTCTGTCTAAAAAATAAACTCTTTAAAAAAATAAATATTGTCTAAATGAGTGGTTACACTCAATGTTTATTGTTGACACTATTGCAGATGTCCCACTTCCCCCCTCTTTGCCCACATCTCCACCCAGCCCCTGCCCCTTGTCCCTCTGGCCATCGTCACACTGTTGTCTGTGTCTATGGGTCATGCAGGTATATTCTCCGGCTAATCCCTTCACCTTCTTTCATCCAGTCCCACCTCCCCAGCCCCTCAGCTGTCAGTCTGCTCTGGGTGTCCATGCCTCTGGTTCTAATTTGTCCCTCAGTTTATACTTCATTCTTGAGTTCTCATTTGAGTCCCTTGAGTTCTGTGTTGCATCCTTATCTCTTCCCCTTTTTGAACCAGGTACATGGCTTCTACTGTCTCACAGTCCAGGACTACATGGCTCCCTCTGAATAATCGCCCCAAACACACGACAAACTAGCCCCCGGCAGGCACTGAAATCCCATTTCCCACCCGAGCGTGGTTTCTGGACTTAGCTCCCGGAGGGGGGGCGAGGTGACTTCTCCTGCTGTCTGTCTGTCCCACAGGCTGGAGGCGTGTCTGCTCACCTCCGGTTGCTGCCAGGCTGTGAACTCCATGCTCCTGCTCCACCAGTGTCTGAGGTACCTGGACTTGAGCAGGAACTGCATTGAGCTCAGGGGCTTGCAGCTCTTCTGCGAGTCTTCTCAGAAGAGGACGTTGAACCCGAAGGTCATGCTGTAAGTCTGGACAAGGTCCTGGACCTGAGATGCTGTTGCAGGCATTGCCACTGTTCTCCTCTTATTCCCTGGGGATTTGTACTCTTCTTTCTGTGGCTGGTCGAGCCCACACTCCCACCTGGATGTCATGGAAAATGTTACCTGGATTCTCCTATCTGATATATTTCTTTTTAATCTGAAAGTGCACCTGCCCCTGGCTAGTGTGGCTCAGTTGGTTGTAGCATCATCTTATAATTGGAAAGGTTGTGGGTTCGATTCCCAGTCAGGGCACATGCCTGACTTTCGGGTTTGGTCCCAGTTGGGGCACATGGGAAAGGCAACTGATCGATGTTTCTCTCCCTCCTTTCCCCGGTGTCTAAAATCAATAAGCATGTCCTTGGGTGAGAATCTAAAAAAAATTTTAAAGCCCTGGCTGGTATGGCTCAGTGGATTGAGTGCCAGCAGGGGGCGTTTGAGAGGCAACTGATGGATATTTCCCTTGGACATCTGTGTTTCTCTCCCACTCTTTCTCCCTCCCTTCCCCTCTCTCTATAAACAAATAAAATAAAATAAGGAAAGTGCACCCGTAAGAGTGCACAGCACCTGACCCCATGACGTCCTCAGTCAGCAATGGATGTGGGTCAAGGTTACAAATGCACCTGTTGTATCCTCTAGCTGTTGCTTTGTAACAAATTGCCGCAACACTTAGCAACTGCAGACCACACACAGGCCTTTTCTTACAAAGTTTCCAAGCGCCCGAGATATGGAGGGGGGGTGGTTATTGGTTGGTCCTAGCTCCTGGTGTGAGCCACCCCCACCCGTGAACTCTTTATAAAGTGGTTCCAGATGCTGCTGCTGGCTTCCTCTGGAATGAGGGAGCTTGGCTGGGGGGGACCCCAAAATAGAGCCAGAGTCTTTATTGCTTCATCTTGGAGACACGTGACATCACTTCTGCCCTGTTCTGTGGGTCAGTGAGAAAGGGGGCCCCACAAGAGTGTGTACAGAAGGGAAGGGTAACCGGGGAGAGGGCACTTGGGGGGCTGCCCACCCCACCTCCCAAGTGGTGGAACTGAGGCACTTGAACTCCGTCCTGAGCGCCTGAGAGCATCCGCACTGGTCTCAGGACAGAGAAGAGGGGTTTCCTGGCGGTGCATTTCCTCCCTAGAGATTCTGCCCACTTTTCCGGGGTGGAGAAGAACCCGGTTTTTTTGTTCTTTGCAGGGAGCAGAAACAGAGTTCTGGAGTGGATATGATGGGCCGGCTGCAGGGCCCCAAAGTGGACAAGAACATCCTGAAGATCGTACAGGACTGGCATACTGAGGGCTCTCATGGGGCAGTGCAGACAAACTGACCCCAGGGACCCACCACACCCCCTTACCTTTTTCTCCTGGATGATTCCTAGGAAATCAGGCACGAGTTCTATGGGCCTTCTGAATCTGACGTGGCTCAGTTAGTCCTGGGAAATGATGTGGGGTGTGACCCCCAAAGAGCTACCTGGGAGGTGTGGAGGGTCTGGGGTTAGAAATGTCTGCCTCACCTATTAAAGCAGTGGGAGGATTTAATTTAAAATGTACACGAATGCAGTTTGAACACTTTTTGAATGTCATTTATTCACCAGTAGACTCAGACATCAGTTCTTAGAAAAGAGAATGTGACCTGGCTGGTGTAGCTCAGTGGATTGAGTGTGAGCCTGTGAACCAAAGGATCGTGGTTCTATTCCCAGTCAGGGCACATGCGTGGGTTGCAGGCCACTTCCCGGCAAAGGACACAGGAAGGCAACCATACATTGATATCTCTCCATCTCTCCTTCCCTTCCTGTTCCCTTCCCCTTCCCCTCTAAAGATAAATAAAATCTTTGAAAAAGAAAAGAGTATGTTTCTGCCCTGACTGGGTGGGTGGCTCACAGTACAAAAAAAGAAAAATGTAATGGGAGGGAGGGGGGAGACCGGGTTGGGGGGGGGAGAGAAAAAAAAATGTACTTGAAAAGTAACTAAATAAAATTTAATATTAAAAAAAAAGAAAAGAAAAATGTTATAGGTTTGATTCCCGGGCACATACCTAGGTTGCAAATTCCATACCACATCAGAGCACCACTGGGAGACAACCCAGGACATTTCCAAGGAAGACAGTAGTGTCAAGGAGGGCATTAGTTCTAGAATAATAAGAAAATTTGGACCTGGCTGGTGTGGCTCAGTGGATTGAGTGCCAGCCTGCAAACCAAAGGGTCACCAGTTCAATTCCCAGGCAGGGAATATGCCCAGCTTGTGGGCCAGGTCCCCAGTAGGGGGTGCTCAAGAGGTAACCACACGTTGATGTTTCTCTCCCTCTCTGTCTTCCCCCTTCCCCTCTAAAAATGAATAAATAAAAATCTTAAAAAATATATTGAGTGTGAAAGGTGGGGGTGGACAGGGCAGGGGAGGGTAATGAGGGGAAATGGGGGCAACTGGGGACAATAAAAAAGTGAAAAGAAAAAATACAAATACAATGAGGTCCAATCAGAGCAAATCGCCTTGGCTTGCGGCAGGCGGAACCGACCCCAGATCGGAACTAGAGAGCCAGGACCTTCCTTCTTTGACTTCTCAATGAGGGGACTTTCAGAAGCTCCAGGAATTAATGCGCAGGGAAGGGACCCCACAACTCGGGGCAGAACCTGAACTTTCTCAGGTGAGAGATGGTCAGTGGATGATTAAAGGAGTTGGGCCAGCATTTGCCCCTCCGCAAAGGAGAAAGCAATCACAGGATTTCCTTTCAATTGAAAGGGTCATCTTTTCTACATAAAGTGATGATCAGGTATCACGCTAGTTTCTCAACTCTCTACCGGGGGTGTTTGTTGCACAAGAGGAGAGGAGATCCTCAACCCCTCTCCATTCTTTGTTGTTGTTGTTTTTCCCTTATTTTATTCTTCACCTGAGGATGTGTTTATTAATTTTTGAGAGAGAGCAAGAGAGAGAAACAGCAATCAGTTGCCTCCCGAGAGAACTCACAACCCAATTTTGGTGCACAGGATGGAAAGCCAACCCACTGAGCCACCCAGACAAGGTCCTTTTTAAAAAAAAAAAATTATTTTTTGATTACAGTTGACATTCCATATTGTCTTATAATAGCTTCAGGTGACCCCCCCCCCCCGCCCCGCCCCATTCTTAAAAGGCAGATAAAAAGAAGGGCCCACGCAAAGTCAAACCCTGTCACGGATTTGCTCTGCTCCTTCTGCAGAGCCCCTAGTGCAGAAGCTGGAGCGGATGGAGGGTCTCAGTGAAACGCCCCTCCCCCCGGGAATGAGCAGCTCCCTCTCTGGGGCCCCCACACTCAGACATGAGCCCTGCAAAGCCAGGCACCTGCCCACTGACATGCTCCCCCAAATGGCCCAGAAGACACCCCCTTTCCTAAAGCAATAAGAGAATAAACCTCGGGAAGATCAGGGTGGAGAGCCAGACAGCGCGCCCCGATCTTGGTGGCACGCAGTATTACACAGGGGGTATTTATAAGTGCCCCCAGCCATCCTGACGACTGGAAGGGGGTGGGGCTTACACTCCGGTATTTGAAAAGTTACTCCAGGTGAGTCTAACCTGCAGTGGCTTTTGGGAAGTATCAGTAGGCAACAGCGTTACATTTCACAATATGTAAGTGTATCGAATTAAGCTTCAACATGGCATTGCCAATTCTCAATTAGGCCGAGGAATAGAATAGAATAGAATAGAATAGAATAGAATAGAATAGAATAGAATAGAATAGAATAGAATAGAATAGAATAGAATAGAATAGAACTAAAATAAAATAAAAACTAGCCCTGGCTGGTGTAGCTCAGTGGATTGAGTCCGGGCCTGTGAACCAAAGGGTCGCAGGTTTGCTTCCCAGTCAGGGCACATGCCTGGATTGCAGACCAGGTCCCCAGTAAGGGGCGCTCCAGAGACAACCACACATTGATGTTTCTCTCCCTCTCTCCTTCCCTTCCCCCCTCTCTAGAAATAAATAAATAAAATCTTTTTTAAGATAAAGCAAGATCAGATAAGATAAAATGAGATAAAGATTTTGAGAGGTAACCAGTAATAGGGAGAGCAGAGGCCCGAGGTAGCTGGTGTTCTGCACCCCAAGGCAGACACATTCAGCACGTTGGAGAATATTTATGGCATAACCAACAGAAATGCCCACTAGGAGTTGACGGGGAGCCCAGGTAAGAGAATTTTATGGGGAAAGTCGAGGGAACAAACCTTATCCTTAGAGAGCGGTCCATAAATAAATGCCAGGTGAAATCTACCGCCAGCCGCCAGCTGCAGGCTGTGCTGGCTGGGAGGCCCCGGGCACAGGAGGCCGAGCGCGGTGCGCACAGATGCGCGAGGCAGCTGCCCCTCATCCGCCTGCGCCTGGCCCTTCGGAGGGAGGCAGCCAATGGACAGCGACGACGTCACCCCCGGGATTCCCCAAAAACTTTGCGCGCGTGGTTGCTCCTTGGGATCTGACCCTGGAGGTGAGGCGTGGAGTCGGTGAGTATTGCCTCTGTTACTGATTCAAACCTGAGCCGCCCTGGGCGCCCCTTCCTCTCCGGAGGCGCCCCAGGGGCCAAAGACACCCTTTGAAAGGATGACATGTCCCATCTCCCAAACAAAACACGCTTGTGGGGGGTGTTTTAGGGACGTGCCTCGCCCCTTCCAGTCTCTGCGTCTACAACAGAGGACAGAGCTGGGGGGACCGTGACTCCCAGGGTCAAGGTCAGCAGGTCCTCGTTTTGTGGGAGCCCAGGGGGGGTTCCTGCATTACTTGTGTAGTCCCCCATCCTGAGGGTGCGGTTTGGGAAGGGAGGGAACCGAGTCTCAGGGGTTTGCCCCGGGGGTGGCCAGGGTCGCAAGCCCAGCTTCCCGGCCAAACCCTGGAAAGGCAGCGGCTTCTGGGGGTCACGAGACACCTGTGAGGTCACAGGGGAGGCAGAGGGCGAAGAAAGGAGGGAGACAAAGCGAAGCTTGGGCGAGTCACTTAGGCTCAGAAAGTGGCCTTCACCACTGTCTTAGTTCACTCGCCTCCCTCCAAATTGCACTCGGCCGGGGTATCTTCTCCCCCAACCCCCACCTGCCCCGCCCTCCTGTTAATCTGTTCACCTGACCCCACTCACCTGTCCCGTCTGTCTGTCGGGTTTGATTTACTGGTGTCCCTCCCTGGGATGTACTAGAAAAGGCACCGCTTTTGGGCAGCTGCGCCTTGAAAATGCTTTTCATGAAAACACTCTGAGCTCTACTCACCGTGAAGGGAGGACGGTCAACTTCAGACACTGAAATTATCTATGGAAAGTGTGAGGGTCGCACCGCCCGCCTCCAGAGAAGGGGCTTCGACAAGGATAGGCACCCGTCGATTTCTGTTTCCTTGCTGCTCCGGCTTTTGTATATTCTTAGCAAGAAGCAACGAATGGGTTTTCTCCGTCTTCTTCGTCCACAAAGCAGCCCTCCCGCCCTCACTGGGGTGGCTCAGCACGTGGGGCTTTGTCCCGCCCACCGGAAGGTCGCTGGTTTGATTCCCAGTCCCAGCACATGCTTGGCTTGTGGACCAGGTCCCTTGGTTGGGGGCCTGTGAAAGGTGACTGACTGGTGTTTCTCTAGCACATCAGGCTGTCGATCCCTCTTTCTTCCTACCTTCCTCTCTCTCTAAGAACAAATAAAATATTTTTTTAAACATAGCTCTCCCTGATTTTTTTTTTAAACTACCACTTGAGGTTTGTGGCTTTTTACAGCCTTTCTCTTCTTGCACCTCTGGGTCCTCTGTTTGCGCTGTGTGTTTCATTCAAATGTTTCCTTCAAATTGGGGTGTGTGTGTGTGTGTGTGTGTGTGTAAAAGTGTTTGCGGTGGCCATCTGAAATGCAATCTCAGATAAACTCCCTTAATTTCATCACTTAATCAAATAGTTCAGGGATTTGTGTGTTTTGTTTTCAATGTCCATTTATACGGTTTCTTTTATGTTAGAGGAAATCTTCATTTTAATTCTAACCTCGGAAATTTTATATTTTTGTGGTTAAAGATGCAACCTTTTTAACTTGTTCTTAGAAAGGGGGGGCTTTTTGTTTGTTTTTGTGTCTTTTAACTACCAATTGGAAATGTGTAGACAAGCATATTTTCTTGTGAGGGTTCTGTTTTGAGTAATCTAGTACGTAAACTTCATCATCTGTCCATTGTCAGTAATTTCCTCTCTTTCTCCTTCTCTCCTTCCACATCATTCATAGATGAGTAATGGTAATAAACAACTCAATCATTTTAGCAAAATGCATGTATTTCAACTAGCTTCCACTAAAATGCTATTTTCACAGGAAATGCCTCTTAGTATTTTAGGAAAACCAAACATTATGCAAAGGTATAGTGTGAAAGTAAAATGTGCCCTTCAGTTCACCGCTCCCCAGCTCCCCCGCTCGATCCATTTCCTGCTCATCCCCCCAAAATAGTGAGTGGACTGGGTTGGGGGTGTTAATACGTTACAGCTGAAGGCATCCTTCTGCGCTGGCTGTTGGGCATTTTTAAGGGCACAAAGCATTTTAAGGCGCGAATGAATGAACACACCTGTTATTGATCAATTAGCCTTCCCTCTTGCTGTCCCAAACAAACCTGCGTCTAATAATATTTGCATTGAACATGCACAGATCTTGCCAAATTGCCCTCTAAAGAGACGCCCCCAGTGACACACCCACCCACAATCAGGTACACCTTTTTCTCAATCTGCAGCAAAGCTGTAGGTGATTACACATTATGGGCACAGCCAGCTCGACATACAGGACTTGGCACCTCCTGGCTTCATAAAGCCAAAATATTCCCCCCACCCAGACTTTTGTGGCCTGTTTTCACCTTTTTATAACCTGGCAATTGTCATTCTTATTGGTCATCATTGTCATTCATGACTACATCAGTTTCTCATATAAATGAAAGCCACATCTGGTTTCTTTTTTTTTTTTTTTTAAGCATTTCAACTCTTGCTCATTTTAATGAATTGAACTATTGATTGTTTTTTCATGGACTAGGAGAGTTCCTTCCATAATGTATTTATTCATTGTCCTGTGTTTCAAATTTATTTGCACCAGTTCACTTTTTTTTTAATCCTCACCTAAGGATATCTTCATTAGAGATAGAGGAAGGGAGAGAAAGACATAGAGAGAGAAACATCCATGGGTTGCCTCTAGCATGCACCCTGACTGGGAATTGAACCTACAACCTTTTGGTAGACAGGATGGCACTCCAACCAGCTATGGTTGTACCAGTCCACTTTTTAGGAGAGCTTTAAAGTTTTAGGGAGAGGGGAAAGCGGGCTGAGCTGTAGAATTTTCTCCTTTTACTGTGGATTGTGTTTGGGGGTTACCTGTGAAGTAGGAATTCACAAAACAATATTTTTAAGTAGAATCTCTTATGTCTCAGATGCTCAGAAATGGTGACCTTCTCTCATGGAACTAACAGTCTTGCTTCGACACCAGCAGACTAAAGAAGCTTTTTTTTTTTTTTTAAACCAGGATTTTATGGTCTATTTTTGGCCTTTATAAATAGACCTTGAATGGGCTTCTAGCCCTAATAAAATTGTCAGCAGAGCTTCTTGGATGAATTGGTATTCTGAAAATATACATTCTCTCTTTCCCCTCCAGGTTTTTAATCTGTCCGAAGCATTTTTAAAGCTTTCAAAGCTAACACTTTACTTTCCCAAATTATATACATTTTTTTGCTCTGTCATAGCTACAGCTCATCTGATGTCTTTTGTTTGCTGACTAGTTATTAGAATTAGGGTGGAATTTTATTTTATCACCTAGGGTGGTATTTTTAATGTCAAATTTGTTATCAACCCAGTTTAATGATGATTTGTGAGTTCTAATAGTTTTTTGAGGGATTTCCTTGGCTTTTTTAGGTCTACAAACCCAATTATGAATATTAATATTAGATTTTTCCTTTAACACTTTTTCTCCTTTATATTGAATCTATTGGGGTGACACTGGCTAACAAAATGACACAGGTTTCAGCTGCACAATTCTACAACACATCATCCATACACTGTATTTTGGGTTCACCACCCCAAGTCAGGTCTCCTTCCATCACTATTTACTCCCCCTTTATTCTCCTCCATCCCACCTCACCCCTCTGCCCCCAGCAATCACCACACTCTTGTCCATGTCTATGACTTTTTTCACCTTTTGTTTTTTCTTTTTTGTTCAACCCTCCCACTCTCCTACCTCTCCCCCGCAGCTATCAGCCTGCTCTCTACCTACGAGTCCATCTATTTTGCATGTTAGTTCATTTTGTTCATTAGAATCTGCCTATGGCATTTGTCTTTCTCTGATTGGCTTATTTTACTTAGCATGATATTCTGCAGGTCCATCCATGCCGTTGAAAAAGGTAAGGCTTCCTTATTTTTTTTTTAAGGCTGAGTGGTAGTCCATTGTATAAATGTACCACAGCTTTTTTTATCCACTCATCTACTTGGGCTATTTCCAGACCTTGGCTATTGTCCTTTAACACTGTGATATCCCTTGATTCTTCATGTAACTGCTTTGTCACAGAATATATTTTAAAATGCTGAAGAGAATACAAAACCGAGTAGTAATGCCGATAGCTGGCAACCTCATCAGATTCTTTCAGCAAACCCTGCCTAAGGGCCAAACCCAGCCTCTTTAAAAAAAATTTTTTTTAATTTATTTTTAGAGAGAGGAGAAGGAAAGGAGAAAGAGAGGGAGAGAAACATCAATGTGTGGTTGCCTCTCATGTGTCCCCTACTGGGGACCTGGCCTGCAACCCAGGCATGTTCCCTGACTGGGAATCGAACCGGCGACCCTTTGCTTCACAGGCCTGTGCTCAAACCACTGAGCTACACCAGCCAGGGCCCATCCTTTTTTTTTTTAATTGGTTGATTTTTGTTCCTGTTTCTATTTTGTTCCTTGGTTTATTTTGTTCTTTAGATTCCACATATGAGTGAGATCATATGGTTTTATACCAAACTCTTGACCATGTTTATGTACCTTCATGTTACCTTAGCACAACAGAGTTGACCTAAAACTTATCTGTAACTTACCTGTCTCATACTCTGTAACTAGCATTTTTTCTGTAAAAAAAAAATATTTTTTCAACTTTTCTTTCTAAATTTTCCTGAAGTATCTGATGATCTTCTTCAAAGTTAATTGTCATGGTGAATCAATTTGAAATCCTCAGTACCTTCCGTTGACTTCTTTCTGCTGATATAATTAGGAAAATATTCTCTTTGTAGGTAAGTGTATGAAAATATGTTAGCCCAGATATTTTCACAAGTGTATTCTTTTGCCTCCAAAGTACATTTCCTCAAAAAAATTTAAAAATAAAACTCTTAAAATAAATAAATAAATATAGAAACCGTGCAACTGATTTTCAGTAAGTGGGTGGAAATTATCTGCTTGTTCCCCTGAGTATTTGAAAATTAGCCAAAAGCATTCACTGACAGGGGTTTGGAGTCTCCCTCTATGACTGGTGCTTTCCTGGGAATGAGGGATACAGGCAGGAAAACATCCCAGAGCTGATAATCTAGTAACAAGATAGGTATCAGGTCAAGTCCTTTTTAGTCTAGGAAGCATCATTACCTGTGTGAACTAGGCTTCTCTTGGTGTGTTTAACAAAAGGGGTAGAGAATGTGGTCCCAATGTGGTCCCTCCAGTGAGCGGATTGAGGCTGGTTGTTTTCCAAGTGATCACTTGATTCGAGACTCTCCTTTCAACTTTGTGACTGTCCCCCCCGACCGGTTCCATTTGCAACAACACCACAGCCCTCAGCCCTTCTCATGGGAGAAGCCAGCGCAACCTCCTTTCCCAACAATGGGCTGCAGTGGCATCTCCGGCAGCCGGGCAAAGAAGAGTTTCAGACATTTAAGATGTTGCTGAAGGGAAACGCTTTGGAACCTGGTCACGGGCTGTTTTCTGTGGGTCGAGGTGGACGACTCCAACACAGGACATTTAGCCTCCATCTTGCATGAGCCTTGCAGAACCCCTCTTGTCTGGAAGATATGCATGGACATCTTTCACAAGATGAACCTGCCGGCGCTCTCTCAGAAGGCGAGGGATGACATGGGAAATGAGTAAAGTCATGGTGCCAGTCTAGAGTGGGGAGAAGAGCTGGGGGCGGGTCTCAAGGTCCTGTGGGAATGGGGAGGGCACCGCTGTTCTCTCATTGGGTCCACGTGTACAGTGTGAGCCCAGACTCTTGAGGAGTGACTCGCTGGTTACTCTCTCTGGCTGGAAATTGGTGGTGTCTCTAGCCTGTGAAACAATGAGGGGGAAGAAATAGCTACAAGGACCCTCACTCTACCTGGACAGAATTTGGTTGACGTTAATAGACAGGATTTAGAGTTGCACCTACTAAACTTGCATTCTGGAGCTTACCCCTTGTCATACTTGTTACTTGGGGCACGTCCCCCTCCTACTCTGACCTTTGGGTTCCATGTCTTGGAGCAGAAGCTGGGATGCTTCTGTGGGCTAAGACGAAGGTTTGGTTTGATAAGATAACACAGAGAACCCTGGCTGGTGTGGCACAGTGGATTGAGCGCCGGCCTTCAACTCAAGAAGTTACAGGTTCAATTCCCAGTCAGGGCACATGCCTGGGTTGCAGGCCAGGTCCCCGGTAGGGGGCGCATGTGAGGCAACCACACATTGATGTTTCTTTCCCTCTTTCTCCTTCGCTTCCACTCTGTCTATAAATAAGTAAATCTTTAAAAATAAAAAGATAAACAGAAAGTGGTTAATGAAGGTTCACCTGTTTACTGAAAACACTGTGGTAGTTGCCCCATGGGTGTCCCCCTTATTTCTCACCCCAAGTGGAGGGATTAAGGTTTGAGGAGAGCTTCTAGAGATTGACTTTACTCAGACCATTGATGCTGTATTAGAGCGATATGCTTAGATCAATGGGTGGATTATCTGGAGGTGTTTAGGAGAAAGGTAGTAGTAAAAAAAAAATAATAGCTGTCTCTTTTACCAGGAGGAATTCTCTTCAACCGTGGACCCAAAAACTTAGCAAAGAGTCCCAGGTGTGGGCAGACAGACTGGCCCTAGAGAGCCCAGGTACCACATGCCTAAATGTGACTCAGCATCTGTAGCTACAAAGGGCATTAAGAGATGCCACGTCTTCTAAGCTTAAAAAAAAGGGCGGCCCTGTGCGGGAAGTTGGTTGGTATTATTCACAGGCAACGAGGGTTATAAACGTTAACTGTTGATGTTTACTGAGTTGCTCTTCCAGGTTTGGCTCTATGCTGTCTGTGCCCTGCCAGTGAACCTCAGACCTACTGCACACAGTAGGCTCCTCATGGCAGAGGATAAAACGCAAGTTGTACCAAGTTCCACAGTCTGACCAAGTTCATGAGCTAATGCCTGACGAAGATGAGGCTCCTCATTAAACATTCATTTAGCATATGTTTAAATGTTCCTGTGTCCCGTACCAGAGAGTTTTAACTTTCAGTGCAGCAGTGAGGAGAAGGATAAAGGGAGGATTTTTTAAAATCCTCACCTAAGTATGCATTTATAGATATTTAGAGAGAGAGAGAGATCGATGCAACAGAGAAACTTGGATTGGTTGCCTCCTTTCTGTGCCCTGATCGGGGATTGAACCCAAAACATTTCCATGCATGGGACAGCGCTCCAACCAACTGAGCCACCCAGCGAAGGCAAGAGGCGATTTTTTTTTTTTTGAATTGTTTATGCTGTTACAGTTGTTCTATTCCCCCCTTCATTCCCCTCCACCCTGCCCCCCAACCCCCCGATTACCCCCCCTTAGCTTATGTCCATGTGTCTCAAGTCCTTTAGGTTCTGTATTTCCCATATTATTCTTGCCCCCCCATCTATTTTCTATCTACTGTCTATGCTACTTGTTTTCTGTACCTTCTCTCCCCGTCTTCTACTCCCACTCCCCTGTTGCTAACCCTACTTGAGCTCTTCATTTCTATGTTTCCACTCCCTGATCTAGCTGTCCTTTTAGTTTGCTTTCGTTTTAGGTGTGGTTGTTGATAACTGTGAGCTTGTTGTCCTTTCACTGTTCATGTTTCTTTAACTTCTTTTTTCTTAGATAAGTCCCTTTAACATTTCATATAATAAGGGCTTGGTGATGATGAACTCCTTGAATTTGGTCTTATCTGAGAAGCACCTTATCTGTCCTTCCGTTCTAAATGAAAGTTTTGCTGGGTAGAGCAATCTTGGTTGTAGGTCTTTAGTTTTCATGACTTGGAATATTTCTTTCCAGCCCCTTCTTGCCTGTAAGGTCTCTTTTGAGAAATCTGCTGACAGCCTGATGGGGACTCCTTTGTAGGTGATTGTCCCCTTAGCTCTTGCTGCTTCCAGGATTCTCTCCTTCGTTTTAATTTTGGCTAATGTAATTATGATATGCCTTGGTGTGTTCCTTCTTGAGTCCAACTTTTTTGGTACTCTCTGGGCTTCTTGGATTTCTTCAAGTCTGTTTCCTTTGCCAGATTGGGGAAATTTTCTTTTATTATTTGTTCAAATAGTTTTTCCACTGGTGGTTGTGTCTTTCCCCCTTCTGGTACCCCTATAATTCGGATATTGGAGCGTTTATAGATGTCCTGGAAGTTCCTAAGCTTCTCCTCATTTTTCTGAATTCTTATTTCTTCATTCCTTTCTGATTGATCATTTTTTTCTTCCTTCTGGTTTACTCCATTGAGTTGAGTCCCAGTTTTTTTTTCATCTCTATGGGTTTCCTGTGGAATTCCATTCATTTCCCTTAATTTAGCCTTCATATGTTTCTCTAATTTGTGGCTATAGTCCACCAGATCTGTGAGGAAGCTGACGACCAGTGTTTTAAACTGTGCGTCTGAGAGATTTGCTATTTCTTCGTCACTTAGATTTATCTCCGGGACTTTGAGGTCCCCCTGCGACATTTTTGGTCTGTTCTGGCCCTTTAAGTGAGAGAAGGCGCCTTGGAGTCCCAGGTCGCTTGGTTGTGACGCTGTATGTGGGGGCGTGGTCAGAGCGGGGGAAAATGGCGCCGCCCCCGGTCCCCGCTCACTCCCCTCACCCGCGCGTAACCGGGCACCCACAGTCATCAACTCGCTGCCACCGCCTCCCCACTGACTCCTCCGTAGTCACTCACCCGGTGGGCTGCTCACTAGGTCCAATCCTGGGGTTTTGGAACCCGTGCGTCTGGATTCGCGCGTCTGGGTCCCAGCGCCCGCGCCCGGGTGCAACGAGTTCTCCTTTGTAACTCCTCAACCCCCGCCGCCGGTTTGCCTCTTACCGGCCGGGCCGGAGAATTTGCTGTTTGCGGACTTCCGAAAAGTTCAGTTTTCCGTGTTCTGGTTGTGTTTTCTGATGCTAATATTTAGTTGTCCTTAAACTTGGTTGTGAGAGGAGGCAGGCACATCCACCTTAATCCTCCATCTTGGCGGAAGTCCGCAAGAGGCGATTTTTAAAATGGAAGGTGTAGGGCCCTGGCTGGTGTAGCTTCGTGGATTGAGCATGGACCTGTGAACTAGAGGATCTCGGTTCAACTCCCAGTCAGGGCATTTGCCTGGGTTGTGGGCCAGATCCCAGCAGGGAACACACGAGAGGCAACCACACATTGACATTTCTCTCCTTCTCTCTCCTTCTCTTCCCCTCTGTCTAAAAATGAATAAAATCTTTTTTAAAAAATGGAAGGTATAGAAAAATATGAAAGACTAGAGGAAAGTGAGGATTGGGATCACTTCCTAGAAGAAGAAAGGTTTAGGCTGAGAGAAAAATGAAGAAGTTAGCCAAGCTTACTGGGCATGTTGCTGAAGAACACTCTGAGCAAAAGCTAACAGTTTATGAAGGGTTTAACAAAGAGCCAGAGCAAACCGTGCAGACTTGGAGGAAACATGGCAGGAGATGACGGCAGAGAGATGGACTGGACGTCACACAACAGAGCATCTTGAAAATAATTGTAATAGCAAAGAGTAAGCAATTGAATAGTTATAAAGGGGCGGGGGTAGAAATAGTCCAATTGCCATTTCATCGTAGCTGCTGAAGGGCTGAGTGGTCCAGAACGAGTCGTGACTGTGTGTGAGGAGGTCATGGGAGAGAGAGGTGTGGTTTGGACAGAGAGGACAAGACCAGCCAGAGAAAGAAGTAGAAATGGAGCCCTGGCCAGTGTGACTCAGGTGGTTGGAGCATCATCCCATGCACCAAGAGGTTGTGGGTTCAATCCCTGGTCAGGGCACATACCTGGGTTGCAGGTTGATCCCTGATCTGGGTGTGGAAAGCAAATGATCAATGTTTCTCTCCCCCTCCCTGCTCCCCTCTCCCCCTTTCTCCCCTACCCCTCTCCCCCTCTCCCCTTCTCTCCCTCTCCTCCATTTTCATTCTCCCTCCCTCCCTCTCTCTCTAGAAATCAATAAACATGTCCTCAGGCAAGGATTTTTTTTAGAAGAAGTAGAAATGAGGACCACATGCAGAGAGAGAATATGGTACCAAGGATGACATCTAAGCTTCTGGCAGGAGAAACTGAGTAGACAGGATTCCATTGCCTCAGGAAATGCTGAAAGAGACTTTCTGCAGCACTCAGACCAGGGAAGGGGAGACCTAGTGAGTTGAAGGTGTAACTATTTGGATAACTCACAGGCATCTAGTGAGGAGTTCACTGACTAACCTGAAGTTCAAGAACGGTGTTTAGGACGACTCCTGAAGATAAATACTTGGTAACTACAATATACTGCCCCATGATGTGGTTTACCTCAGGCCATACAGCAAAATGAGGGCTGAAGTTCAGGCCCTGGCCAGATAGCTCAGCTGGTTAGAGCATTGTCCCAATACGCCAAGGTTGTGGGTTTGATCCCCAGTCAGGCCACACACAAGACTTGACCAATGAATGCATAAATAAGTAGAACAAATCTCTCTCTCTCTCTCTCTCACCAATCTAAAAAATTATTAACAGAAGTTTGTTTCCAAGTTCAAGATTGGAGCACTTGTCACATGGACATCTGTGGTGGTGGTGGTGGCGGTGGTGGGACCCAAGGCTCTGCCTCCATCCCAGGCTGGTCACGGGATCTACTGATTCATCTTGGTTCCCCTCAGTAATCATGGCAGAGGCTGCCCTCATCCCTGGTCAGGGTCATTGCTGTGACATCATGGAGACTGTCTGTCATCTGCTTTATGTTGCAGAGGCTTCACTGGCTGAGAGACTAGGAGATTCTACATCCACAAAGACCAATCAAGGTACCAGCATGGAAAAACTTCCAGGTCAGTGTGGGGTAGGGGTAACATGTTTTCTACCTCGGTCAAGGGTCCTGTTGTCCACAGAGCTACTCTCACCAAAGCCCAGTCATTTTTTAGTCATTTTATTCCAATTAATTCTTTCCTCTGCCCTCTGCCAGAAGTGTGATTCATTTCTACACATTCCTTCCCATCACCCTAGACTCATTAATCCGTTTCCACTCCAGTTACGTGAAATCCCCTCAGCAAGGACCAAGGTGATCTTTTCAAAAGATCCATCTGAACCCTGAACATGGAGCTCAGTTGGTTAGAGCTTCATCCCAATAGCCAAGGTTGTTGGTTTGATCCCCAGTCAGAACACATACAAGAGGCAACCAATGAGTGCATGAATAAGTGGAACAACTAATTAATGTTTCTCTCTCTCTCTCTCTCTCTCTCTCTCTCTCTCTCTCTCTCTCTTTCTCCTCCTTCTCTAAAATCAATCAATCAATATTTTTTTTTAATTTTTCCCTCTGACACTTTTACTCCCCTGCTTAACTATCCTGAAATGGTTTTCCATTGCATCTGTGATCGAGTCCATGATTTTTCCATAACTGGTGCATCTAACACGGCCCTTATGACTATTTCTAAGACAGGGCAATGCAGTCCCACCTCATCTGAGACAAATATGTAGGTAACTGCCCTTGTAGGCAACTGGTCCCTAGTAAGGACACGGGGTGGCTATTCTCAGTCAGTGTCAACTACAGGAGGTTGGGGGCTTGTTCTTCACCAGATCACCTCATGTAACCTTCAGAGCAACTTCATGGCATAGGAACTATTATACTTACTCCTGCGACAAAAATACAGAAGCACATAAGCCTGAGGGGGGGGGGTTCCTTTTTTCTTTTCTTTTTTTTGTTTTTCTTGTGTAAACTTGTTGAGTTGTGTAAGTCCTCACCAATAGTGACAGAATTCACATTTAGATCAAGTATCCCCTTGATCTAATTGTGATCAACTCCAGACCCTTAGTTTTTTAATGTTTCATTGGATTTTAGAGAGAGAGGGAAGGAGAGCCTCTCATACATGCCCTGACCCAGAATCGAACTCGCAACCTTTTGGTTTATGGGATGATACTCCAACCCACCGAGCCACACCATCAGGGCTCCAAACTCTTAGTTTTTAACAACTAGGTTCGACCTCTTGTTTCAATAACTTACCCAAAGGTCTCCAAATGACAAAAACCAGAAATAAGACCAGAGCTCAAACCTTCTAATCTTGAACCCAGTGCTCATTCTACATACGCTCTGACCCTCTGGCTGAGCCTGTGGCTCCAGATAGGCCAGAAGACGGAACCCGGCATTGCAAACCACGTCTTGGGGACTCTGCAGGTCTGACCCGGGTAATTCACCCAGGTGTGCATGAGTTTACTCTTCTTCCCACTCTTTTTTGCAGAAGTGCCACAAGCTATGGAAATAAATGGTACCACAGCAACAGAGTCAGAAAGCCAAGGTAAAGGACCCTGGTTTATTCTCTTTCCCCCCCCCTCTTGGAACAAAGTTGGTGGGCACACTGCCTGAAGAGCATAGTTGCCTGGAGAGTCCACTCTCCTCCTGTCCACCCTCATTTGTTTCTGGTGCGTCCACCCTTTCCTCAGAGCTCTGGGGATTCTCACACCACAGGTTCCCGGATGTCCACTATTATTGGCAGTCTGTTTTTATAAAGGTAAATTTCAAATTCCTAAGTTCCAAGGCACTCACAAATCGAGTGCCTTGTTTATTTTGTTATGTTTTTAATCCTTACCCGAGGATATTTTTATTGATTTGAGAGAGACAGAGAGAGATCAGTGTAAGAGAAAAACATTGATCGTATACACCCCAACTTGGATGGACCCCACAGGTGTCCCAATGGGGCGTCGAACCCTCAACCTTTCTGTGTATGGGATGACGCTCCAACCAACTGAGCTACCCAGCCAAGGCATGTACAAGGTTGATCTCTCTCTCCCCCTTCCTCTCCAACATCCATTAAGAAAAAAAGAATGTAAGGTCTCAGCTCTTAGGTTCGGAAAAGAAAAATCCGGTTAGAGGGACAAACAGAGTTAACTTGGTAGGAAGTCCTCAAGCCTTTGAGGACATGATCTTTAAGTGAAGGGGTTGGGGATGGAGCTCATCACCAATAATAACACGTTGCTGAAGAAAAACAGGGTCTCATACACATAGTACATCTGAAATCCAGCCTGTCTTCAAACTCTGCTTCCTGTTTTCCCTTTTCCTTCTCTGGCCCCACGTAGGCCATAGACAAGATGAGTGGGTCTACAAACATCATGTGATGAGAAAGTTCGCAGGGACATCAGGGACCCACCACGGCTTCGAAAACTTTGCCTCCGATTGTCCACAAATGCAAACGCTGTTTGGGGTGTTCACGCCGGATCAGCAGGGCTTCCGGCCTCTCACCGTGGTCCTGCACGGAAGACCAGGGGTGGGGAAGTCGACTTTGGCCAGAAGAATCCTGCTGCGCTGGGCCCACGGAGAGCTCTACCCGGGCTTGTTCTCCTATGTCTTCTTCTTTGATGCCAGAGACATACTGCTGAGGAAGAAAACCAGTTTTGCAGAGTTAATTGTCAAGGAGTGGCCAGACCCCTTAGTCCCCACGGCGAAGATCCTGTGCTGGCCAGAACGGCTCTTGTTTGTGGTCGATGGTTTTGACGACCTGAACGCGGCCTTTAGAGATGCCAACGTGCACCTCTGCACCGACTGGACGGAGAAGCAGACGGTGTCTGTCCTGATACGTAGTCTGCTGAAAAAGGTCCTATTTCCAGAGTCCTCCCTAATAGTCACCATCAGAGACGTAGGCGTGGAAAAGCTCAAAGCCATGGTCATCTCTCCCCGTTACCTCTTAGTCGAAGGAATCTCAGTGCAGAGAAGGATCCAGTTGTTCCTCAAGCATGTCAAGAATGAGGACCAAAAAATGCAACTCCTGCACTCCGTGCTGGACAACCATATGCTGATCGATATGTGCCAGGTGTACAGTGTGTGGTCACTCCTCTGCCAGGCTCTGGAGCTGCAGATGGCCTCGGGAAAGGGCCCGCTCCCTTCCTGCCAGGTGCTCACGGGCTTGTACACTACCTTCGTGGTCCATCAGCTCACCCCTCAAGATGCCCCGGGGCATGGTCTCGGTCCGGAGGAAAGAGCCGTTTTGAAGAGCTTGTGCCGGATGGCTGCGGAGGGCGTCTGGACCATGAAGTTTGCGTTTTACCCCGATGACCTGGCCACCCACGGACTGACGGAGCTGGAGCTCTCCTCTATGTTTCGCAGGAGCATCCTGCTCCAAGACAGCCGCGGGGACAGGTGTTTCACGTTCCTGCACCCAAGCCTGCAAGAGTTCTGCGCTGCCTTGTACTATGTTCTAGAAGGGCTGGAAATGGACTGGTGTCCCCACCCCCTGTATGGGGAAAACACGAAGACTTGGAAGGAGTTCAAACAGATCAGCTCCAACGTCCACTTGCTCCAGATGAAGCGTTTCTTGTTTGGCCTCATGAACCAAGAGCTGGTGAGGACGCTGAAGGACTGGCTGGGGTGTTCCCTTCCCCTGGTGGTGAGGAGGGTGCTTCTCCACTGGGTCTCTCTGTTGGGTCAATGGGCCGACACCTCCTCCACCCTGGACTTCCTGGACGCCTTCTACTGTCTCTTTGAGACCCAAGACGAAGAGTTTGTCCGTTTGGCATTGAACGGCTTCCAGGAAGTGAGGCTCATGGTGAGCCGGCCGATGGACCTCCTTGTGTCTTCTTTCTGTGCCCAACATTGCCAGAACTTGCAGAAAATCCAAATGGACGTCAGAGAGATCTTCTCAGGGGATGAGTCCACTGAGGCACAGCTGGTCATTCTGCAAGGGTGAGTGTGTCCCTCTGCAATGTTTTCCTTTCTGTCTCGATGGAGGTACTGCTGGGTTGCGGCAACAATGGCTGCAATCAAGCTAATTAACATGGCCATCACTCCCTCGTTCCCGTGTGTGTGTGTGTGTGTGTGCAGTGAAAACACTCAGGGCCTACCCTCCTAGCAAATCTCAAGTGTGCGACACCCAGTTGTTAATGGTAGTTCTACTTTGGCTATCCCTTTCCTACAGCTGAAACTCTGTGTCCTTCACCCCATCCTTCACCCTACACCCCACGTCCCTGCCTCGTTGCCACCGGCAACCACCATGCACCCTCTGCCTCTGTGAGTTTGACTGGTTTAGATTCTGGAGGCGAGATCATGTGTGTCTTTCTGTGTCTGGCTTTTCACTCAGCATAATGTCCTCTGGGTTTATTCATAGAGTACAAATAATCTCTTAGGAGCCTGATGTCAAATCTTGCATATAAGTGGGGTTATTGGATTGTATGGAAGTTTTATCATTATTATTATTATTATTATTATTATTTTAATCCTCATTGGAGAATATGTTTGACTTTGTTTTGAGAGAGAGAGAGAAACACTGATATGAGAAAAAAAACATTGATCGGTTGCCTCCTGTATGCACCCTAACCAGGAATCAAACCGCAACCTAGGTATGTGCCCTGACCTGGAATCAAACCCACAGACTTTTGGTTTATGGGATGATGCTCCAATCAATTGAGCCACCCAGCCAGGGCTATGTTTAATTTCTTGAGAAATCTCCATACTGTTTTCCATAGTGACTGTGCCATTTTACATTCAAAGGGGAACTGGAATTTATTAATTTTATTTATTTTTTAAAGATTTTATTCATTTACCTTTAGAGGGCAAGAGAAGGAGAGAGGGAGAGAAACATCAATGTATGGTTGCCTCTTGTGTGTCTCCCACTGGGAACTGGCCTGCAGCCCAGGCATGTGCCCTGACTGGGTATCGAACTGCGATCCCTCAGTTCACACGCCCACGCTCAATCCACTGAGTTACACCAGCCAGGGCTGGAATTTAAACACAATCTGATGTCACAGCCTGCATCTCCCAACCATCCTCTGTACCCCTGGGCACCCCCTACTCAGGACACAGAGTGAGTGTGCACAAGCAGCGCATGAAGTGACATCACCAAAGTGTCCTCTGAGCCTCTGAAGCCATCCTTGTCTCGTCCCAACAGCCCGGTCTCTCTCTTCCGACACGGTTGCTGTCGTTGTTCATGTTCAAATCCACCCCGTGAAAGCAAGTGTTTCTCTCCTTCTCCATTGTAGGGTGAAGATCAAGCCCCTGGTGAACAAGTGGTGGGAAAACCTCTGCTCCGTGCTCTGCGCCCGACCAAGCCTGCGGCAGGTGGACCTCAGCAGCAGCATCTTGAGCGAGTGGGCCATGAAGACCCTGTGCGTCAAGCTGCGACAGCCGACCTGTAGAGTTCAGAAGTTGATGTAAGGCTGCTCCGCCCCTGGGACGTGCCCCTCTTTGTGGCTTGTCACCGGTCTCCTTGTCCACCTCCTAAGACCAACCTATAAAATGTATTTGGAAGGGACATGTCCTATGGGAAGTATAGGAACCAGGTTCCCAAAAGCGTAGGGTTGGGAGTGACTAAAGACCTTGTGGAAGGGATTACTGAGGTGGGGGGTCATTTTTTCAGGGTTTTGAAGGATGAACAGGACTTTGTTAGTATTGGGGAAGGGAAAAAAGTTCAATTCAGGCAAGTAAATTATTTACAGAAGCCTTTAAATCACTCCTTAGTGCTTTTAGGCGAATCCATAAGGTCACAAATATTCGAACATCTAATAGTTCCTGGGTCTGTTGTAGACCCCAGGGTACTTAACAGCACCTATGGTGGGAGATGGAGGTCTCATTCAACTTTAAAGATTCGATTTAATTTTTCTTCCAAGACCAAGGAAAGCCCATGTGGCAACCCAACTAGGTTCCTGGCTGCAAACATCTTACACTTGCTGCTCTTCCTGCCTTCCTTTTTTTGTTGTTTTAACATTTTATATATTTAGTTTTAGAAAGAGGGAAGAGAGGGAGAAGAAATATCGATGTGTAGTTGCTTCTTATGCACCCCCTACTGGGGACCTGGCCTGCAACCCAGGCATGTGCCCTGACCAGGAACTGAACCAGCCACCCCCTGGTTCTCAGGCCAGCACCCAATCCACTGAGCCACACCAGCCAGGGCATCTTTCTGCCTTCCTTAAATGGAGCTGTGCCAAGGAGCCTGGTGATCCCAGAATAGCAAGTTGAGGCCCTTGTTATTATCTTCGGTCCTGCACCTTTCAGCTGTTACCTGCTTTTCCTCCCCCAGTGGTGACTCAAATCATGGAAGAGATTTACGGATTAGAAAGGTGATAAGTAAACCCTACCCACCTCCCACACCTCTTCAACTTTCTGATCTCCCTAATGAACAGCTTTCACATCCCACCTATTTTTCATGAAATTATATGCCCATATGGATGAATGAATTTTTTTAACCCAAAGGGTGTCGTGTTATATGTACTATTCTGACATTTGAGTTTTTTCTTCTGCTTGAATTGTGTGGAGTTCTATTATTTGGAGGCAGGTATTTTTTTTTAAGATTTTATTTTATTTATTGAGAGAGGGAAAGGGAGTAAGAAAGAGAAGGAGAGAAAACATCAGTGTGTGGTTGCCTCACACACGCCCCCTACTGGGGACCTGGACCTCAACCCAGGCATGTACCCTGACTGGGAATCAAACCAGCAACCCTTTGGTCTGCAGGTTGGCACTCAATCCACTGAACTACACCAGCCAGGGCTGGAGTTCTGTCATTAATGGATATACCATATTTTATTCTTTTGGAGGAGACAGTTTATTTTTTTTAAGTTTTTGTTTTTCAGTTTTTGTTGATATTCAATATTATATCAGTTTCAGGTGTACAGCATACCAGTGATTTTTATATAATTTATGAAGTTGTCCACCCCCCCAATACTTTCAGTACCCACCTGGCACCGTACATAGTTATTAGAATATTCCTGACTATATTCCCTATGCTGAACTTTACATCCCTGGGACTATTCTGTAACTGCCAATCTGTACTTGTTAATCCCTTCACCTTTTTGCTCATCCCTCCAACCCCCCTCCCCTCTGGTGACTTGTCAAAGTCAAAATATTCTCTCTCTGAGTTAGTCTTGATTTTGTTTGTTCATGTGTTATATTACATTCTTCTTAACAGGTTTGGGTTTTTTTTAAAGATTTTACTTATTTATTTTTAGAGAGGAAAAGGGAGGGAGAAAGAAAAACAATGTGTGGTTGCCTCTCACGTGACTGCCCCCCCACTGGGGACCTGGCCTGCAACCCAGGCATGTGTCCTGACTGGGAATAGAACTGGAGATGACTTTTTGTTCACAGGTTGGTGCTCAATCCACTGAGCCACACCAGCCAGGGCCCATATTATATTCTTAAGCACATTCCTTTCATGTGTCTCCTATGTTAGCTTAAACTCCAGGAGAACAGTATTCAAATTGGCAATACTCTCCTCCCAGGGCCTGCTGCACCACCGGCACTTAAGTATTTGTTGCTTTAAAATTAAATAAACGCACCCTGGCTGGTGTGGCTCAGTGGATTGAGCACCAACCTGTGAACAAAAAGTCATCTCCAGTTCTATTCCCAGTCAGGACATGCCTGGGTTGCAGGCTGGGTTCCCCAGTTGGGGGCATGCAAGAGGCAACCAATTGATGTTTCTCTTTTTCTTCTTCCTTTCCCCTCTCTCTAAAATAAAATATATTTTTAAAAACATTTAACAAATGCAATTAACAAAAGATGAAAGTGGGGATGGGAGGGACATGGAAAGAAAACATACGAAACGCCTAATTCACACTCTCTTGTTTCTCTCTCTAGATTTAAAGGCATGCAGATTAGCCTTGGTCTCTGTCACCTCTGGAAGACTCTCATCATCAGCCCCACTATTAAGCACGTGAACTTGGAAAGCACTCCCCTGAAGGAGGAAGATATAAGAATAGCATCCGAAGCGTTGAAACACCCTAACTGTGTGTTGGAGTCTTTAAGGTAAGTCCTGGCTAAGGTTGTTACTTTTATGATTGTAGGAGGAGGGTTGTTTTTTTTTTTGTCTTGATATTGTTGTATTGCTTTTAGTTTTTGTTTTGAATTGATTATTCATGGTGAGTCGCAGAAATATTGCAGAGGGTTGGAAGGATGACAAAGTCTCGCGGCAGAGGGTGGGAATGGTCATACGGCAACATGTATGTACCTAATGCCACTGAACTGCACACTGAAAAATGCTTAAAATGGTCCCTTTTATGTGGTGTATATTTTACCACAATAAAAAAGTAACTATTGCCCTGGCTGGTGTGGCTCAGTGGATTGAGCACGGGCCTGGGAAACAAAGGGTCATCGGTTCAATTCCCAGTCAGGGCACATGCCTGGGTTGTGGGCCAGATCCCCAAGAGGGGGCACCGGAGAGGCAACCACACATTGATGTTTCTCTCCCTCTCTTTCTCCCTCCCTTCCCCTCTAAAAATAAATAAATGAAACCTTTTTTTAAAAAAAAAAAAGTAACTTTTGATGTTTCATAAACATTTAAAAAAATCATAGAGGGGTCCCAGGTTCCCTTCAGCCTGTTTTTCCCTGTGGCTGTATCTTACGTAACTATAGCACAATGTCAAAACCAGGACCTGGACAGAATTACGATGAATGTATGCCAGTCTAGTCATTGTATCACACAAAATGCCAGTGTGTGTGCATTTGTGCGCATTTGTGAGACCACGGTGTGACCAAGACACACAAGGGCCACCCCCTCATGTTACAGACAACACCCCACCCTACCCCACCCCCACCACCCCCCTGATCCCTGCCCATAACACATGTATATGGAATCATACAGCATGTCACATGGCCCCCACTGGGGACCTGGCCTGCAACCCAGGCATGTGTCCTGACTGGGAATCGAACCAGCAACCACTTGGTTCATAGGTCAGCACTCAGTCCACTGAGCTCCACCAGCTAGAGTATGAGGTTGCCTTTTTTTTTTTAATCAGCAAATATCCTTGAGATTCATCTGACCTATTCTGTGTATCCTTAGTGTGTATTTATTAATTTTTAGGGGGAGAGAGAGACACTGATTTGTTGTTCTACTTATCAATGCACTCATTAGTTGATTCTTGTCTGTGCCCTGCCGGGGATTGAACTTCCAACGCTGGTGTATGGGAACGACATTCTAACCAGCTGAGCTACCCAGCCCCAGCCATGTGCTTCTTTTTATTGCTGGGTCCCAAAGGGTGGCAACCGGGTACCACGGTTGGTGTAGCCACTCTCCCTTCCAGGGACATTTTGGTCATCTCAGGTTTGGGACTGTGACCACAGTTTTGTACATCCTGGGACCAGAGCATTGCCAGTTCAAGTGGCCTGGTCTGAAGGCACTGCCATGCCCAGGGTGGTCTGAGACACAAATGATGAACTCTGTCTCCAGCTTCATTTATGGACACACACAGTGCAGGGAAGCTGTGTAGCTCACAAGCGTCCCTCTGAAGAATGTCACCCGAGGCAGCCAGCCAGGGCACAGGCGTCCTTGCAGAACCGGAGTGCACAGGTGTTTGCCCAGCACAGGTGTCACAACCATCTCTGAGAAGGAAGAGGAAGCAGCTGCTGAGTGTCTCCAGTGCTCCGATTCAAAAAATAATAATAATAATAAGGAAAGAGACACACTGTCAGAAAAGATGAGAGGGGGAGAGGCTACTGGGGACCAAGAGAAAGTGCAGAAGTTCTGTGGTGGGAGGGGAAAGCCCTGTTGTGGTGACTCTGAGGTCAGGGTGTTGTTCTGGTTCCCTCCCTGTGGTAGTCCTTGACCCACGCACTGGGTGGAAGGGGAGGAGGGATGGTTGATTGGCTCACCCTCCAAATGGGCTTAAAATGGCCCATTTGGCTCGGCAAAGGCTCGGCAAAGCTCGGCCTTTGCCGGCAAAGGCTCGGCAAAGATACACCGGCCAACATAGTGAAATGGTTTGATTGCAAACTCCATGTGAGATGCATTTCTCATGCATTCGACAAACAGGGAGTCCTGATAATGTTCTTAACACTACGCGTTGGGTCCCACGATGTGCTGATGAGTGGGAGCAGGTTCCTTTTCTCAAGGTGCTCACAGACTCCTGTGGGTAAACCAAGACAAAGGAACCCCCAAGTTATGAACCATCAACATATGTATTTGGAAGACTCTAACATGTTGGTGTACAATTCAACGGAGTCAGTACTTGAAACTGTGGTCTATGTGGAAGTGTATTTATTTATTCCATAGGTTCCAAAACAAATACACACACAAATGTATAATGGCTCAGAAATTACAGAAGGGTATTTCTTGTCTCTACAGCATTAGCTCAAGGTTGGTTTCAGATGGATGTACAAGCGAGCAAGGATTCTGCCCTTAATACTTCCAAGGCCTTACTGGGCACAGACATTCAGCTCACAGAAGGAGGGGACGCTCAGGGGACACCTGGAGGTTTCAGGGACTTGACCCAGTAGGCTCCAAAACCTCCACCACCTAGTCTCCAGGCTAGAACGCGGTCACGTGATCGCTCTCGCTGCAAGGCAGGCTGGGAAATGTAGTCCAGCTCTGTCTCCACGTGGAAGCAGGAACAGCTTTGCATAGTTTAAAACACACACACACCCGCGCGCCCAGCTGCGCCACGGGAAAGAATCCTGCTGTTTGCAGCAACCTGGGTAGACCTCAAGGGTAACCTGCTGAGTAGGCGAAGCAGACAGAGAAAGACAAGTACTGTAGGATCTCACTTACACGTGGACTCTAAAAATTATTTTTAAAAGGTGAATCTGTGAAAAGAGTAGAACGCTACTTACCAGGAGACATCCTTTAAGGCTACAAACTTGCAACTTGTAGACATGTGCTGTATTTTGCGGTGCATAATGCGCACCCGTGTATAATGTGTAACCACTTTTTTGTCCCAAACTTTCAGGGGGCAAAATCTTTCATTCAAATTTTTTAATTCCATCTTTGATTTCTTTATATTTAGATACTTGTGGGGGGTTGCATTATAAAGGGATTTTACTATTTATTTTTGAACATATTGTGGTACATGAAATTTTATGTAGTAAATAGTTACCAAACAGAAGAACAGATACAAGGTATCCCAGGTACTACCCATGTAGAATGCACACCCTTATTTTTTCCCTCAGAAATTTGGGCAAAAAAGTGCACAATATATATGGTGAAATATGGCACATCCTGAGCATGCAATGCATATACTAATGATTACAGACAACGATATTGCATAATAGACATCAGACTTGCTAAGAGACTTGGTGCATTTATTTATTTAGGTACTCAACCATGTGTTCATTTACATGAATTTTGGGCAGAAATCTTTGTCCGAAGCTGAATATAGTATACAAATATGTATTGGCATTTAGAGCTGTCTTTACAAAGACCTGTATGTTCTCTAAGCAGAAAGGATATAAAAGTTTTGTGTTACGATTAAGCCACTCTACTAACTAAAAAATAAATAAAATTAAAGGCAATAACGTGTTTGCCCAATGGGAAGCAACTCAAGAGAGCTGGAGGAGGGCTTTCTGGAGGAAGGGTGTTTCCTGGGCTTTCTTTGCAGAGAAAATCACTGCCTGTTCTCCTAAGAGACAGGGTCATCGTTATTCCCACCACACACACACACACAAAAAATGTTAACTATGTGACCTGATAGAGTAGTAACTATTTCTACAAGGGCAATTGTATTGCCATTGCTAAATGCATCAACCCTTCATGTTTATACATTAAATTTACAGTGTTGTATGTCCTTGATGGAATGTTTGCAGGGGATAACTGCTGTGAATAAAATCGTGCTGGGGCGGGGGGGGGGGCAGGCAAGCTTGAAGGCAGTGAGACAGGCTTGCTTGGAAGAAGTAAGACTCAGTTCTGCACAAGAGCTTGAGCTGTATAAAGACTTGGGCCTGGGGGTGAGCATAGATGTTGCAAACAGAGGAACAGAAGGTGCTAAAGACTCGGAAGCCACAGCAGACAGGGTCCAGGGAGAGGCTGGCTTGCAGTGAGTGGGGGACGCTGGGTTGCCTTGAGGACAGACCAGTATGTGATTTACCTGAGCCGTGTCTGCAGGTTGGATGACTGCGGATTAACCCAGACCTGCTTCCTGCTGCTCTCCCAAACACTGAGGACCTCCACCAGCCTGAGATCTCTGAGCCTCGCGGGAAACCCGGCGGCAGGCCAGGGCATCCAGTCCCTCTGTGAGGCCATGAAGGTCTCTCAGTGCACCCTGCAGAAGCTGATGTGAGCAGTGCTTCCTTTCATGAGGGTGGTTTTGTCTGAACTGAAGCCAACCAGGTAATGGGGGAAGGGGAGGGGGAACTGGCTGATGCATAAGCAAGGATTACAGTGGGAGTTCTCACCTCATGAGAATGCCCCAATGTTGAGGTTTATAGAGACCCAATAAGTAACACCTGTGTCTTAACAGAGCCAAACTCAGACTTGGAGAGAAGATGGTGGTTACTGAGGGCTGCGGGGAGGGGGATTGGGCCACACATAGAGAGATGTTGATCAAAGGGATGAGTAAGTTCTGGGGGTCTAATGCACAGGGTGGTAATAATCATTAACAATACTGTGTGCTATACTTGAAAATCTCACCAATACTGAAACGCCAAGGAGGCACTAGCTTGTGGTCAGAGCTGCCGCCTGGGCTAAGCATTCTGTTCCCATTAACACTGTCCTCACAAATGACCTAGCAGGTAGGAACTGCTTCTCTGCCATTGGTTGACGAAGAAAGCAGATGCCAGCAGAAGGAGGGAAGTCTCTTGTCTAAGGTCAGGCAGGGAGTACAGGGCACAGCTGAAGCAGGATCCCTCAAGAACGGACCCATTCCCTGGAGCCGTCTGCCCCCCAACCTGGGCAAGCTGGTTTCTCCCTGACGCTTCCAAAGCCTGCCATGGCCATAACATGCCTTCTTCAGTGGGAGTTCAGTTCCAAAGCCTGAGCAAAAGTTGAAAAGCAAATAACACAGAGTACCCTTTTGCAGAAGGCAATCGTAGGAGCAAGATGCCTTCTCTTGGTTCGTCTATAAAGGAGGAAAACAACAACAACAAAAAAACCCACTTTTTATCCACCCTCTTAGGTTCCAGGTCTGGGGCCTGCAAATTAAACTGACAATAGACAAATTAGCAAGGGAAAAGGCGTGCAAATTTTATCGATGTTAATTTTGTCAGTATGTGAGGATGTCCCAGAAAGGAAGTAAGAAGCCCGTGGAGAGGGTAGACTCAGGGGCTTATATACCATTTTAACAAAGAGCAATAAATTACAGAGAAGTAATCAGACAAAGGAAAGTGGGTCCGGGCCTCAAGGGCTGATAAATTGTGGGAGCGTGACCAGGATGTATATGGGGAGAATTAAAGGTAGATAAGAGCTAAAAGAAGACTCCTCTCCATTGCTGGTGATGAGAGTCACTGTCCTCCCCTGGTACAAGAGAGGGGACATTTGCACAAGAGAAATCTTTGTCCCAACTTTTAGGCGGGTGGTGGGGAGGTCAGACAGTGCTTATCTTTTCTGCTTTTTCTCAATTGCCATTAGCTGAAAATAATCCAAAAGCGGTGTATTTGGGGGTGTCTCCTCCGAGTGCAATCCAACCAGCATTCCTTTCTCAAAAAGAGATCACTATCAATAACACAGAAGGTGTGCTTTAAGCATGTTAGACGTGTTCATTCATTTCACTCTGCCCCCCACACCATGACAGAGGGACTGTTAAACCCAGACTTTCAAAGTCGGATTGCTTTCTAAGCTTCGAGGAACTGATGGACGATCTCATTTACGTCTGAGGGATACCATGTGCTGAATGTAGGTTCCTCTAAAGAGCAAGGTCACTTGTCTTGGCAGACACCTTGGCCCGTAGTGCAGGGAGGAGAAGAAACAACCAGAGGACAGAGCAGAGTCATGTGGCCTCTGCATTTCCCATTGTAGACACCGCAGGTCTAACGCCCCAGAACGCTCAGCATTCTTGTTGGACCGAATGAAGCATTTCAGTTGAGTGCGTAAGGCAAACACAGATACCATGTGACATTGCCATGTGTCTGTGAGGACATGCCAGCCATGGGGGTGACATCTCTCTCCTCCTCTTGCACGCAAGGGAGACACGCGATGTGCGGACTTCCTCATTGCTTCTCTGGGCTGTCTTCTTGCAGACTAGGGAACTGCGGTCTCACAGGCTCCAGTTGCTGGGATCTGGCCTCAGTGCTGTCCTGCAACCAGAGACTGACCCACCTGGACCTGTCCACCAACAGGCTGAGGGCGGAAGGTGTGACTGCCTTGTGTCGAGCCTTAAAGCTTGTCAACTGTGCTCTACAGAGGCTGATGTGAGTCAAACACACTCCCCTGTGAGGACGAGGTGGCTTTCTGGCAAATGGCATGAGACTGTCTCAAAAGAGGGGGGAAGGAGCAACTGCTCGGGGGGAGGCACCTGCCACGGGTCACATCGTGTCCCGGAGAGTCACCTCCTAGAGTTCACACTCCCTCGGAAAATTCTCTGTGTTTACATTTTCTTGTGACGGGAAGTTATTTGTCCGAATACAGCTGATTGTCATGATGGGTGGGAGTCACATTCTGTAAAGTCAGAGAGAACGTCGAATTACTGAGAGTGGACCCTGATACCCTGGGAAAACACGGGGTCACGACATTTTCATCAGTGGACCTTACCTAACCCTTGCCTGGGGGGGTTCTGCCTTAAAAAACCCATATTTAATAGCTATTGCTGATTCATTAATATTGAACTTGTGACCAAGAGTGGTACGAATCATGCCTGAACAAAAGCCTATGTAATACATGTTTTTCCTTCATAAAACACATCGCAGTTTTCTTTTTTAACTTTATTTTTATTGTTGACACTCTTACAGATGTCCCCATTCCCCACCACCGCCACCTTTGCCGGTCTCCACCCAGCACCACCCCCCTTCCCTCTGCCTGTCACCATACTGTTGTCTGTGTCTACGGGTCATGCGTATATACTCTTTGGCTAATTCCCTTCACCTCCCTTCACCCAGTCCCCCCACCCCTGCTTCCCTCTGCCAGCTGTATGTCTGTCTGCACCATGTATCCATGCCTCTGTTTCTTTTTTGTTTATCAGTTTATTTTGTTCATTCGATTTTGCATATAAGGAAGATCATGTGTTATTTGTCTTTCTCTGACTGGCTTGTTTCACTTAGCATAATAATTTCCAGGTCCATCCATGCTTTCGCAAAAGGTAAGAGTTTCTTCTTTTTCTACAAGCTGCGTAATGTTCCATTGTGTGAATGCACTCAAAATGCACCCAGCATTCCTAGCCACTCGCCTCCTGATGGGCACGTGGGCTGCTTCCAGACCTTTACAAGAGCCAAGCTCTGGAAACACCACCACTTTCTTGTGCTCAACACACTAGACCACACTTCTTCAGCTCCACATCTTAAACGGTGAAGCCACCAAACCCCCAAAACCACAGAGATGCGGAAAATGTGGCATTCACTGGAAGGACATTTGTTCACAGCAGGATGAGAACTGGACGTGAGTTCCACCTTAGCTGGGAACGTGAGTGACAGGCAACTCCCATTTTTCTGCGTGTGTCCGTGAAGGACTGTAAGCACCATGAGGATTGATTGGGGGGGGCAGTCACCCATAAATCTGAATGAGAAGGCAAACTCACAAATATAGAACTCGTGACTATGTCAGTCGGCTGTATTTATGAAGCCCCTGCTTTGGCACACGCTCTTAGTTGCTAATAATAGGGAGATGAAAGATGGATGGGGTCCCTATTTTTTGCGTGGCCTAAATTCTGGTAGAGGCGAGTTGGATGGTGAGTCAATGAGGTTTTCAAATAGTGACGCAGAGCCGATGGCCACAGTGTCTGGCAGGGAGGGCACTATTGTAAGGTGGTCTCTATGGCTATTTTAACAAGTGCCTCCTTGTGTGGCTAAATTACTCTTCTATCCCAAATCTTTTTTTTTAATCTTCCCCTGAGTCTATGTTTATTGATTTGAGAGACAGAAGAAAGGAGGGGAGAGAGAGATAACTGTCAGTTGCCTCCCCCACTCACCCTGACCAGGGATCAAAGCCATAACCTTTCAGTGTATGAGACAACGCTCCAACCAACTGAGCCAGCCAGCCAGCTGCCGGATGACATGTGTGGCTTAAGGCATGAGGTTTGTGACCACGGCAACAGGCAACTCATCCCTTCATACCTTGAGTCGGAAAGAAAATGGGAAGAGAGGGTGGCAGCATCCAGCACAGGCGTTGGGCATTATGCCAAGAACATCTGGGTCATCTCGTGACCTACACCAGACGACCTCCTTAGATACCAGCTCGATCTCCTCCCAGATGAGGAGCAAGAGAGGCTAAGAGAAGTAGCTGAGCCCTGCTGGGAAGCACAGTTGGTTGGAGCATTGTTTTCTTCACCAAAATGTCATGGGTTTGATTCCTGGTCAGGAGACATACCTGGGTCTTGTGTTCGAGCCCTGGTCAGGGTGCGTACGGGAGACAACCAATCGATGTCTCTCTCCCTATCCCTTCTTCTCTCTCTCAAATCGGTAAACATATCCTTGAGTAAGGATTTCTTTTTCAAAGGGGCTTCCCCAAGGGGACACCGAGTCAGGCATGTGACACTCCCCCCTTTCCCTTGCCTGTGCCCCACAGACTAAGAGAATGCAACCTGGATACCATGGGCTGCAGCTTTCTGGCCCTTGCCCTGACCAGCAACTGTCACCTGACACACCTGAACCTTAGCATGAACCCCTTGGGAGATGATGGCGTCCACTTCCTGTGTGAGGTCCTGGCGGAAATGCCTTGTCACCTCCAAGACCTGGAGTGAGTCTCCCTGGGCTGAGGGGTCTGGGGGGGGGGGGCGCCTCTACCAGAGTGGGGGCCGAGGTTCCCAGATTGTCAGGAGCCAGGAGTCGTGGGCCTGGAACCTACACTGAAGCTCCAAAGTCCACGGAGCCTCACTGTCTCCAGTGGACACAGTGCGTAAGTTGAGGTGTTTGACAGGACACTGAAGGTGGGAAGGACAGAAATTGTTCTGAACGGGACCCGTGGAGTTCAAGGTTGCTGTGAATCCCTGAAACCCATGCACCGCTCCTATTTCCCTCCCCCTTTCTCTCCCTTTCTCCTTCTCTGTCTCTGTCTGTGTCTCTCTCTCTCTATATATATATGTGTGCGTATATATATATAAATCTGTATATATTTCTGTCTATCTCTATATACATGTGTATCTCTCTTTCATATACATCTCTTTCAATCGCTTCTTGGCCTTTTGGCTAAGATCAAGTGTAGTATCTGTTCTTATCAGTTATATCTATCTGTCTATATATATATATATGTATGTATTTAAATCTATATATTTCTGTCTCTATATACACCTTTACCTCTCATATATTTATACATATACATATATAAAAATGTATCTATATAGTTCTCTCTATATATACCTCTACCTCTCTTATATATTTATATATATACACATATATAAATCATTCTATATATTTCTCTCTATATATATCTAAAACTCTACCTCTCTCATATATTTATATATACATACATGTCATTCTATATATTTCTCCCTCTCTATATATGTCTACCTCTCATATTTATATATATACATATATATAAATCTATCTTTCTATATACTTCTGTCTCTCTATATATATCTTTACCTCTCTCATAGATTTATATACACACATATATAAATCTATCTCTATATTTCTGTCTTTTATATATATACCTCTACCTCTCATATATTTATATATGTATATACACACATATATAAATATCAATCTATATACTTCTCGGTCTCTGTCTCTATGTCTGTCTCTCTGTCTCTCTCTGTATCTCTGTCCCTGTCTGTCTCCAGCTCTGTCTGCATGTGCACACACGCACACACACACCCCTTTACAGGCTGATGAAATGCTGCCTCACGGCCGCCAGCTGCAAGAACCTGTGTGCTGTGATCACCCAGAGCAAGCACCTGAGGAGCCTGGACCTCGCCGCCAATGCCCTGGGTGACGAGGGGGTGGCGGCCCTGTGCGAAGGACTGAAGCAAACGACGACGTGTCTGAGGAGACTCGGGTAGGCTTCCGGAGCAGCCTCCTGGAGGGCTGGGCGCAGAGGGAGGGGAACCCGAGCATGAGGTTGCTGGAACGGGGGCCGGGATCTGAGGCACACGATTCCAGGAAATCAGGGAACCCCTGGGCGAGGGGCCGAGTGGGGCTGGGCTGCGACCTCTGAAACGAGGGAAACGGCAGGGGCTCCGGAGCATTGTCTGGAGGTCACAAACCCTCCATAAATGTTTATCGGAGGAGTTGGAAGCTGGGCAGGGTGCCAGCTGGTGGCAGGACCAAGGTGCCTAGGTTTTAACATTGCAGAATCCACAGTGTAATGGGAAAGAAGAACCGGAAAGGCAGTGGGCACACTGGCAGTTCTCAAACCACAGCGTCAGCCTCAGATTTGCCCAGGAGGCTTGTGGGAAAAACGGTTCTGGTACATTCGGCAGAATATTACGTGGTCATGAAAAAGGGATGGAGTGCTAACACATGCTACCGCGTAGATGAGCCCTGAGAACACCATGAAGCAGAATCCCCAAATACACAACATCTACAGCGATCAGGACATCTACAACTTCTAGACCCACCGGCTAGTTTAAACTACCTACCTAACCTGGTGAACTAGTTATAGCAAAGTTACTGGTTTTAACGTTCCACCTCCTTGTACCCCAACATGCATCTCCAAAATACACGGGGTCTGGCAGAAGTAAGGTTTGCCTGAGTGCAGTTCATGTGATAATAACATGGGTGTAATAATTTATACTTGTAATTTGAATATTTCACCTGAAAGATCATAGGGTGCGCTTGAGTGGGGTATCGTTATGTTACAGAATGACCTGCTTATGATTTTGTGATAAAAAGGGGGGTGTTCTTTGCATCGGACCCTGTAGAAGAACCCTGTTACGACACTGTTACCACACCTAACAATGTTCTTTGGCGTCTCTGTGCTCTGAGGATAAAACCGTAAACCCTTTCATGTGACCCCAAAATGTCCAGTCTCCTCTCACACCACCGTCTCTGATCCACCCCCGACATCCCGCGGACAACAGGCGTCTCGCACCGGCCCACTCCCTTCTTCCATGAGGACACAGGACACCGCTCCTTCCTGTCCCCCACTCACTGAGCTCACTTCCTGTCCTCTCTCCAGCTTTAGGTGAAAAGTCTTGCGCTTTCTCGGCAAGTCTTTCTCTACGTTCCCTGTTTTGTGCCCTAATTATAGGCTCTCTCAGCCTTTACTTGCCTTTCTTGGCCCAGCTGTGAGTCACCAGCGGCTCTCTGTATGAGAAACAAGCAGCGTCTGGAAACTCCTTAGAAATGCTTTTTTTTTTTTTTTTTTTTTTTCAGTTTCTTCCAAGAACTGCTGAGCCAAAAAAAACACCTCTAGGAGTTGAGCCTACTGTTTCCCTTTTTCTTGTTTATCCTTACCCAGGCATATGTTTATTGATTTTTAGAGAGAGGGGAAGGGAGACAGAGAGAACACCAATTGGTTGCCTCCCCCAGGTGCTCCTACTAGAGATCAAACCCACAACCTTTTGGTGCACAGGACGATGCTCCAACCAACTGAGCCACCCAGCCAGGGTGCCCCTTGTTCTTGTTTGTTTTTAAACCATGGGAATGGAAGTCGATTGGGTTGAAGGATCCCAAGAAGGATCCATCGTTGATCTTTGGGGATGTTTTGGGGCCCCCCTCCCTGCAGGTTGGAGGCGTGTGGATTGACATCTGACTGCTGTGAGGTCCTGGCCTCGGCTCTCATGTCCAACCAGCAGCTCAGGAGCCTGAACCTCATGCGGAATAATTTCACTCCCGAGGGAATAAAGAAGCTGTGCCCAGCCTTCGAACACCCCACGTCTAACCTACAAGTTATTGGGTGAGTGCTGGTAGTTGTCTTCCCAGGGACAAACCTTCTCTTACATGCCAGTTGGCAGAGAAGGGGTTTATCAGAGGAAGTGAGACCGTGGCTAAGCTACCAGATCTTTATCCAACCAAATGTCCGCTGCATTCTGGGCACTGCACTGGGTGCTGGGGACTCAGGGATAATGGGAGGTAGAGGCAAGGTGCCAATACCACGAAGCTTACTTTGGGGTGGGTTTGGGAAGAAAAAGACAACATACGAATGAAATGTTTTTATCTCCCCCAAAACTAAAAACGGAATTGCTATCTGAGCCAACAATTCCACATCTGGGTATGTAATTAAAAGTATGGCCCTGGCTGGTGTGGCTCAATGGATTGAGTGCCAGCCTGTGAACCCAAAAGGTCATCCATTCGATTCCCACTCAGGGCACATGCCTGGGTTGCAGGCCAGGTCCCCAGCAGGGGGCACAAAAGAGGCAACCACACAGTGATGCTTCTCTCCCTATCTCCCTTCATTCCCCCTCTCTAAAAAATAAATAAATAAAATCTTTAAAAAAAAAAAGTAGGGAAAGCAGGGCCTCAGAGATATTTGCACACCCGTGTTCACAGCAGCCTTATTCACAATAGCCGTGAGGTGGAAGCAACCCTGTGTTGATTGTCAGGTGAATGGATAAGCAAAACGTGGTCCATCGACACAGTGGAAAATGTACTATTCATCTCTGAAAAGGAAGGACATTCTGGCACCTGCTATGATGTGGGTGAACCGTAGACACATTATACCGAGCGAAATAAGCCAGACACCCAAAGACAAAAATGCTGCATAATTCTACTTAATGTGAGGTACCTGGACTGGTCAGACCCATAGACAGAAAGTGGGATGGGGTGGGAATGGGGGTGCCCTGGGACAACCGAGAAGCAGACTGTGTTGTTTACAGGGCACATAGTGGTATATTTTTAAATTTTATTTATTTTTGGAGAGGGGGGAGGAAGACAGAAAGAGAGGGAAACATAGATGTGTGAGAGATAGATTATGTGAGAGCTATAGCAATCAGTTGCCTCTTGCGCGCCCCCTACTGGGGACCTGGCCTGCAACCCAGGCATGCGCCCTGACTGGGAATGGAACCAGCGACCTTTTGGTTCCCAGGCCAGCGCTCACTCCACTGAGCCACACCAGCCAGGGGTGTAGGCACATAGTTTTAGCTGGGAAAGAAGAAAAAGTTACGTGGATGGATGGGGGGTGATAGTCACACAATAACGTGAATGTGTGTAGTGCTACCAAATGTTACGCTGAAATGTGATTCAAGTGGACAGTCCGCTGAGGCTGGCTGTGACGTATTTATATCAAGAAGCAAACTCTCCCAGCTGAGCATCTGTCCCCTCCTGTGTGGCCCAGCTCACAGATCTATCCAAGCATCAGGTTTCGGGGACCCATGTAAAGAGGGGCCCAGCAAGTGTGGTTGTAAGTGCAGGACCTGAGAGGAGGTGAGCGGTGGGTTCGAGAACACGGCTCAGTAGACTTGAAGTCTTGATGTGGGGAGAGAGAGAGAGAGAGAAACTCACAGTGAGCACTGGTTGCAAGAGAGTCTGTATCAGGATAGAGGAAGCAGCCCAGAGCCTTAGGCAAAATCAGCTCTTGACAAAGAGGCCCCACAGAGAAACAAGAGCCAGCCTTGGGGTTTCCTAATTGCAATTTGGGGAGCCTGTCCCCCCCCCCAGGTACCTATGTGATGACTTGTTTCCCTGTCCTCCTCTGGAATATAAGCTGTGTGTGTGAGGGTGGGGGGCGTCACCTTGTTCATCCCGGTAACAGGACCTGGCACAGAGCTGGTTCTTGGGACAGGCCGTGAATCGGTGACTACCTCAGACGTTTGCGGCCAGGGGCCGATTCCTGCAAAAGATGGGGGCTTGCTTTTATTCTCTGGGGAACATACCGATGTCCTCAACAGACAAGAAGAGGGGCTCAGGTCCTTGATGGGAGGTTCCTGGGAATTTGGAGGGAGGGAGAAGATTAAGAAGCAAATTCCTCCAGTCATGAGCCCCGTTTGTGCGCCCCCCTCCCCGGCACCTCTCCCTGCCAGGCTGTGGAAGTGGCAATATCCTGGTCCAACAAGAAAACTGCTGGAGAAGGTCCAGGCACTGAAGCCGCACATGGTGATTGGCGACGGCTGGTATTCCTTCGACGAAGATGACCGGTACTGGTGGAAAACTGAAAGCGAGAGGCCCCGCCCACCCACTTATGGCGGTGAAGAAACCACGTCGCTGTCTGTCCCCAGTGCACTGTGCCCCGAGGGGGGTGGCCCTCCTCGGAGGTAGGAACAGACGTCTGATTGTCACAAAGCCCCCACTGGAGGTGACCCTGTGTGTCCTCTGTCCCTCGGTTAATACGGTGGCCTCATAGACTAGGCTTCCAGGCGCAGGACCTGAGTCGCTGCGGAATGTCTGTCCTGCCTCTCACGAGCACCCAGAGGGGGTCCAATAAACACTGAGCATTTGGCAAAAAGGTGTCAAGGGTCCTTCTTGCTCAAGAGCAGAGGTGGCAGGACGTAGGAACTTGGATAACAGGACTCTGGTGGTGTTAAAAATAAACTTTTTGAAAAGCACCCTTCTGAATGTCTAAGAAGGATGTGCCAAGTCCTGGCCGCCAGGTAGCTCCGCTGATTAAAGTGTTGGCCTGGTCACTGAAAGGTTGCAGGTTTGATCCCTGGTCAGGGCACACACCTAGGTGGCAGGTTCAATCCCCAGTCCGGGTGTGTGCAGGAAGCAACAGATTTCCCTCCCTCTCCCCTCCCCCACCTCTTCTCTCCTTCTCCTTCTCTTCCGCCCTTTCTCTCTCCCTCAACCCTCCCTTCCTCTCTAAAATCAGTCCTAAAAATCCTCATGTGAGGATTGTAAAAGAGAGAAAGAAGTGAGCTAGGAAACCATGAAAAGGCCTGCAAGAGAAAAGCCCCCCACACACCCCATGATTCCAAACTCCGAAGTTCCAGAGGAGGCAAACCCATGGGTACAGCAAATCCTGTTGCCTTACAATAAACGTGTTCCGAGTTCACAGATGCTGGGCTGTTCTCGAGAATTCGGACGGTGGCAGGAGACACCAGCCTTTTTCTAGAGACCTCCCTAAGCTTCCCCCCGCCCCGCCCCACCCCACCCCCAGGAAGCTCCAGAATAAGAATCCTCAGCAAAGTCAACACGTAGAGGCTGTGGGGAAATGGCTCGGGATGCGTCCACAGCAGCGCAAGGGGCTGAGGAAAGGGAGGGGCCGCTGAGCTAGACAGGGTTCTGAGCGGCACTGTCACCCCACGGTGATGGCCATCCCTCCAGGATCTTGGGCAAGTGGCTTTACCAAAACGAAATCCAGCTGCGTCCAAGGCGTGGACGAACCCCGGGGACTGGCCCCAGTGTCTGTGTGTCTCTAAGGCAGCTTCTCCTCTGTCCAGTGTTAGCGTGAAGTCCGGGCAAGATGTCCATGAAGGGTCAGGCATGCTCTAGGTGCACATTCAATTGTGTGTCTCCCCCTCCACAAAAAAAAGCAGTCCTGGATGGTGTAGCTCAGTGGATTGAGCGCAGACTGCAAACCAAAGGGTTGCTGGTTCAATTCCCAGGCAGGGCACATGCCTGGGTTGCAGGCCAGGTCCCCAGTGGGGGGGCCACATGAGAGGCAACCACACAATGATGTTTCTCTTTCTCCCTCCCCACCCCTCTCTCTAAAAATCAATACATAAAATCCTTTAAAAAATAAATTGTATCTCCCTTCGCTGAGTCAGGTAGCAGCGTGGGGAACCCTCACCAGCGTGTCCCTTCCCTAGGGTGGGGCAGGGGTGGGGACTGCCGGCAGGGACAGTCACTTCCTGCAGTGCTGGCCACACACTGAGTGGGGCATTGCCCTCCAGGGAGAGGCCTTATCTGTCAGAATGTGAAGCACCCCACCCCACCCCACCCCACCCCTTCGTGCAGCCGCTGGTGGCAGGACAGGAACAGAGATTCCTGTAGGCTCGTGAGAGCAGCAAAACCGCTCCGTCCAACTCTTTCAGCCCTGGGTGGTGTGGCCCAGTGGATTGAGCACTCACCTATGGACTGAAAGGGCACCGGTTCGATTCCCAGTCAGGACACACGGCCAGTTGGGGGCATGTGAGAGGCAACCGATTAATGCTTCTCTTGCACATCGTGGTTTGTTCCGTGAAAACAGAATTTTAAAAAATGTTTTACCTCAAGCCCTGGCTGGCGTAGCTCAGTGGATCGAGCACGGGCCTGCGAACCAGAGTATTGCAGTTCGATTCCCAGTCAGGGCACATGCCTGGGTTGCAGGTCAGGTCCCAGCAGGGGGCGCACCAGAGGCAACCACACATTGATATTTCTCTCCCTCTCCCCTTCCCTTCCCCCTCTACAGATAAATAAATAAAAATCTTTAAAAAAATGTTTTATCTCGAAAAATAACTAAAAAAAATTTTAAATGCTTTATCTCTTTGGGAGGTAAGTAGAAGGGAAAAGATGAGTGGATTATAACAGAGACACACACCTACACACACACACACTCAAAGATGCATGCAGCTGATCCTCAGTCTCTGTGGGGGGTTGGTTGTAGGACCCCCCCACCCCCTCAGATACCGAAATCCGTGGATGCTCCAGTCCCTTCTGTAAAATGACGTATTTGCGTATAGGTTCTATCTGCCTTCCCTGGTTGCAATGTCGAGTGTTTATCCCAGACTCCAAACACTTGGTCTCCAGAACCAACTCCACCTGCTGGGAGAGAACCCCCAAGTGGGTTGGGTCTGCGGGTCGTACAGACCCCTGTGTCGGGGTCCCTGTGACCAGAACAACAAGCAGCCCTGCCTCTGGGCTTGGGGGGGGGGGTGTCTGACTCTGAAGGACAGACACACACGCACCTCCAGCCAGCCAGTTGTCTCCGTTCAATACGAAGCCCCGGGGGACAGAGCCCCAGCTGGCAGGTTTGGGGCTCAAACCGGAAACCTTGCTTCCTCCTACAGCCCCTCCCCGGCCGGCGACCTGTCTCCTTGTCTGCAGAGGTTACAGGAACACAGAGCTTTCTCTGGCCTCATCTGCACAACTATAGCAGTCCAGACCTGAGTTTTTCCGAGAGAAATCAGGAATCTGGGTTTTTTAAGTAACATCCGATTTTTTAAATTCCAGCTCAAGACCCTGAAAAGGAGGCTGAGGTTTTGGATGCAGGCTTCCAAAACCCCGACTCTCTGTGTGTTTTCAGCTCTACTGAGGAGTTAAGGACAGAGAAGGCGGTGAGATGTTTAGGGTGTGCTCTGCGTGGATCTGACGCGGGCACACGTGGGGCATGGTTCTCGACACCTCGTCAGCCCCACGTCCATCTCTGCACATCAGTCCTCTGCTTGCTTGTTTGTTTGTGCTGAACACGGGGGCCCCCTCACATTCACGCTGCAGCACTAAAAACTGGAGGATCTCACCCCAAAATGGGCCACCAGTGTGCTCAGGTCGGCTCACTCCAGGCTTTAAAACTCCACCGTCGGGGACTGAGCGACAGGCCCTGACAGAGGCCCCCAGGGGAGCCCTTGAAACAGTCACCGGGGACAGGCAAGCTCTTTGCGAAGAGGAGGGCCCGAGGGCCAGAGAGGCGGTTACTTCACTTGCCTGGGACTGTGGAAATCGGCCCTGGACCTTTCTCGCCACCGCCTGCTGGGTAGGAAGCAGAGGATGAGGCAGCCCGAGCGCGGACTCTCCCCACGCCTGCCTCCCGGTCCGCCCCACTGCCGGCTTGCACAGGAGTCGCACAGCACCGCTGGCCACCCGGGTGCCCACCACTCTGCCCCTCCCTCCTGCCTCCAGAAGCACCCAAGGCCCACAGGCCACCGACAGGCCCTGGGGACGCTGGGCAACGCCGTCTCAGTCCTCGAGTCCCTGTGTCCTCTTTGGACCGAGTTCCAGCCCTTCCCTTCTTTACAGTGAACTGAGAGGTCAAAATCGCGCCCAACTGAGATTGCCAACCCAAGCAAGGTGATGAGATTAAAAACATGCCTTTCTTTTCTTTTTAAGATTTTATCCATTTATTTTTAGAGAGAGAGAGAGAAAAACATCAATGTATGGTTGCCTCTCACATGGCCCCCACTGGGGACCTGGCCTGCAACCCGGGCATGTGCCCTGACTGGGAATCGAACCTGCGACCCTTTGGTTCACAGCCCGTGCTGAATCCACTGAGCCACACCAGCCAGGGCAAAACACGCCTTTCTGACCTAAAAATCCTGCCAGTGGCCTAATACAGCCTCTGAGAAGCCCCACCCTGCCCATCGGGGGGTCATCCCCGACCTCTGCATACCTGAGGTCCCCTTGTGGGGGTGGGGAGGGAGGAAGTCATGGTTTGCACAAGAGTGACAGAGCCCCAGCTGGCAGGTTTGGGGCTCAAACCAGAAATGTCACTTCCTCCTACAGCCCCTTCCCGGCCGGGCTCCTTGTCTGCAGAGGTTACAGGAGCGGGGAGTCCTCTCCGGCCTCCGTGACACGACCCGGGCTGACCATCCAACCCGGCTGAGCACAGCCCCTGGCAGGGCTCTCTCCTCAACAGGGCAGCCCTCACGGTCTCCCAAGGTCCCAGAGACACGGGTCCCCCAGGACCTGGGGTCCAGGACACTGGAACTGACATCAGGGCCCCCCGCCCCGGGGCTGGCTCCTGCAGCTGGACTCAGGCAGACAGACGGGTGACTGTCCACCAGTCCCGCTTCCTCGGCCCACAGTGTAGCTTCGTCCAAGGGCAGTAGCCCAGCCAGGGACGCTTCCAGCCTCCTCTGCGGAGACGGGACCCAGTCTCACCAGGAACCCCCCACTTTGTGACTGCCCCGCCCCCCGAGTTCGATGAGAGGGTGCACTGCCAGGGGCATCGCCAAGTCCTCCCAGCTGGGGATGGAGGGCGGGACTCAGGCTGGCAGAGGAAGCCGCTCTGTCCCCGGAGTGAACAGGACTTAGTTAACTGAGCCTGTGGGGTTCCTTTGAAACGCAGCCGCCTGCGGCTCCTCACAAGCCTGGACACGTGGTGGCCATCCCTCTGTGGCCACAGCGGGGACCCAGGTCGGGTCACCTTCGGGGACAGCAGCCCAGGCCGCACCCCAGTGGGCACGGACCCACTGGGCAGCTGCCCAGCCGCTGCTGCTCTCCGTGGTCCTGGCCCCTGGGCAGTGTCCCCCCACAGCCACTGCCGGGCAGGGGCCCGTCTCCCTGCCCAACTCAAGAAGCAGGCGCGGCAAAGACAATCAGATAGTGCCCTTTATTGGCCCCCGCACCCCTCCTCCTCTGCCGGGGCCTGGGAACAGGGACCCCGGCTCTGTGAGGGCACCTTGGGACGGGCTGGCTCTGCTCCCGCACTCCTGTGCCCCAGGCCCGGCTCGGGGAGAGGGGGCTTAGGCAAGAGAAAGACGAACGCATGGGAGAGAAGAAAAACAATAGTGGGTAGGGGTCGGGTGGGTACAATTAAAAGAAAATTCTAAAAGGGAAAAGGACCCCTCTTTCCCTTCCCTCTCCGGGCCCCCCTCTAAACAGAAGGGCCCGGTTGCTCTCCATTCCTTGCCGCGCCCCCGACGGTGGGGGAAGAGAAAGTGAGGAAATGGTCTTTCTCGCGTGGGTTTTGTCGTGTCTCTTGGTCTCTAGTTCACATCCTCTACCTCGGGCCCTGCCCAGAACCTACAAGGGGCAGGCCAGGTCCAGCGCCAGAGCTCGGAAAGGGCGCGGCGGCCAGGCGAGCACCCCCGGCGCCCGTCCCCGAGGCCACTGCGGGTAGGGGCGCCCTCGGTCCATCTCTCCCTGGGTGTCCGGGTCCTGCGCCATCGCTCCCGCCGAGCCCGAGGGGCCCTGCCCCCCCTCGGGCCCGCCACCCCTACCGAGCCTCCACGCCGCGGCACTCGCTGCACTGGCCGCCGGCCGCCTCGTCCTCGTCCGCGTCGTCCCCGCCAGCCCGGTAGTAGCTCTGTCCGCAGCGGCTGCAGACGGAGGGCGCGCCCACCGCGTGGACCTTCTTGTGTCTGCGCAGCGCCGCGCCCTGCACGAAGCCCTCGCCGCACTCCACGCAGATGTGCGCAGGCTCCTCGCCCCCCGCCGCCCCGAGCCCGTCGCCGTGCTGGGCGCGCTGGTGCGCCAGGAGCCCCGCCGCCTGCCCGAAGCCCTGCCCGCACTCCACGCACACGTACGGCTTGGGGGCCGGCGCGCGCCGCGAGCGGGGCCCTGGCGCCTTGGCCCCCGCCCCCGCCACGGCTGCAGCGGCCGCGGCCCCCTCCCCCGGTGCGCCCACCACGATGATCCCGTCCCCGTCGCCCACAGGGATGGCGATCTCGCCGTCCGCCGCCGCCGCCTCCTCAGGCGCCTTGGCCCGGCGCACACTGGCCGCCAGCACCTTGGCCGCCACGCCGGGCCCCGACAGCTCCGGGTGCAGGCGCAGGTGGCGCGCCAGGCTCTTGGGCTGGCTGAAGCCGCGGCCGCAGCGCGGGCACACGAAGGGCTTCAGGCCGCTGTGCGAGCGCCGGTGCTTGGCCAGGCTCTTGCTCTGCGTGAAGCTGCGGCCGCACTCGGGGCAGGCGTAGGGCTTCTCGCCCGTGTGGATGCGCTGGTGCTGCATGAGGTTGGAGCTCCAGCTGAAGCGCTTGCCGCACTCGGAGCAGGCGTAGGGCTTCTCCCCGGTGTGGATGCGCCGGTGCTGCACCAGGTGCGAGCTCTGCGAGAAGGTCTTGCCGCAGTCGGTGCAGGCGTTGGGCCGCTCGCCCGTGTGCGTGCGCTGGTGCCGCGTCAGCTTGGACCAGTGGCTGAAGCTCTTGCCGCACTCGTTGCAGATGTACGGAGCCGGCGGCCGAGGCCGGGGCGGGGGGCCGGCGGGGGGCGCCGACTGGGGCGGGGACAGCTTGGTCGGGGGCCAGGTGGGGACGTCGTCGTCATCCATGATGAGGATGTCCACTAGGAGGCAAGAGGGCGGGAGGGGACAGGAGTCAGAGAGAAGCTCCTACAGGACCCACGCGGGTGTGAGCGCCTCGGGGCAGGGGGCTTCACCCCAGCTGTCCCACCCCCCTCCCAGGCTCCCCGGACGCACCCGTAGGGCGCGCCTGTCTGCACAGCCCTGGCCCTCGGAGGTGCCCCTCCGTCTCCACCCCTAACCGCCCTCCTTCCCTCGGGGCTTCACTAGTCCTGCCTCTTCACTGAACAGTCACCTGTCCGCCCCCAGTCCCTCAGACCTTCTTCACAGCCGTTACCCCACACGTGGAACGGGGCCTGGGGCGGGGCAGGGACACCAGGCTGGGGGCAGGAGGCTCTGGGGAGAGGGGGAGGGGGAGGGCGGCAGGGCCAGCCCGGAACACAGCCCAGGGCCCCTGACGGCGCACAAGCTGGGGAGCCGCGGTGCCCCTGTGGGCTCCAGGACACCACCCTGGCCGCGGAGTGAAGGAGAGAGAGGGGAGGGGAGGGGACCCGGCCTGGTGACCCTGGACGGGGCCCCGGGGAGCCCCGACCCCCATCAGCCCTCACACAACGCAGCCACTGTTACAGGCATCCTCACAGGGGTCCCTGGTTCCTCGAGTCCCGGCTACCCAGCGGGGCCTTGGCCTTGCCATCTGCAAACTGAGGGCACCCCCCACAGCCAGGCTGCTCGACGGAGCCACCCGTGCATACACACCAACCCTGGCCCCTCCGGGGGTGAACGAGCAAGCCCGCCTCCTCCGCATCCACCTGGAGACAGGTCTGTGTGCAGCGGCCGCAGCTCTGGCTCCCCCCCACCGCCCCGCCGCTGGGCCTGTACCAGCCAGAGGGCGAAGACGGGCACCTGGGCCCAGGGCTCCGGCGGGCTGACCACCCCAGTGCAGCACAGCTGTGCCCCAAGCACCACGCACAGTGAGGCACGCAGCGCCACAACACTGTCCCCGCAACCGGTGAGGTACCAAGGACGGTCGCACCAGACAGGCACGTGGCTGCTGGTCTGCCCCCGGCCGACTGTTCCGGGGCTCACAGAGACACCTTCACATCTCAGGCCGTCAGCACGGCTCTCCAAGGGAAGGCGGGTTGGCCGTGCGCTGCTGCGTTTTATGTGGGGCTTTCGGACCCGGGGCTTGATGCGGCATCCGAGGCGACCTCTCAGGGACGTCTAAAGCACACTGACCGTGACCTTGAGCAGACTCCGGGCCTTGCAGGCGGTTCCCAGGACACCGGCTGCCATCCTTCCGGTTGCTGTCTCCTCAGCTTCAGGGTCTTTTCGTATTTCTGTTCATTTTCTGGGTTGCTTCTCTTTCTGAATACCTGTAGCTAAGGACCCAAGATGGGCCTGGAAGGCTCTGCTACACCCCCACTGCCTGACCCCACACCCCTCGCATCCCACCCCGGGAACTCCTTGTCCTGGGGCCACCAGGACAAGAGGCCTGAGGCAGTGCAGGCGGGAAGCCTACTGGGCTCCGGGCGGCGGATCCGCCAGCAGACGGCTGATCCCACTCCCAGCTCCTCCCATCAGCATCCCGACCAGGCAGGGTGAGAGAATTCCGTGAGATGACCCACCAGCCCAGGGCATCCGGCGCAGGGCGTGGGGCGCAGCAGCCACTACCAACAGCGTTGGGAATCTGGACATGCTCCCCAACAAGGGAAAAGGATGACATTTCTGAGGCTCCCAAATGCCCTGGGTAAATCGATCTCATCTGAACGCAAAATCAGCTCCTTGGTTCTCTCCCATCTCAGTCACTGACGAAAAGCGCTGTGCCAGCCCGAGCAGTGTGGTCACCATGGGCGACAGCCCGGCAGCGGCAGGGCCAACTTGACTGGCAGGTGAAGGACGAGGGCGGGAAGAGACACTTCCTGTGCTGTCGGGAGGGAGAGGGCCGTCCTGGGGAACTTTATTTCGGTCCCATGTAAACAAATGCACACGCCTGGGGCGCGCGCAGACCCAAGAAGCAATCCCGTAAATGACTCCAGGCCTTGACCACACGAACACGCCGTGGGAGGGGGGGCCGCCGCACCAGGATGAAGGCAGCTGGGGCCTGGCCTGCGTGACAGTCTCCTCTGCCATGTCTCTCGAGGTGCCTTCTTGTCACCAGAGCGGGGACATTCAAACTTCTGAGGACAGAGGGCCGGAATCTTTTCCTGACGTCCCATCCTGAGGCCCTACCACCCAGCGCACTGGCCGTGGGGAAGGCGTCTCTGGCCCACGACAGCCAGGGGAAGGGCTGCTCACGGCTCTGGAGCAGCGGGCCACCCCCACAGGACAACACCCCCCCAGGCTCAGCGTCCTTCCCGATGGCTACAGACAACTCCCTGAGCCCTCGTGAGACCACACGATGCTCTTCTCCACGCAGGACGATGCTGGGCCAGTCCCCTCTTCCTTGCCAGAAAGTCCCAAGCATGGTGCGGAGCCGGAATAAACCAGTCGGGGTGACTCCAAGGCCACCTCCCTATGTCACGCGTCCCAATCTAGCCAGTGAGACCTGAGCTGGGGGCTAAAAGAGGGCCCAGGAAGCAGGCCCTGCCTCCTTCACCCCACCCTTCCTTTCCTTCCTGTCTTTCTGTCCTTGGTGGTTTCCTGGGAGGGAGTGACGGCTGGAGCTGAGGCTCCATTTCTGGACAACACAGAAGAGGCCACCAAGACCTGGACATCAGTGGCTCCCAAAGGAATGGCTGAATAAACGACTCCTGGAACCACTCACCTCCAGTGAGATGCCAAGGACCACTCAACATCCTTTTGGTTGAAGCCACAGTTGGTGGGTTCCCTGGGGCAGCCAAGAGGGTCCCCACAGGTCCTGCCACGCTGCCTCATGTCCTTCCTCAAGCTGTCCATCAGCCACCACATCTCCTTCAGCAGGCAGCCCCTTCCTCAGCAAGGCCTGTGCTGACATGGCCTTCTCCAGACGGGTGGTCCTTGCTGGAATCTCACTGGTGACACCACACAAATTAGGGCTCCCCTCAACTGCGCTGGGATGCACCTGCGCTGGGGACGATGTACCAGGCAGCCGCAGACTAGGTGAGCGCAGGGCATGGGCACCACTCCAGATGAGCCAGGACCTGGCCTCCATTTCAAGAGGTTCATGCTGACAGCTGTGGACAAGGGTGGACGCCAATGGTGGATGCAGGGATGGTGGGGAAGTCAGTGCAGCTGGCGATCTGGCAATCCGGCAGCTGAGGTCTGGCAGAGCCGACTGGCTTCCTTCAGGACGTATCTGAGTGTAGGTGCACGTGCACAGAAGTCCAGTGTTTGCGGGGTCAGGCCGAAGGGAGACCCCAGGGCCATCCTGCTGGATGGTTCTGAGTCTGGGCTCACACCACCCACTTTCTCCTCGGAGTGAAGCTGCACCTGCTCCGTGACTGACACGAGGACTCCAGGGGCCCTCAGCACCCTGCCCGCCATCACCCAGAGCCTTTCCGCCCATTGGGGCTCAGCATGCACTCGCTGCCTCCCCTTCTCCACAGGCTGCCCTTCTCTCCTCCCCCTCAGTGACTCTGCTGGGGCCCCCAGGGCCCCGAAGTCAGTGGAGGACCTGACTTTACTTAGCCAGGGGCACCAGGGCCTCTCAGAACCAGGCTGTTCCTTGTGCTGGGATGGGAGTCTGCTAGGTTGAATTGCATTGGGAGATAGCCACTCACCTCTCCATGGAGGCCCCCCCACACCTCCACCCATGTGCCTGCCCCAGGCCCCAGACCCCAGACCCCAGGTTCCTCACAGGCCAGAAAGAAACGGACCAGGGAGCTACTCCAGGCTCCCCAGGGGGCATCAGCCCAGCACTGTCACATCAGAGGCAGGACTGAGGTCAGCAGAGCTAAGGGGACGTTACAAGGTGGTGGCACCCCAGCAGAGATTTCCAACAGACTCCTGAGAGGTTACACAGGTTGGGGACAGCAAACTAGACAAGGAGGACGTGAGGACCCACCTGTACTCCTTGTAAGTTATATGCAAAGAACTATACAACGGGTGACTTATCAAATTAAAACTTAGCTTACTCCAAGGGAAACGTACATTTTGGGGACAACGCTGAATATTGTAACATGGACTGGATGTTAGATCATATGAAGGAATAACTTTATTATGTGAGAGAAACATTTTGTGGTTAATTTTCTCGTTTGGTTGGGATTTTTTGTTTGTTCGTTTGTTTGGAGTCCTTATCTCTGTTGGAGAATTTATAGGTGAAATGACATGCCTGGGACTCTCAGAAAAACAAACCCACAGAACTGGGGGAACGGGTGAAAAGAGACTGGCCAAGGGCTGCTAACCACAGAGGCCGGTGGGGCAAAGTGGACGGTCATTACACTGCTTATTTGATTGAAATTTCCAGTGAACCAGATTTTCAAGTTGATTTTTAAAAGGCAAAACGACCAAGGACGTAGGCCAGAGAAGAGGAGGGAGCAGGCCCTGGATGAAAAAGGGAAGACGGGGCAGGCCCCATGGCCCCTGGGGCTCACCCCCAACAAAGGGGGCAGGGCCTGCCCAGGGGCCCCTCCCTGTCCTCGGCAGATCTCAGATGTATAAGCAGAAGGCGCCGGGGAGTTCCATCCCAACCCCCTCCCATCCCCAGGGCCCCGCAACCTGTCCCCATGGACACCCAGGCAATGCGGGACCAGAGGCTGTACATTTTGGCGCCCGCACTGTGTATTGTTTTATTGATGTGCAGTCACACCCACTCACTTCCGCAGTCGGCCGCTGCTTCCGCTACCGGGGCGCGCCGGAAGTATTTCCGCAGCGGCCTTCCCAGGAACAGCACGGAAATGCACAGGTAGCAGCGTGAAAGATGTCACACTCTTATTTCCCGAGTACCTCACGTGAAACCCCTGGACAGGGAATATGGCTTCCACTGAAGGATGTTTTATTCAACCCAAACACTTTATTAAGTAAACCCGCTGCCGAATTTAAAGTGAAAGATTTCACATAACAACCCAGATGCCCAGCTTTCCCTGCAGTCCGATCCTTCTCTACCCGTGATGTCCCGGCCGCCAGCAGCAACGGCCCCCCCTCCAAGTTTGCAGCCAGCAGAATGGGGGCAGCAGGAGCGACACCTAACAAGGGCTGGTGAAAAGTCGCCCCCAAGCTGGCAACTGGAAGGGAACTTGCAGATTCTCCCCAGCCCAGGAGGGGCCTCTGCAGGAAAAATGGGTGCTCCCAGAGACACGGGTCTGGGGGGCGGGCACGGCCCACTGACACCTGCGGAGGCCACCTCACCTGGGTTCTCGTGACTAGCCATCTGCTGGTCCTCGGAATCCAGCGGCCCCGGAGACCAGGCCTCTTCCCGCAGCTCCATGTGTGGATTCCTGTTAGAAGAGGATGAGAGAGAACAGAGTTTATGGGATGCCGGACAGGCCAGGGGGTGCACATTTCAACTCACGCACTGCTCGCAGCAGAGTCCCTGGCAGCTCGGTTCTGCAGATAGCAAGGATGGTGGAGAAATGGCCTAGCCTTCTTGTCTCCACCAGACAGGGGACCAGCCCAAGGCCACACAGTCTGGGGGACGGGAGGTGCAGCAAGCAGGCTGCATCCACCGAGAACCAGCAGCGCACCCCAGGGACAGCCCCCTTTCCAACCCGTGCAGAGACCTGTGAACACAGCCTCCCTCAGCCCTTCCCCACATTCTCATGTAGGAGTCCCGCAGGACCAGGATGGGGGCCATAACTGGCAGGAGGAAGGTCAGGCACAGAAGCGCGGCCTGAAGAAGTATGCGAGGAGGGACAGGGACAGGGACAGTGCACGCAAAGACCTGGGCAGACCCAGGCCGGCTGGACCGGGCGCAGATTCTCCCACCAGGCCTCACAGGCCGGGTCAGGCCTGGTGAATCACTGGAAATGCAGGTCCCTTTGAGGTGGGCACCATCACACTTGTTTTAAAGAGGCACAAACAAGGTTGGAGGCTCAAGGACAAACACCTGGACAGCAGGCAGCCATGGCAGGGCAGCAAGATCACTCAGGGCCTGCAGGGCTCTGGGGACAACTCCCAGGACACATACGAGGTCAGGACAGGAGGGAGATGCATTGACCTGCAGCCACCTTCCTCCAGAACTGTGGGGCTTCACCCCCTTAAAGCAGCCCCCACTCCCCACCACCTCCTCCCTGCAATGCTGAGAATGCTGAGCGCCCAGCACCTGCAACACAGGGAGCCAGGGGTGGGTGAAACCTGCACAGTCCAGGCAAGGCAGCCCCTGACTGGTGACCCCGCTCCTCCACCTCTTGAGGGGAAACCCAGACCTCAGAAAATGCTTCCTGCAGACACATTTTAAAAGTCCATCACAGCAAGATTCAGAGCAGGGGAAAACTGGAAAGAACCCGTGGGCACACCAGGTGGACAAGGCCCATGGGCGTCACGGCCTCTGAAACAGCAGTCACTGACTGTCCCCGTTGAGAACCGAAGTACAACTGTAACTGTTCTACAATAAGGGATAATGCTTCTGTGGTAAGGGAAGGAGACTGTAAGTTGTTTTTTGTTTTTGATGGCCGAGACGACTGCATCCCACGGGGACAGTCGAGCAGTGTTGGGGGGTAAAGCAGGATGGAGGCCCACACAGCACTCAGGTTACACCCAGTAAACACGGGCACTGCATGGGGCCCTTGTGCATGGCTCTGGGGCCTGACAGCTGCTGTGGAAAACCGTCTGGCAGGTCCTCAGAGGGGAAGCAGTTACCAGGTGACCCTGCAACTCCACTCCAGGTGTGCCTGAGAAATACAGCAGGTGCCCACACAGACCTGAGTGTGAGTGTTCGCACAGGGCTGTTCCTAACAGCAGCAGGCAGTTACAGACGACCCAAAGGCTGGGTGAAAGGAGCAGCCACAAAGGGCCACACAGGAGTGTCCAGGATGAGATACACAGTGAGCTGGGCTGGGAACGCAGGGTGTTTCTGGAGTGATGGAGCACCTGGGACAAAACAGCAGTGACGGCTACCCACTGTGTGAATAGGTGAGCAACAGTGAACTGCACACGCTCATAAAGGGGTGAATCTTACAGCGTGTTGAGTTACGGCTCAGCTAAAAAGTGAACCAACTTTAGGCCTGGGCTTGGTGGCTCAGTTAATCAAAGCATCGTCCCATACACTAAAAGGTCATGGGTTCGATTCCCAGTCAGGGTGCACACCTGGTTCATGCATTCGATCCCCGGTCTGGGCATCTATGGGAAGCAACCAATGGATGTTTCTCCCATCGATGGTTTTCTCTCTCCCCCCTTCCTCTCTGTAAAATCAATAAAAACACATCCTCCCCCTGGCTTGTGGGGCTCAGTGGATTGAGTGCCAGCCTGTGAACTGACAGGTCATCAGTTCTATTCCCAGTCGGGGCACATGCCTGGGTTGTGGGCCAGGTCCCGGGATGGGGATGTGTGAGAGGCAACCAACTGACATTTCTCTCCCTCCCTTCCCCTCTCTCTGAAAATAAATAAAATCTTTTAAAAACATATATATATATCCTCTGGTAAGGATTTACAAAAAGAAGACTGGGCCCTTTATTTACACTGTAAACAAAGATGCTGTACAGATGCCAACACTGTGGGGGAGGCGGTGGAACAGGACAGGCTGCTCCTCTGCCTTTCTGTCCAGACTTGCTTGCTAAGGGGCTCGCTCCCTGCGCTCCCCTGGAATGGCTGGGTGTGCAGCACTTTAGAAGGGCCCGGCTTCCTGCAGGGAGGGCATCCTCGTCTGTCCCAGGGGACCCGCGGGCTTGGGGCAGTCTTGGGCTGGGCGGCTGGGGACCCCGCCCCTTCTGCCTCTAGACTGCAAACAGCACAGCCACCTCTCGGCTGGTGCTTACTGACAGCGCAGAGCCCGCTGTCAAGGCCTGGCAGACAGGAGACGTGCGCACACACACACACACACACACACATGCAGTTTCTGTGCGGGGAGAGCAGGGAAGGCGGAGAAGGAGAAGAACAACGAAGCGAGGGGGGGGGGGAAGACTTGAGAAAAAGTACCCGAAACAGTCCACTTTGCCAGTTTATCTTGACTTCAAGACAACAGCAGATACAAGAAGGGTGCTCAGCCCCCCTTCTTCCCGCAGCAAGAGACCAAGCCCCACCTCCACCCTGAGGTGCCCCGTCTGCACAGGAGGAAGACAGTCTTATCTCCAGCCCTGGGGAGTCGAGGCTGAGGCAGCCATCTATGCAAACAGGCCGTCCAAGGATCTCCCCAGCGGTACAACGTGCCGGCCTGGGCACCCTGCGGGTCTTCCTGCCACGGAAACACAATTCTTAGGCTTCTCTTATCTGAGTCTGCCCCGGCTGGAAACCCTAAGTGCCTAAGAGGGCAGAGGAGAAGCCTGCCTCTCCTCCAGACAGAGGTAACGTGGAGGCTGAGATGGGGGGTGGCACAAAGGCCCACCTGACCCTGCCCTCCAGCGTTCTACCTGCACATTCCAGGTACCAGTGACCCTGCACACCTGCTGGGCCGCTCCAGGCCTCAGCACCCGGGAACGGCAAGCACCGCACAGCTGGCGAGGACCAGCTGGGTACGCACTGTCCTTGGGAACGCCAAGAGGGGTGCTCACCACGGTGACCCAGCTCTTTCTTGTTCACTCGCTCACTCCGTTATTGATCCAGACCCACTCACCCAGCTGATGAGGCCTCTGGTCCTGCCCCCGAGAACTCCCCCGAGTTGGGGGACTGCCCCTTCCCATGGCGGGTGACTACAGAGAAGCACCAGGGCCGTGGCCTGGACAGCCCCACCCGGCTGGCGGGGCCCACAGCTCCCTGGACAAGGCCCTGGCAATTCCAGAGTAGGCTTTGACCATGGAAGTGGACACCTTCTGAGGCTGAGAAGGGGCTCCCACCCTGCCTCAACCCCTCTACCCAGCACCCCCAGTTCTCAGCAGGTGGCTCAAAGACACGCCCCCCCACTCCCTGCACACCCCGGCCAGGCCCTTGAGCAATCCAATTAGCACACAGAGTTGTCGGTGCCTAGCGGCTACGAAGCTGTAGACAAATTATTGTTATTGTTGTTATTAGACCCAACCCACCTCCTCTGGAGGCCTGCCCACCAATTACCTGGCGCTTTCTTCTCCTGCCAGCCTGCCGCCGCCTCCCCTCCCCCTCCCCCGCTGCTTTCTCCCCTGGCAGGAGGCACTGTCTGCCCCCCGCCCCTCCTCTCCCTGCTCCTCCTGCCCCTTCTCGCACCAGCTGACGCCCACTCCCTGCTTCCCCTCCTCCCCTGACCCCCCGGGCACCCCAACCACTGTCCCGCTAGCCCTCAGCTACCAAATCCAGCAGCCACTTCACGGCCGTGACTCCCCACCCCATAAAGTCACGTGACGGGCACTCCCCTGCTCGTGCCCCCCATCAGAGACTAACTCATCTTTGTAAGTCGTGTAGGTCAAATAACCCATTAAAATAGAGCAAAGGACCACAAGAGCCATGTCTCCAAAGAAAACATGCAAGGGGGCTGACAGGCACATGACAAGATGCTCAAAGTCACTGTCACTGACCGACCACACACACCACGGGGAGGGACACGGAACGAGCAGTGGGCAGCAGGTGTGGGCAAGGACGTGGAGGCCCTGGACCCGCAGGACCCTGCCACCCGCTTCTGGCCACGCACCCCAGAAGAAGGACAACGGATCCTCAGAGCCCGGCACACTGTCGCTCGCTGAGGCCCCGAGTCACAGGGGAGCCCAAGGCAGAGCTGTGACACCAGGCGCGATACACGTCTCCTCAGCGAGCAAGCGTGTCAACTGCACATGAGACGTCCACACAGGCAGATCCACCGCCAGACGACCGCTCAGAGGCTCCCAGGGCCAGGGTAGGGTCTCTTTCGGGGACCCCAGGAACATCCTAAAAGCAAGGTGCTGACAGCCTCGGCCCTGCAAACACATCAACCACCGCTGGGTATGGTATGGATGGGTGGTACAGTGTGGGAATCACACCTCAATGATGCAGTTTTCTTAAGGAAGCTCAGTTCACATCACCCCATCCCCCACCCGAGCCCACCAGCTCCAAAATCCAATTTCCCCCCAGGCACCCTGCAAAGGCGCAGCCCGCTTTAGGTCCCCCACGCCCAGCCCACCTCCTGTCTTTCTAGAAAGCCCGCCCAGTCCTCCACCTGCTGGGGCCGGCTCACCTTTCCAGGGTGAGCTCGAGTGTCCCCTCCCTGGGGGCCATGCCTGGCCCCTATCACATCACAGGGCCTCTCCTTCCAGCGTCCTCCATTGTCCACAAGAGTCTTCCTCACTTCCTCCTCAGGGCCTGCTCTGCCCACTACTCGGCTGCTGCTGACTCAGCAGGCCCGCCTCCAACCCTTACAGCCCCCTCTGCCCGCTGGCACCGCCCCTTGGGTGGCCCCCAGGGGTGGGAAGCCCCACAGCACCAATCTGTCCCACTTCCCTTTTCTGTGAGCAGCTTCAGCCCCCTCTCCAGGCCTGAAACCTGGCCTCCCAGCAGCCCTCACCTGCAGTCAGGATGCTGGGGACTGTCTCTACCCCCCACCCCCGTGGCTGGCCTGGGTGGACTTCCCACCCACTCCAGACTGAGCTGGGAGATTACACGGCCCCGGGACACTATCTGCACCTTCCTGGGGTTTCCCGTGTGGCTGACCGAGTGGCACCGCAGGCCTCGTTGCCTTCTCCTGCCATCTCTTCCTCACTCCCCTGACCAGGTGCCTCTCCAAGGCATTTCACTGCCTCCTTCCGCCCGCCCCTCGCACCTGGACCACCTGGCCTCGCAGGGCCCCTGGGACTCACACCCTCACTGCCAGCCACGCCCACCTGCAGCCTCCCCAGGGCCCAGGCCGGAACATGAGTGAGGTCAGGGGCCTGTGTGGCCCTCGTCACCACACCCCACTTTCCCCAGGAGACAGAGACTTTCTAGAACTCCTACAACCCTGAGCTACTACTGGTAGGGTGGCAGGCCCACCTGGGAGTGGGGAGGAGCAGAGCCCTGTCCACCTGCCGCCATCAGTGTTTCCAGACGCTTGAATGTTGGTGACTAACTGAAAACTGTTTAACAAACAAAAATACTCATCAGGTCAGAGAAAGTAGGGCACGCCCCTGCGGGCCATCTCAGGGCCGCGGCCCCGCCACGCCGGGCCTGCTCTGCCTCTGGACGGGCCCTCCCACCCGGGCCTTTCCGCAGGCACTTCCTCCCAGGTGCCGCCAGGGCCTGGCGGAAACAGGGCCTCCCCCAGGAAGCCTTCCCAGCCTCCTCACTTCCCTCCGCACAACTGTCCTCTCTTCGCAAACAGCAGACCCCAGGTGCCCGAGGCCGCAGGCGCAAAACCCCGACCCCATAACCACCAGGAGAGACAAGCTCTCGGGGCAGGCTGCCGAGTCAGACTCCAACCCCACCCTCCAGCCTGGCAAGTCACGGGAGGTGCCCACGGGGCCAGGTGCTCAGTGAAGGCCCGTAGCACTGGCGGGGCTGGTCAGAGCCCTACGCCAGGGCTCAGACAAGCTCAGCACCCTGTCACACAGCCAGGGTAGCAGGGCCGGGACTCACTGGTCAGCCAGACTCCAAGGCAGTTTCTCTGTCTCTCTTTAGGACACTGGCACTTGTTTGCTGTGCCTCCCATTATTACGGATGAGGCTGGCAACCCTGGGGAGGAGAAGCCCCCACCCCCACCCCGACTGCAAGCTCTGAGCTCTGCTCCCAGCAGGCAGGGGCCAGCTCCCGGCACACACCCTGCACAAGCAGCCCCAGGAACCCGTCCCTCTCTGCCCTGCCTGCACTTCAAGGCCGTGACCGCACCTGACGCCTCCCTGGGTCGTCCCCTGCATCGTCCACTACGAGGCCGCCCAGGACTCCCCATTCCCACCAGGAAGAAGCCAGCGTTCTGGTAGCACAAAGGCCAGGCACAGACAGAAGCAGGAAACCCACAGCTCTCCGGGCCCAACAACCGGGCTGACCCTGGCAGTGGGACAACTACCCAGCCTGCCCTTGGCCAGCCACCTGCGAAAGCCACACCTGAAGTGAGGGGCAGGCTCTTGGAGTCCCCTGAGCCAGCCAACAGCCCAACCCAGCTGACAACTGACACCTACGAGGCCTCCGAAGAGCAGCCTGTCTCCCCAGACCCCAGCCTCCACCAGAAGAAACAGGACAACACAGGCAGCGGCATCACGGTCAAGGGCAACGCCCCAGAACCACAGGCAGCCGGTGCTCCAACACTGCGTGAGGCCTGGGCTCTGTCCCAGGCGCCTAAAACCACCACCACCCAGGACCTCTGACGGCCTATGACAGTGAGCACCAGGCAGGCACCTGCCAAAGCGCTCAGCAAGCGAGCACCGTCACATCTGCAGTCGCCTCCAGCAGGAAACCCTGGGCAGTGCCCAGAAGGGACAAGCGAGGTTAGGGGGCTGTGTGACAACCAGACCTTCACCACTGCCCACCCACACAGCTCACCACTGTCCTCCTGGAGTCCAGGGTTTTCCTAGCCAATTCCTCGGTCGTTGGGGTCTCAGGACAACCCACTGCCCCCATACATCCTTCCCTGACCCTGACCTTGACCCTGACCCTGACCACAGTGAGGCAGGAGAGTACGAAGTTGGGAAAATTACGTGGCAAGTGGAACGGGGAAACTGAGACCGACAGCTGATTTGAAATGGCCTCACCCATCACCCTGACCCCTGCCCTCCTCCCTTGCAAGATCACTCCCTTCAGCGTTAAACCCTCAGGATAACAATGTTCTGGGCCACATCAAATAACCTTAGGAACCAGAGTTTTGGTCAAACCAGAGATAACGTGGAGGCCTCAGCTGTGTTTCAGCTCCGGGCCCAGAAAAGCAGCCGGCCCAGAGGAAGCGGTGCCACGGATGCACCAGGACCAGTACAATGACCAGGGACTGCTACCCTAGTGCCAGCCAGTCAGCGGAGCCCCCCGCCCTGCAGGACACACAACCCTGACATGGAAAGCTAACTTCTATTCGGATCCTCCTCCCCCGAGACCTCCCCCTTAAGTGCCTGCCTTCAGAAAACAGATAAAAACCACTATAGCAAAAGACCCCCTGCACCTGCACAGCTCCCACCCTAGCGCACACCCGTAACTTCAGCCCCTCTTCTTTCCTCAGGCGGGTACCTTTGCTTTCTTTCTCCAAGAACCCTCCTCCTGCCTCGGTAACTTGTGTCCCAAGTCTCCACTGCCCAACTGGCTCACTTCTTCCACCTCTTCCCCACGTTTCTGAAGGGCCAAGGCAGCTCCGCCGAGGCTCGCTCCTGTTGCTGCTTCTTCCTTAAGCTCTTTCTTCGTTCCGCTGTCCCCACCTTTAATAAAGGTACTCTCAAAATCACCTGCACTCGGGCTGTGAACGCTTCCCCGCGCCGAGAGCCCACATCGCCCCTAACATCAGTGCCCTGCCTCCCTTCCCCACTCGTACAGCTTCAGGGAGACTACTCTGCACAAGCCCCAACCCCTCTGCCTGGGGCTTCTGTGCTCACGTCTCTCCCACAGGTTCTGAGCTGCTCCAGAACCAACTGCCACCCAGCATCACCCAGCTCTGGGTCTGGCCCATGGGATCCTGGAGAAATAGGTGCCAACTAACCTCTTCTCCCACCCAGAGCAGGGGGCTCTGCCCATGTGCCCAGCACAGGGAAGAATGTGCAGCAGGCTGATAGACAAGAGTTATTCAGGGAAGAGTGGGCTCTGCTCTCCACCTTTGGGGACGAAAAGGAAACAGCCTGGGAAAGAGGAAGGGATAGGTCCAAGGTCATGGGGCTGGAAGAGAGTGAGCCAAGGGTAGCCCAAGAACACCTGGCTCCAGAGCCCTTTGCACACTTAACAACCACCTCTCTGGCTCTAAAAGGAAAGTATACCATGGTCAACACCATTATTATCCCCATTTTATCCGTGTGGAAACCCAAGTTAGTTACCTAAGGCCACAAAAGTCTGACTGGTGGAGTTGGGATTCAAACCTAGGTCTGTCTGACCAGAGCAGGGGCCCAGGTCAATGATAAACCTTTCCTGCAGCACCCCGGTGGGGCAGGGGGGCGGGGGTGAGTGTGTGTGTGGGGGAGGGTAGCTCTGGAAGGCTTCCAGGATGAAAGTACGAAGATATGAGATAAGACCAAGAGGAATCTGATCCGAACGCTCCCTGAGGCTGAGGCTGAGGCTAAGGCTGAGGCTAAGGCTGAGGTGGAGGATACGAAAGGGACTTCGGTACAGGCAACTGTTGAAGGCCAGCTGCATTTAGCAAAGAGGCTTACAGACTTAAGGAGAAGATAAGCCAGGATCAACAGTACCTGTGCTTCCCGAGCCAGGCCAGCTCTGCCTCCCAGCTGGGTCCTGGGCATTACCCAACCTGGAGCCTGACACCAGGAAACACAGGAAAACCACGGCCAAGTAACTCCCTTTGTAAAAGTCGGACCGCCCCGTTAGGGTAGGGTAGGGTAGGGTAGGGTAGGGTGGGCTGGACGTCCTCTTTGGGCTGGTCAGCGGGTGGGGTTCTCTGCCCACGTCTACCTCTCTGCTCCAGACCCTGTCCTTCGTCCCCAACACTGGAGGAGCCTGCGTCCACACTCACTGTCAACCCTCAAGCCTCTGGGTCATGTTTCTGGCTGATTGCGCGATCCCGAGTTGCAAACTCAGACTTGCGCAGATCTGAGGGGTGCTCAACTCTACGGACTGGAGTGTCTTCCTTTGTACCCCGGAGTAGGGAACACTGTACCCCCAGGCAAGCCTCGGGGGTAGCCAGCAGGCCCGACCGCCGTCTTTGCCCTGCACCTGGACCACATGGGATCTGACCTTGGCCTAGACGCTTCCCCCAGGCGCACGCGCTTCCTACGCCCGCGCGCACCGGACGAATGAATGGGCCTCCGCCGGCCGAAACACCCTTAATTACGGCTGGAATCAAAAGCCGTGTACGGCCCGCCTAGGGCATCAACGGGTCTGGGTACTTTGAAAAGGGGAAGGAGTGGGGGGACAGACTTCCGGTCAGGCGGGACCGGCCGGCGCGACCCCCACCCCCAACCAGACCCTCAACTTCCCCCAGAGTCTCCACCACTTCCGGCCACTACCAGCCAGAAAGGCCAGGGGGACGCGGCGACCCCACCCAGAGCTGAGCCCTAGAGCAGAGCCCCAGGGCAGTCCCGAGTGCTGCGCACGCGCCCTCCTACTGGGCGCGCTACCTCCTCAGCGCGACCGCGCACCCGCATTCCCCGCCGCGCACACGCTTCCCAGCGGCGCCCTAGGCGCGCGCCCGCCCCGCCCCGTTTGGCCGGTCGCGCGCCCTCACGCCCCCCCCCAGCAGCGCGCACGCGCACTCACCGCCCAGTCGCGCTCGTCGCCCGCCTCCCCGCCTGCCCCCCGCCCGCAGCCTGGCTCCCGAGGCGCGCCCCCCGGCCCTGGGCGCACGCCCTCCGCTCCCGCGCCCTCCCCTCACCTCCTAGGTCCCGGGGCCGCCGTGCCGCACTTCTTTTCCTCTCTCCTCCCTCGCGGATGGTGGCAGCGGCGGCAGCGGCGACTCAGACCCTGGGGTCAGGGGGACGGGCGCCCAGGCCGGAAGTGACCTTCCTGGCCGCTTCCGCCCGCGCCGCTTTCCCCCTCCCCCCACCCCTCCGGCCGCCACCCCGTTCAAGCCGCTCTAGGATGGTGAGCCCGCAACCCCCCCCCCCGGCCGCCGCCCCCCCCCGCCCCCCGGCTTGTTGATGCAAAGCCGGCGCTCGGGAACCACTTCCGGGCGCATCTAGGATGCGGGTCCTCCGGCCGCGCTCTATGGCGCGGTGCGCCGAAGGGCTGCGGCCCCGCCCCCTCCCTGGACCGGAGGCGCGGGCTGGGCCCGTTAGGCGGAGACTTCCGGTGTCTAGGGACTGGCCCCCCTCTCCCGGAGCTGGGCTCCCGCGCCTGCGCAGTCCATTCCCCGGGCCAGCGGCGGGCGGCAGGTTCGTGGAGAGTGGACCGGGCCGCTCGTGCCGCCCCAGGTCCTCCAGTCCTCCTCTCTATCATCATAACCCCTTCCCTGCCGTTGCTCCTTGCAGTGACCGGCGCGCGCGTGCTGAAGGGGACTGCCTCTGCTCTGGTCCTTTCGATTGTGGACTGAGCGTGCTGGTCTTAGGCGCCTTTCGTGTCCATGTCTACCTCTCAGGCTCAGTTTCTCCATTCTGGAGTAGTAACAGTGCGAGTGTCCAAGGGCTTTGCATGCATAAGTTCCTATTAATAACCTCTAATCTGTTCCCACTTTGCAGCTAAGGAAGGACAGACAGGTCAGGGCACTTGCAGAATGTCACAAGCCGTTAATGCAGAGACCAGGCTTGAACCCAGGAGTCTGGCCGCCAATGCTCGCATTTAACCGTGGCTAAACAGACTGCAGCCTAGAATGATAGAATGTTGGTCACAGCCAGTAGGATTCACCCGCTTGCCCCATGCAAGTCGGGCGATTAGTGAGCACCAGCTGAATGCTCACCAATCTTGTTACCATTCCTCTGTACAATATATTTTTAAATTGTTTGCACCAGAGTGTCCTTGAAGGCTGGTCCCTGTGGTCCCTTCCCTGCTTTGTACTTGGACAGCTCTCACCTGAGCACCTGATGATTTGATCTATTACTATTTATAACCATTTTATTGTCATAGAAGTTGCCAAGCTTGGGAGTAGGAAAGAGGATGTACAATTCACTCAGATAACACCTTTCATAGCCTTGATTTAGCGAAATATTCTGTGTAGGTGTGCTTATTTCCATTCCAGGCTCATAGTCAAGTCTCACTGAAAATGGTATTGATTAATATTGCTCGTTAGGACTGTTATTTCTACTCCCATGGACACTATACACTCTAAATTGTCCATCACCATCAATCAAAGATGTGCATTGTTGAGTGAGGAACATCCTCCAGGATAGAAAAAAAGACACAATGTACTAACGATGCACGGAAGTACAGCAAGGTAGGCCTGTCTCACCTTCGGAAAGGTCACAAGGTAAATGTTTCAGTGCATCTCAGAAGAGAGGGACGGCGCTGTGAGAATAACAGTCAACATGAATCATTAGCACAGACCTAAAAGTTTGCACTTTGCAACCTGTGAGTACAGAATACCACACACCTGTGCTCCTCTGAATCACATCATCGACAGGGTGCCTGCAGTGGCCTGGTGGTGGGAGGGCGCAGCTTCCACCCTCTCCTTCCCGTGCCCCCTCCTGGATGGTTAAATTGAGGACCTACAGGTGAAATCTTGAATCATCAGAGGCAGAGAGTGGACCAACTACATGGAACATGTTCCATGTACCAACCAGCTACATGGAACAAGATAGGCCCTTGGTGGCTTCTGTGTCAGCTGAGATGTCACATGAGAAATGACTTTCTGATTTAAATAATGGGTCATTCAGCCCTGGACGGGTAGCTCAGTTGGTTAGGATGTTGTCCTGATACGCCAAGGTTGTGTGTTCCATCCCTGGTCAAGGCACATACAAGCAGCAACCTATGAATGCATAAATAAGTGGAACAACAAATTGATCTCTCTCTCCCCCTCCCTCTCTAGAAATCAATAAATGGAAAAAAAATTACTTTAAAAAATCATGGGTCCTTCAGAATCTCTCTACAGACAGCCAAATGGATATTGGGATGTTTCCCAGGCACAGGAAGGAGTTGCCGTAGAGATGGCTAATTCACCACCAAAACTTGCCCTTCCCTTCTGAAGGGTGGAATTAATGACTCCTAGAATGCAGCTCCTACCCAGGGACTGCACTGAGTGTGGCCTTCTGATTGCTTCTCACTAGCTATGAACCAGAAATGTGACCATGTGGGCACCTTGATCTCAGACTTCCAGCTACCAAAACTGTGAGCACTGAATCTCTGTTGTTTATAATCCACCCAGTCAGTGGCGTTCTATTATTTCAGCCACAACAAGAAGTGGGTGTTTTTCTTGAGGAAGCTTCCCCTGCACTAGGCAGTAAAAAACAATGGCTAGACTCCCCTTTGGAGATTCAGCATCTGGACAGAATTGAAATTCACGAGATTGAGTAAGATCATGGGGGTAGAGAGAGAGAACGGAATATGAGTATGGAGAGAGAAGCAGTTCTATCTGTGGTCATCTGTGGACTTCCCTGGGATTTTTCCCTCTGGAATTGAGAAAACATTGTCTACCTCTCTGGAATATGACTCAGGAGCAATGGCAACCTCTTTGTCACCATGTGGAGAAAGCCAGCCTTCAAGAGGAGAAAATGAAGCCACACAGGAAGATAACAGGCAAACAGAGAGAATAACTGGCTGAGTTCTGGTGCCCCCAACACCCAACCCCTCTTAGGTGTGGGTGTGCAGTCATGTCTTAAGTGAGTCTCTGAAGATCCCCAGTCTCCCACAGCACTTAGTGCACCCAAATCCCCATTCAGCGTTGACATGAGGGAGCGAAGATGGGCTGGACGGGGTGATGTGTAAGCCTCCAGTGTGGCTGTGTTTACTGACATCCCAGCTGCAGGGCCCAAGGAACAGCTCCCACTCTGAACCCCTCACAGCCCCTTTGTAAGTTCTTCCCATGACATCTCCCCTCCACTGAGTGACAGGAACAGCAGTGGGCAGATTGGAGACGGAGAGTTTGCAGCTGTCGAGATACAAGTGCCAAGAAGTCCCCTCACTCACGCACACATCATACTTTTTCACAGTAAGTCTGAGACACGCAGGTTCCACGTCAGCTCCAGCTATGTTTGAATTCCAGACACACAATAAGTAATTTTTCTTAGTATGAAACTGTCTCGATGCCTATCCAAAATACCTGTCATTGGTTTGAGATGCGGGTGAGACCATGCATTTTTAGTTGCTAAGTCTGTCTGCCCTGGATAGCAGACACTGTGGGTACAAGTCTAACCCCATCCACCCTCTTTTCTTCACCAGTTTCCTCGGATTTCCATGCCTCCTCTGTACATCTGTACATGGGAGGGAGGGGACAATGCCACCCCTGGATTTTTTTTTAATATTTTATTTATTTATCTTTAGAGGGGAAGGGAAGGAGAGAGGGAGAGAAACATCAATGTATGGTTGCCTTTCGTGCGTCCCCTCCTGGGAACTGGCCTGCAGGGAACTGGTCCGCAACCCAGGTATGTGCCCTGACTGGGAATCGAACCGCGAATGTCTGGTTCGCAGGCCCGAGCTCAATCCACTGAGCTACACCAGCCAGGGCCCCCTGGATTTTAAAACGTGAGGGTAACACTTGCCTTAGGGCCTAGCTAATCAAAGTAGAATCCTAGCCCAGAGCCCTTATCTGAGTTCCAGTTCATGCCAATATGACAGAGAAGTGTTCTGAGTGGGTTCTGGCAAATAAGCTCCCCATGTCTCTCTTACTGAATGGGGATAAATGTGATGTGATGGTTAGAGCAGTGGCAGTCATTTTGCCACCATGAGGGATACCAGCCTGAGGGCAGAGGCTCAGAATAGGCCCTTCGTGACATTTTTGAGTGACTGAATCAAATTGACCTCAGAGCTGTCCCTTGCTCAGGACATTCCTGCTGGCCAATAAATCCTCCCTTGCATTTGAGCAAGTGGAGATGAGCTTTCCAGGACTGAGTACATCCCAACTAATATGGATGGGAACTGCTGTACATTCCAGTTCTGCAGGAGGAAACTGGCTTTGGCAGAGGGGAGCTTATACGCTCAATGCCACATGGTTGCCTTGTTAATTCTGCATTTGCCTGACCCCGAGGTTGGGCCTAGAGCCATTTCCCTCATCACACAATTTGGGGAAGCTCCTTCCTAAGGGGACACCTAAGACTTCACGTGTTCCAAGCACTTCAAATGCACAGTGTTGCTTGAAGGAGGCAGGGGAGACCCTTGTCTGAGTTTCAGACAAAAAAGCTGAGACTCAGAGAGGTTCGGTAGCATGCACGGGGCCACACAGCAAGTGGTGGAGCTGGGATTTGCATGCCCCTTGCTGAGCCCTTCCCCAGCTCCAGGCCACCATTCCAGGCTCTGTCCCACCCTCTCACTTCCCTCAGCCTCTCCCCACATTAGCCCCATGCACAACACTCCTGTCAAGGAGGAAGTCAGAGCTGTTCACACCGGCCTCCAAGCCCCTTCATCCAACCCGCTCATGCCTTGGGGTCCCCCACACGGACCGGCAAGGTAACCCTAGACTGTGGCCCTAGGAGGGTACTGGAGAGCTTCCGTGATGTGCTCCATCTCGTTGAGGTATTCCCTCCACCTTCCACCGTCACTGCCGAGTTTCGGCTATTGTCCTCCGATACAAAAGAATTTAGAACGGGACCCTGACAGAAGTAAAGGCAGATATATCAAGACTCTGCAGAGGGTGGCAACGCTGAGCTAGGGCCCCAGGTTGCATGCAAAGAGGGATTTGGAATATATGGGGTCAGAACGTGGAAACGACATAGGGAGCCAATAGGTGGTTGAGTTTAATTATTATTTTTTGTCCTGGCTATTGTGGTTCAGTGGATTGAGCACCAGCCTGTGAACCAAAAGGGGCACTGGTTGAATTCCTAGTCAGGGCACATGCCTGGGTTGCAGGCCAGGTCCCCAGTAGGGGACATGTGAGGATCAACCTCACATTGGTGTTTCTCTCCCTCTCTTTCTCCCTCCCTTCCCTTCTATCTAAATAAATAAAATCTTAAAATAATAATAATAAAGCACCACTTATTAAAAAAAAATCCCCAAAGGTGCCTGAATTGGCTATTGACTGCACTTTCTGTTCCTTACAGGTGTAAAACTCCTTACACCTGAGAAGATTGCCAAAAACAAACCAGAAAACAAACAAAACCCTCAAAGACTCCCTTAACTATAAAGCCAACTTAATAAGCTTTTTATTAATTTAAAAAATATATTATGATCCCATTTAACAAGACAAATATATGTCAGCCTCTTACACGTCAGCACGTTTCAGGAGAAACTGCATCAGCAATTAGAAAATGTTACAAGACCATTAACGAGAGCTCCTAAGTGGTATAACCTGGTGTAAACAAACTGTAAAACCTGTTGCTTTGCTCTCTGGGCGATGGCGTGTTCTCGGAACTATGAAACGTTCAACCTGAATGCCCAGAGCGTGAAAGGGATCAAGAGACGCTTCTCCCCCTCCTTGCCGAAGGGGTTCATTTCTAAAATAAATGCTCACGGCACATAAGATGCATTGGGTTGCTGGTGCTACGGCTGACCTGACCTCACAAATCCCTGGCCCCTGGGGTCACTGGGGGGCAGGTGAAGGGCAGCCCTGAACTCAGCCCCACTGCGGTTCTCTCTCCCCTCTAGTATTTTTTAAGATTGTATTTATTTTTAGAGAGAGGGGAAGGGAGGGGGAAAGAGAGGGAGAGAAACATCAATGTGTGGTTGCCTCTCACACGTCCACCACTGGGGACCTGGCCCACAACCCAGGCCTGTGCCCTGACTGGGAATCGAATCAGTGATCCTTTGGTTCACAGCCTGCGCTCAATCCACTGAGCCACACCAGCCAGGGTTCCCTCTAATATTTTATATCCATGACTGTATCTGTGTGTGTCTATGTTCATCTCTCTAACTTTGTCTCTCTCTTGGGGCTGCTTGTGGATCTTCAGGAGCCTCTGTAGAAAGGCACTAACCCTCCCACCACCTGTTCACATCCTTGAATCAGCAGCAGTGGGAAAAGGCCACTTCACAGAGCACCCTGTACTTCATGTTTATCAGCTTCGATCAGGATTCTCTCTCTCTCTCACTTAACAACATGCTTATTGATTTGAGAGAGAGAGAAACATTGGTGTGAGAAACATTGATCAGCTGCCTCTCTCGTACACACCCAAGCAGAGCTCGAACCCACAACCTTTGGGTATAACGGACGATGCTCCAAGCAACTGACCCACCCGGCCAGGGCAGGATTCTCTCTTGAGGAAAGAACTAAATGTTACCTGTAAGACATTGTCGACCCTCTTTATAGGTGGATTTCCCGTCTGCAAAGGGACCTACTCTTTGAAATTTAAAGCACCCATCCCGCAGACACTCGGACCCCTGACACCATCAGCCTCTGCCTGACTCCTCCCTGTTGTAGCCTCTGCTCATTGTCTGTGTGTCCCGGGAACAGGGCATCTGACCAGGAGAAGACCTACCGCCAGGGCTGGCCCAGGGTCCTCCGGGAGCAGAGCGAGCTAGCGAGCAGGCCCCCCACAACCGGCCACCGCTGGTCGCCAAACCTGGGTCTGTCTCCACCTCTGTCTCCTTTGGGGAAGGTGCGCCAACCAACCTCGCCCAGCCTCTGTAAACAGGGCTGACACTTTGATCTGTGGGCAGCCCGTCATTAAGCAATTCATTCACAATTTAATTATTCATTCTCGAGTGTTTCCTGGGGCTGGGAGAACAGGACTCGGGCTCCAACCCAGGCCCCCAGGAGTCCTCCCTGAGGGCTGGCTGCCTGTGTTCCAGGACGTCCCCTCCTCTTGCGTTCACCTGCTCATTCATCATCCGTTTATCCACCAAACAGGGCCCGAGTCTCCAAGGGAGCGCGGGGGCCGAGACCCAGGGGTGACCCCTCCCCGCCCTCCCGTACCTGCCGTCTTTGGAGCCCCACACAAAGAGAAACGTTAATTATTATTTTGGGTAATAATTATAGCGGTGCTACAAAGGAGCCGGCTGGCTTGGGTAGGGTGTGAGCTGCCAAAGGAATTCTCGCCCCCCCGGGCCTGGGAATTAGGGCGAGAAGGTTGGTTGTTTTTTTTTTTCTCTCAGTTCTTGTTTACGCAGCAGGCCCCACCTGGGAGCTGGCAACACTGTTGTTTTGCTCACGCGTTGGGTAGGCGGGCCGGACACGCCAAATAAACAGCCCAGGCAGGAGATGGGGACAGAAAGGGCACCGGGGAAGCTCCTGGGGGTGCTTCTCAGGGTTATTGGAGTGGGGAGTAGTCCGAGAAGGCTTCAAAGAAGAGGCAGCACTTAAACTCCGAGGTATGTCATAAGTTAGCTGGTGAAGAGGAGGAGGAAGACCAGCCAGGGGGTCGCCCCTTCAGTGCGCCCTTCATGAAGGTTGATGGTGCCGCTTTAGTGCTGAAGAGACGGTGCTGGTGTGGAAATGCTGCACAAATCAGGGATGGAAAAATGCAGCTCCACGTTAAAAAAAAAAATTAAGATTTTAGGGTGCCCTGGCTGGGTAGCTAAGTTGGTTAGAGCAGCGCCCTGGATACACCAAGGTTATGGGTTCGATCCTCCGTGGGGGGTACATGCAAGACTCAACCAAGGAATGCATCAACAAGTGAAACAACAACGTCTCTCTCTAACCAATAAATAAAAACTTTTTGAGTGTGGGCCTGCGAACCAAAGGGTGGTAGGTTCAATTTCCAGTCAGGGCACATGCCTGGGTTGCAGGCCAGGTCCCCAGTAGGGGGCATGCAAGTGGCAACCATACATTGACGTTTCTCTCCCTCTCTTTCTCCCTCCCTTTCTAAAAAATAATTTAAAAAATTAGAAAACAGTTCAGAATGACCACAGAATATTAAACTCTGTTTGGTGCTCTAGGCAACTGTCCATCCCGCGAAATGGACCCTGGATATGTGTGACTTGTCACTTCTGGGTTCAAGAATAGAGCAGCTCCAGGGGACATACTATTTCACATAGAGGAAGTTGGGAGGTAAGAGGTGGGCTCGGTCCGCTCCCCATCAGTCCCCTGTCACCCCTCCCTCCGTTCGCGGCACCCCGATGGCTCCCACAATTCAAAGCATCACCCACGGATACAGGCTGGACACCTCTCTTTTAAGAGCTGCGAGAGCCTCGCCCAGGAAATTGCCTTCACACTCATTGGCCAGAACGGAGTCCCACCTCAGCCCCCACCAGTCACCGGCAACAATGGGGTGTCTACTCTGCGTAGGCCAATAAGCAGGACCCGTGTTTTAGAGGTGGGGGCGGTGTCTCATTGTTTCCCTGGGACCCCGAGGGCACGTGGTCTACAAGTCAGACGAACACACCTCTCACCTGGTTTGCCCAGAGTGTCCCAGCTGGGGAGGGGGTGTTGGGCGGTGGTCTTGCACACACCCACGCGCAGTGAGCGGCCGAAACTCGGTATGGACCCGGCGTCTGTATCCTCCCCCCCTCCCCCCGGACCTGCCCAGCATCTGCTTCAGAGGGGGCGCCCAGTACATGAGCCTAGGACAGGACGTTGCGTGGTCAAATCAGCTGTGTTCACTCCGTGGTGGGTGTGGGGATCCATTTGCATCCACGTGGGGCTTGCTGTGACTAGTTCTCAGCTGTAAGTCAACTAAAGAATAACCAAGGTGTTCTTTCTGATTCAGTGAGTCTTCGGGCAGCCGCGGTGGGGGCTGAGAATTTGCATTTGCAATGGTCTTCCAGGTGCAGTTCTGGGCACCTGACCCAGAGGCACGTGCGTGCACGTGGCCCACCTGGTGGGGCACGCAGTCCTGCCCGGGGAGTGGTGCTGGGTTGAAGCCCTGCTGAACCCGCGCACGCGCCCTACAGACTCCCAGCCCAGCGGGATATGGGAGCTGCACGCTCCTCATATACCTGGCTCACGTCTGTGGCCCTTCTCAAGAGCACCTTTTTCTTATTTGCGCAAAGGCACCATGTAAGCCAGAGGAATTCTGGGGTGGAAGGGGTACAATTATGTGGGGCTTTGCAGGCCAGGGTCAAGGGTTTATGCTGCGCAGGTTTGTTTGGGTTTTTTGTTTTTGTTTTTTTAAGATTTTACTTACTTATCTTTAGAAGGGAAGGGAAGGAGAGAAGGAGAGAAACATCAATGTATGGTTGGTTGCCTTTCATGCGTCCCCTGCTGGGAAGTGGCCTGCAGGGAACCAGCCTGCAACCCAGGCATGTGCCCTGACAGGGAATCAAACCGCAATCTTTCAGTTCGCAGGCCCGAGCTCAATCCACTGCGCTACACCAGCCAGGGTTTGCTGCGCAGTTTTAAGCAAATGAGTGACATGACTGTACTTAAGTTTTGTTGTCAAGATTTTATTTATTTTTAGACAGAGGGGAAGGAAGGGAGAAAGGGAGGGAAATATCAGTGTGTGGTTGCTTCTTGTGTGTCCCCCAGTGGGGACCTGGCCCTCAACCCAGGCATGTGCGCTGACTGGGAATCGAACTGGCGACCCTTTGGTTTGCAGGCCAGTGCTCAGGCCAATGAGCTACACCACCTAGGGCTCTGTTTTAAGAAGAGCCTTCGGATGGATGGACTAATACACTGTGGCCCAGGCATACAACAGAATATTATTCAGCTGTAAAAAAAAAAAAAAAAAAAAAGGAAAATTTGTCCTGGCCAGTTTGCTCCTTTGAAGTGTCATCTTATACACCAAAAGATTGCGGGTTCGATTTCATGGGGGCACATAACAGGAGGCAACTGATCAATGTTTTTCTCTCCCTTCCTCTCTCTAAAACCAATAAACAGATCTTCCAGTGAGGATTAAAAAAAACACCCCAGAAATTCCGCCAGATGCTACAACAAGGATGAACCTGGAAGACGTCAAACTCCACGAAACAACAGTCACATAAAGGACAACTAATATGTGACTCCCCAGTGTCACCGGACGGGGACCGGCCTGGAGCGTGTGGGTTCTTGACTTTGTGCAGGAATGATTTCGCAACACGAGTCCAGGTGACTCTGAGAGGATGTTGATTGAGGCTGGGGACAGTGACTCTAAGGAAGGACTTAGGGAAGAAGGAGCAGCAGGAGAGAGGCTGCCTCTGCAGGCTGCGCTGGCTCCCTAGAGAAGTTGTAGGAAAGGAGCGAGCCAGGGTGGGGCTGCTATCAGCTCACTGGGAAGTCAGAGAAAAACGGGGCCTTGGAGACAGGAGCGGGGTAAGCCCAGCTCTGGCTGCCACACTGCCCACCGCCTCCCTGGCTGCAGGTCTCACGGGGACCCTTTGAATGTAGGAGAAGGACAGTAACAATTTCATGTGGGGGTGGGGCGGGAGGCATGGGTCTGCTCCAGAGTGAGCCCCTGCTGGTTTGAGGGCTTTTTAATCTCTCTTCTGCAGGTGAGAATCTTAGGGGAGGGTTTAGCAGAATATTCATCGGCTTTCCAGGTATGTGTGGGTTTTGTTTTGGTTTTTTAAGCTTTTATTTTTATTATTTTTTAAGGATAAATATATATTTTTTTTTATTGATTATGCCATTACATTTGTTCTATTCCCCCCTTCATTCCCCTCCACCCTGCACACCCCTCCCCCAACATTCCCCCATTTAGTTTATGACCACGTGTCTCAAGTTCTTTAGATTCTATATTTCCCATACTATTCTTGCCCCCCCATCTATTTTCTACCTACCATCTATGCTACTTATTCTCTGTACCTTCTCCCCCCTTCTCCTTCTCCCACTCCCCTGTTGCTAATCCTCCACGTGATCTTCATTTCTACGGTTCACTCCTGATCTAGCTGTTCTCTTAATTTACTTTTGTTTTAGGTGTGGTTGTTGATAATTGTGAGTTTGTTGTCCTTTCACTGTTCATCTTTTTTATCTTCTTTTTCTTAGGTAAGGCCCTTTAAGCTTTTATTTATTTATTTATTTAGAGAGAAGGAAAGGAGGAAGAAAGAGAAGGAGAGAAACATGAATGTGTGGTTGCCTCTCATGTGGCCCCCACTGGGAACCCGGCCCCCAACCCAGGCATGTGCCCTGACTGGGAATCGAACCAGCGACCCCTTGGTTCACAGCTTGCGCTCAATCCACTGAGCTACGCCAGCCAGGGCTCCAGGTGTGTTTTTAATATGCTGATGCATCAAAATGAGCGCATAAGGGAGTTTGGGATTATTCTCTGGTCACCTTCATTGCTTTACATTTTTCTTGGGTCTGCCTGGCTCTGATCAAGTTTTTGTTATTTGTTCCCCTGACTTCATCTGTCCTTGGGTTTATCCGGCAAAAATGGCGTTAATTGGGTCTCTGTCCCCTATCTCTCTGACCAGGGTGATTCAGCTGTGTATTCCCCTGGTCAGGGAGGAGAGGTATAAACCATTTGTTCTCAAGTGTCTTCCCTTAACTTCCCTTGTTTAGGGAAGATAAGTTCTTGAGATTCACTAGCCAGCTGTAAATTGTTCAAGTTGCTTGGCCTTGTTTAATTATCTTCTCTCAGTTTTCCCATTCCACTTGCCTTGGAATTTTTACCAGCTTACCATCCTGCCTCAATAGGAGGTCCCTAGAATCATCAAATTCATGGACAGAAAGTGGAGTGGTAGGTGCCAGCAGCTGGGGGAGGGGGTGGAATGGGGACAGAGTGTGGGTTTGGGACTACGATGAGAGTTCTGTGGCTGGATGGTGGTGCTGGTTGGCACAGCAATGTGAACACCATGGAACTGTATCCTTGAAGATGGTTAAAATGCTAAACTTTGTTATGTGCACTTTACAATTAAAAGAACAAGATTGCTCCAGCTGCGCAAGGGACCGGGGTGCAGGGGTGGGAGTTGGCCATGGTGGGAGCAAGACCATGAGCCCATGCACTTGCTCGGGTGACAGTCACAGGGACTGAGACCAGGTGATTAGGTGGTCAGCAGCAGACCCATGCTGACTCTTATTTTGCAGATGGAGCCTACAGGACCTGGGCATGGATATGATGTCGGGGGTGATGGAACAGGACAATGAGTAGTAGGGACCCTTCCCTGTTTGCCCTGGATATTTGGATGAATGATGGATCCATTTGCTAAGATGGGGGAGATGGGAAGTTTCTTTACTGAGGGAGATGGGGGCATGAAATATTCTCTTTGTTGAGATGCCTATTAGAAAATCCAAGTGGATTCTGGGTATTTATCTGAAAAAATCCTAAACACTACATTGAAAACACATGTGCACCCCCATGTTCATTGCAGCATTATTTACAATAGCCAAGTTTTGGAAACAACCTAAGTGCCCATCAGTGTATCAGTGGATGAAAAAGCATGGTGTAGCCCTGGCTGGGTAGCTCAGTTGGGTAGAGCATTGTCATGCCCCAACAGTGCAGGTTCAATTCCCACTCAGGGCACATATAAAAATCAACTTATGAATGCATAAATAAGTGGAACCAAAAAATGGTGGGTTTTTCCTTCTCTCCCCCTAAAATCAATTTTTTCAAACCTGTAGTACATATATAGAATAGGATATTACTTGACCATAAAAAAAAGAATGAAATCTCACCATTTGTTGATAACATGGATGGTATTAAACTAAGTAAAATAAGTCAGTGAAAGACAAATATTTCACTTATATGTGGAATCTAAATACAAAAGGAACGAAACCAAAACTCTTAGATACAGAGAACAGACACAGTTGACACACACAGCTGGGGGCATGGGTGAAAAAGGTGAAGGGATTAAGAAATACAAATGAGAATAGTCACAGGGATGTAATGTACAGAACAGGAAATATAGCCAATAATGTTGTAATAATTATGGATGGGGCCAGAGTCCCGGAAATATCGGGGGAACACTTCGTGAAGTACTATATGATTGTCTAATCAATATGCTGTACATCTGAAACATACAAAATAATATTCAATGTTACTTGTTTTAAAAAATCCAAGTGGAGAGTCAAGAGGGCATTGGGATCAGAGCAGGGACAGGACCTGTGCTCCCTGGAGCCGAAAGGCCGGTGCAGCTGAAACTCGTAAATCAGAGGCCAGGCAGGACAGAGAAGTGGCTGGTGGCGGGAGGTGAGGCCCCCCAGCCTGGGGCAGAAAGGTATGACTCAGCCACCAACTGCTGGCGAAGCCCTAGTTATTGTCCACTTAAGCAGTGCTTGTTCCTGCCTGTGTCCCACGTCGTCCCGAACTGGTGGGTTTGTCTCACCCACGCCACCCAGAGTAGGACACTTGGTGTAGACGTGGCGATGGCTTCTCCGGGGTCCACGCTGCCTGGAACCTGCCAGACACGGAGCTCTAGCCTCTCTCTCAAAACTTCTTCCCGTTTTTGAGATGGGGAAACTAAGGCGGTCGCCGTGTCTGACGGGAACACTTTGGGGACATGTGGCACGTAGTACTCTTGCCCAATTCACAAAGGGGAAACTGAGGCCAGGTGCCACGTACATGTAGACAGAGGCGAGCCAGGGTGCCTGGATCAAGTCCGGAGGCTGCACCAACCCGGGACCTTGTGACTTTCGCCGTGTTGGGGAGGGGTGAGAGGCGACCAGTTATCAAGGAAATGCGAACCCCCCCCCACCCCCCCGCAATGATCTGCGCAGAGCTCTGGCCCTGGTCCTTCCTCCTCCCTAGTCCACACAGATCGGGGTCGCCATTTCTCAAATGCCCAGCAGCATCCGGCCTCTTTGGGTCTCCACGACAACGGCCGCCACAGCCGCTCTTTCTCCCTCCATCGGCTCGCCATTCTCAGGGCTGCGCATGCTTAAATTCCCCTTGCGAACCAAGAGAAGCCCTATCTGCCTTCTGGGAAATGTAGTCTAAAGTCTGTTGTGCTAGGTGAGGCTGTGTTAGCGGTGGCCAATGGGCCGCAGGCAGCACTCGCTGCATCTTGGGAAATGTAGTTCTGCCTGGAGGAGCCATTCGAGGGTGGGCAACTGCTAGTCTCCAAGACGAGAGCCAATAGAAAGCCGCTATTGCCGCGGGGCGTCCTGGGAAATGTAGTGCTGGTGAGGCCCGGGTGCTGGGGGGTGGTTCGTCAAGGGAAAGACCTACTGGGTTCCCGGTGTGTTTGGTGGGGAGGGTCCCAGAGGAGTTTGGCGCAAAGCCTGCTGGGGTATTGAGTCCCTGTGAACTTTGTGCGCATGTGCGAGGAGGTGAGGGCGTCTTAGGGGGATCCGCCTGAGAGAGTAAGGTGAGCGAGCGGAGAAAATGAGGGAGGGATTTGTGGGGGCGATTGGACTTTGGGGAGAGGGTGCTGGAAGCCAGCGGAGGGAGGGATGGGCGAGTTGGGGGAGGGTATAAAAAGGGGCCTGGGGTGAAGGGGGTGGTGAGAACGGGGGATGGGAGAGCGAGCGGGAGGGGGAGGGTTGTGGACCCCCGAGGTTGGGGGGGCTCTACGGGGAAGAGTTGGAAACAGAGAGAGCGGAGTTGGGGAGGGGCTAGGAAGTGGGGGCAAGGGGGGAAGGGGCGGGGATCCCCGCTTGGATGGGTTGCTGGGTCCTAAGGACGAATGTAGGACCTCCTGGACCCGTGGGAAAGGTTTGGGGAAAGGGGGCTTAGGTTTGGGGAAAGGGGGTCGTGATCCCCACCAGGATGGGCGCTAGTGGTTCCTTTTGTGTGCTTTTTTCCACGCCCTTTTATACGTTGTACGATTCCTGATGACCTCTTTCCTGTTTTTTTTTTTTCTTGAAGAAGAGCCCCCCCACTTCCTCAGCTTGTTGCAAGGAATTGAATTCATTAATTAGGTCTGTGTTTGCTATTATCATCCGAGGCTGCCCGCGCCCCTCGTCTCCCCCAGTCAGCCAGTAACCACCATCTTTTGCTTTCTACTTTTACGCCTATTCTAATTTGTAGCTAGATTTTAAATGCGTGTGCTTATTTTGTTAATAACAGCATCAGCCCCGCACCCGGCCTCCAATAATTGAAATAACTAACTCTTTCTTAGCCCAGGTGCTGTCCCCAGCATGAATCCTTTGACACGGAAAATATTGAACTTCTGCGACTTTTTACTGAGACTCTTGGGCTAGGGTGATTTTAGGCCCAGGAGCACAGGTGCGATGTGTCATAGGTGCGGGTGTCCCTTGTCCAAGGTCAACTAGTGGGTCGGCGGCAGAGCTGGGATTTGCTCCGGAGCCCCGGTGCTCTGAGTAAATATTTGTCCCCAGGGGACACAGGGCCATATCTAGAGACATTTAGCTTGTCACAACTGGGAAGATCCTACTGGCATCTGGTGGGTAGAAGTTCAACATTTTCCATGGCAAAGGACGCCTGCCACAGTTTAGAATAATCTAGCCCGAATTCCACAGTGTGAAGGTTAGGAGCCTGGAGGAGACAGGTGTTGGCTGAGCTCTAAGCGCTGCCCACTTCCCGAACTCCTTATGGAGAAGGAGCCGTGATGAGTCCTCTATTACAGGTGGAGAAATTAAGCCCAGAGAGGGCAAGTCGTGTGTTCAAGATCACACAGCAGATCAATGGCAGAGTTGGAAGTTGGAAGTGACAGAGCTTATTTCTTAACCGTTTAATTAATCCAGTCCGAATCATTTTAAAAAATTTAAATAATAGAAATTAAAAGGCTCCCAGCCAGATTCTGCCCCCCAGTGGCCACTTGCTGACCCCAGCTCCAGGCCAGGGGTTTACAATTTGAACTCAGGACCTCTTTATAGTCTTAAAAATTATTAAAGCTCTAAAAGCACTTTTGTTTATGGGAATTAGGGCTTTTGGCATGTATCACGTTAGAAATGAAGGGCAAGCAAATTTCAAAGGACTAAATAATGCATTTAGAGATATCAGTAATCAGCCTTCCTGTGTTTGCATGTAACATTTTTAAAAAATATTTTATTTATTTAGAGGGGGGAGGGAAGGAGAGAGAGAGAGAAATATGTGTGTGGTTGCCTCTCATGTGTCCTCTGCTGGGAACTGGCCTGCAACCCAGGCACGTGCCCTGACTGGGAATTGAACAGCGATCCTTTGGTTTACAAGCCCTCATTCAATCCACTGAGCTACACCAGCCAGGGCTGCTTGTAACATTTTTATGGTGAAAAATAATCATGTTTCCCAAAAGGAAGAGTTGGAAAAGTGGCTTCTTTTCTCCCGAATCTCTCCAAAGTCTGACATGAGAGAGCTGGGTGTTCATATCTGCTCTGCATTCAGCCTGCGGCCATCGGCCTCCGAGGACCCTACCGTATACACGGGGACACGTAAGGGAAAGAGGTTGATGACATCTTAGTGTTACGATAACAACGGTTCTGACCTCACCATGTCCCGCGAGGGTCTCAGCACCCACAGCATCCCCAGACCATTCAAGGACCACACTTCCAGGCCGGGGTTTCTCAGCCTCGGCAGTGTCAACCTTTGGGGCCAGCACGTGCACCATAGGATTCTTAGCAGCACCACCTGGGGGGCAGCCCTTCCTCGACCATACCAGGCAGGCAGGCACTTTGTTTTGTAGGGGAGGAAACTGAGGCAGAAGGAGAGGACACTGCTTACACCAGCTCACTGTGCTCCTAAGTGGGGATAGTAGGGTGTGTCCATCTGTACCCCTGCTGCTGTCCCCTCAGTGACAGGAGGTGATGGCTTCTGGAATGACTGGGCCGGGTTCTCACCGTGCTGGAAATCCCTCCCCACAGGTGCTGTGGTCGCCCTGGGGTCTGCCCGCCCCCATGGAGGCTCCGTCCCCGCAGCCCGTGAAGCAGGAGGTCCAGGCCGCTGAGGTCCTGGCCCTGGACTCGCCGTGGCACCGTTTCCGCCACTTCCACCTGGGCGACGCGCCGGGCCCCCGTGAGGCGCTGGGCCTGCTGCGTGCGCTGTGCCGAGACTGGCTGCAGCCCGAGGTGCGCACCAAGGAGCAGATGCTGGAGCTGCTGGTGCTGGAGCAGTTCCTGAGCGCCTTCCCCGCGGACGTCCAGGCCTGGGTGTGCAGCCGGCGGCCGCAGAGCGGCGAGGAGGCCCTGGCCCTGCTGGAGGAGCTCTGGGTGAGCACGCACACACGCACACGCGCACACACGCCCGCAACCCTCCACTGCCACCGCCCTGTGGTCGGAGACTGGCCTGCCCCTCACAGCCTTCCCTCTGCTCTCCAGATGGTCTGGTCCTTGGCCTGCGGGAGTGATAGTCCCTGCGTGAGCCAGCACACAGAGCAGGTCCCAGTGGGGACGCTGTGGGCGGGAGCATCGGGCCAGCAGTGCAATGCTGAGGGCACAGTCCCCAAGATTCTCTTCCTCTGACACTCTTGGGGGTCGGCAGGACCACCCTCAGTTTGATACTGCAGTAGAAGGGCTCAGAGCTCCTGTAAAGCTGCCCCCCAGGAATGGATGGTCACACAGAAGGGTCAGCCCCAGGAAGAGGAGGCAGGGCAGGTCCGGGGAAGGCCAGTGTCTGCAGCTCTCGGTCCCCCCTTCAGGGGTCCTGCAGGGGGCACCGAGCGAGCGTCACCCACCAGGGAAGCTCACAGAGCCTGGTGTCCGGGGTTTTTGTTGGGGGTTGGCTGTGTAGGCACAGTGGACCACCGAGGCTGACCTCAGTCTCTGCTCCCTCTGGAGGTTGCACTGAAACAACTTGGCCAATAGGCCTCCGTAAATCCCACTGTCGGCATGGCCTGTCTGACTCCCTGCTGTCCAGTGGGGTTGCGACTGGGCACTGTTGCCCTCGATGTTTCACAGATGAAGAGATAGGGCTCAGAGAGGTCAAGCGACTTGCCCAAAGTCACACAGCTAGTTAGGGGACGATGGAAGGAATAGAACCCATGCGCCGTGGCTCTAGATTCCTGCTTCTAATCCCTGCGAGCCCAGGGCTGCTCCGTCCCGATACCTTCCTGTGGGCAGTGCTCAGCCTCCATGTCTGTCTGTGACCCCAAACCAGAGACCCAGGAGGTCTGCGGGATCCTCCAGAGAAGTGAAAGTGCTGAGACTTGAATGTGCCTAGAGGTTACTGGAGAGCCTGCTGGCCGTGTGGCTTCCCGGCCTCCAGTCGCAGACGTGTGGACCAGGAAGTTGGGGGGGTCTCCGTGCCGCGCACTCAGCCTCCACCCATCTGAGTGGGGACTTGGGGTGAGACCCTGTGCTGCCTAGCCCCCTCTGAACTGACAGTGTGGCAGGTAACCCGGTACCAGTCCCACAAGCAGTTCTGTGGCTAGAGGCAGCCAGGGACCTGGTTGGCCTCACCAAAATCCCGCCATGCCCGCTCTACACTCCCCAGTCCGGTCCTCTTTGGGGCACAGGCCAGTGGTTTGCTGTTCATCCATCCACCCATTCATTCACTCACTCGACATCTACCGGGAGCTGGAACCCACTTCCATAGCAGCTGGAAGGTAACTTGGGGCAGCTGTCGTGGAAAACAGTCTGGCTGTTCGCCCAAAGGGTTAGACATGGGACAGCAGCAGGTCCTGGCATAACGTCTTGTTCGACGTTGGTGAGATGCTGTTGGAACTTGTGTATGGCAGTAAGCCTGTGGTAAAGTTGCTTGCATTATACGTCGTTTTGCTTAAAGTCGCAGAATCTGTCGGTGATGCTAAGTGGGGATTCACTGTACCCTGTGAGCTAGCCTGTCTCCTCCTGGGTGTACACCCAAGAGAAATGAGAACATATGTTGACCCAGCCCATGTACACATAGGCTGTGAAGGATGGCTGGCGGCATCACTCATGATAGTCAGAGAGTGGGGACAACCCACAGGTGCGCCAGGCAGGAGTGGGTAAACTCTGTGTGGATGGTCACACAGTGGAGCATTACTCGGCCATGAAAAGGAACAAAGGACTTGACATACTGCCATATGGACACACATGGAAAACATTATGTGAACAGCGAAAGGTCCTGTGTGATCGCGTTTCTGTGAAGCGTCCAGAGGCAGCAAGTCCACAGAGGCAGGAAGTAAACGAATGGCTCCCAGCAGCTGGCCGAGAGGAAGGAGAATGGCGGTTGATGGGTTCGAGATTTATTTTGGGGATGATGGGGATATTCTAAAATGGACTGTGGTGACGGTGGCACAACTCGAGAGTATATTAAACACCGAAATAGACTGAGTTGTATTTAGTCATATTTTAAGTGGGCGATTCCTGTGATACATGAATCGCATTCCACAAAGCTGTTACTTATTCAAAGATCGGCAGCAGGGATCCCATCGAAGCCAGTTCCTGTGCCCCTCCAGGCCCCCCCAGAACCTCCCCGTTGTCTGTTGGAGGAGACAGATGGGCACAGGCAACTCCTTCGGGGGAGTCTGACAGATCAGGGAGAAAGGACAGACTCTTCCCAAAAGTTGAAAAAGAAGGACGACTTCCAGCTCATTCTGTGGGGCCAGCATCACCCCGATCCCGAAGCTGAGGACATGACAAGAAAACCATAGGCCGACGTCCTAATGGCAAAATAATGTTGCGTGAAAGAAACCAGACCTCCAAAACACGTTTGCTGTGCGTTCCGTTGGTACAAAGTTCTAGAAAATGAAACACCGCGCTGTAGGGGGTGGGGGGGGGAGCATCTGTTTGCGCCCTGGAGACCGGATGGGGGCGGGTTACGCATGCGCACGGCGACTTCCGGCGCCTTCAGCGTGCTCTCCAGCGGGGTTGCGTGGGCAGTTGCCTGACTGGATACGTGTGTTGAAACGCATTGGTTTACAGGTTTTAAACGTGTGTGTTTTTTCTACATCTGCAAGGCCGCAGTGAACCTGTTAGAAAGTGCACCGTGGGAGGTGCCAGACCAGGGCATGTCCCTGGGTAGCAGGGTTGTAAACCGCCTGTGTGTCAGGGATGGGCTGTGTCTGCTCCTCAAGTAGATGGGGAAAGGGCTGGGAAAGGGTGTTCCAGGCCAAAGAGTGGCGGTCCGAGAGCCTGGCACACCCAGGTCACAGGAGCTGTGTGCGGTGGCATGATCTCAGAGCTCCAGGTGAGGGCCCGGCCAGAGGTCGGGCTGGAGGGGGTGGCAGGGCCGCTGCCCACCGCCAAAGCAGCAGGTTCGTCACAGCCTGGTGTGCAGGAGACCGGTCAGGAACCGATTTGCAGGATGGTGACCACAGATTGCCCGTCCTGCCGCTGCCCACACAGTGGGCGGATATTTTTACATCCCAAACAAAGTGCTTTGGTGGAAGGTTGGGAGCTTCCTGCTGAGTCCGCTCACCAGCTGATGAGGTTTTGGGCCCAGCTAATTCTCACCCTAGCCATCACTTGAGTTGGAAAGCATTCGAAACCCGTACGTGGAAGGAAGCAGGTCGGATGCGGGTGACTCATGAGCGAGCCCTTCATCAGCACCAGGGGAATTCTGATCTTTTTCTCGGGGACAAGGGGAACCATGACCAGAGTGTGCAGGAACCGGAAATAGGCAGGTCTTCCTGGCCGGTGCCACGCTGCTTGGAGCTGTCCGCCATTAGGGCGTGGCAAAGCCCCATTCTGAGCTTAACTTTATTATATTTTTTCTCTGAGTTAAAAGTAGCTTATGTGGTTTTCTTCTGAATTTTGTCACGGAGTTTGCAAAGAGCAGTGAGAAGCAAAGGCCGTATTCAGAGCAGGTGTATCTGTTACCTGTTGTTGCGTAACACCACCCCAAACTTCGAGGATTAACAAAACGTTTAGTATCCCACACAATTTGTGTAGGTCAGGAACTCTTAGCGGGTCTGGCTCAGGGTCTCCGGAGGTTGCAGTTAAAGTGTCGGCGGGGGTCGGGCCTCACGTGGGGTGGCTGGGCGACCTCCACAGGGAAGCCGGCTTCCCCCAGATCGGGCGGGTGGTGGGGTCTGGCAAGTGGGTGAAGGCGACGGGGAAAGAGAGGGAGGGAAAGTCAAGGCTACCACCGCGGTCTCTCAATTCAGAACATGGTATCTCATTTCAGGGACCAGCAATGAGGGCCCCTCGGGATGTGACGGACGGCTCCAGGGTCGGCCTCCAAAAAGAAGATGGGGTGACTCCATTAGGTGAGCAGCTGACCCCTTTCTTGCACTGCCGGTTTTTTCCCCAGCCCAAGGTGGGGTCCCTGGCCTGCCTGTCACTCATTTGTTCAGTGAGCATCCCCGGCGTGCCTGCTGTGTGCCAGACCCTGCCAGGGGCCCCAGGGGCTGGAGATGAATTCAGTGCTTCCACCATGGAGGGCAGAGTAGGGGGCGGGCAGGCCGGACAGCAGCGCTCGGGACGCATGAGCCAGGCCTGGCTCTGGCCAGCGAGCTGAAATCCCACCGCACGCCCCTCACATGTGTTGCTGCAGACATGCTACGGAAATAAGGTAGCTCACCCGAGATCAGGTGCCAATAGAGCTGGGGTTGTGCTGGGCAGGCTGACCCCAGACCTTTGCACCCACACTCTCAGCTAGTTGCACAATGTCCCCAAGTCACAGCTCCTCGGCTCCGACTGAGTCCTGCTGTTCCCGATCCGGGTGCTGTGGCCAGGGGAGCAGCCCCTGGCCCCAAGTGCACAGGCCTGGCGAGCATACCCAGGGGGTGGGGGGTTGGGAACGGAACCAGCCTCGTCAGGATCACACGCCTGAGGGTGAGGAAGGGAAATGAGGTTGAGCCTTGTCAAAGGAGGGAGACAGAGTAGGTGTCTACCACGGGGTGATGAAGAGTCTGGTGGTCGGTGTGGAACCGAGTCCTGGGAGCTCAGGTGCAATGCTTCAGGTGGGAGAGGGCCTAAGCCCAGAATGGAGCAGCTTGAGGGTCATCTCAAGGTCGAATGTGGGGACAGCAGGATGGAGGCCACAAAGAGGGAGGGGTCTGGGGAGAATGGGGGTCACGGGAAGGACAGGGACCTGGGGAGGAAGGGGTGTCACAGGAAGAATGGGGGTCATGGGGAAGACGGGGACCCAGGGAGAATGGAGGACAGGGGCCGGTGGTTCTTCCTGGGAGTCCATCGTCTCAGGGAAACCACTGGAAACATCATCGAAAAGGCAGAGATGGAGGAACCACAACGTGCAGGCTGCTGTGGGCCTGGGGGAAGGGGGCCGCGACTCGGGTGGGAATTCGGGGCTGTTCCTGTGGTGGGATGGGGTGGGACTGGGCAGGCCCCCCTTGGTGTGCATCGGGGACAGTGATGTGGGCCCGCTGCTGCCGGACATCTGAGGACAAGGGGAGATGCTGCAGGTGAAGTGCCTGGCACTGCCCCAGGCACACAGGGACGGGCAGTGCATGTTAGCCACTGTTGTTTTCATCATGCCCGCCCTTGCATAAGAGAGCAAAGGCAGCTTGCCTCTTTGGAGTTCGTAGAGTGGTTTGAACAACTGGAGAAAGGAAACGAGGCTCATGCCCGCCCAGTCAGACACTTGCCCACCCCTTGTACATCACCCAGCCAACCACCCAACCAGCCACCTCCCCACCCATCCCCTCTTGGATGTTTATTCACTAACTACCCCTTTTCCCCTCCATCCATCCACCTGATGACCTGCCATTCATCCCTCACTTCTCTCTTCCACCCTCTTCTGTGACCTGTGCCATGTTCCCATTCTCCCATCCCCCCTCACCCATGCACCCATCTGTGTGGTGGGCATTCACTCTGCACCAGGCGCTGCTGTGGAGGTCACAGGGATGAGTGAGAAGCCCACCCCAATGCACCTTGAAGTTGAGCACCCCCACCCCCTCCATCCTGCCTCAGCCCGGCTCTGCCCTCTCTGCCTCACGTGGCGCCCCCGCCCTGACTGCGCCTTTGCCCGGCAGGAGATGCTGCCCCAGGGACTGAGGAGCCGGCCATGGGGGACGCCCAGGCCACACGCCCCTACAAGCAGGAGCCGGGCAGCCCCCAGCTGGACCCGCCGGCCTTGCCTGCGCCTGGCCTGCCCACCTGCCTGGCCTCTGCAGGCACCGTGTCCTGCCCGGAGTGCGGCAAGGCCTCCCTGAAGCCTGCGCACCTGCTGCGCCACCGGCAGAGCCACTCGAGCGAGAAGCCGCACGCCTGCCCCGAGTGCGGCAAGGCCTTCCGGCGGAAGGAGCACCTGCGGCGGCACCGCGGCACGCACCCCAGCATCCCCGGGCCAGCCCTGCGCCCGCTGCCCGCCCGCGAGAAGCCGCACGCCTGCTGTGAGTGCGGCAAAACCTTCTACTGGCGCGAGCACCTGGTGCGCCACCGCAAGACACACTCGGGCGCGCGGCCATTCGCCTGCTGGGAGTGCGGCAAGGGCTTTGGGCGCCGGGAGCACGTGCTGCGCCACCAGCGCATCCATGGCCGCGCGGCCAGTGCCACGGGCACACCCGGCGCGCCGGGGCCCGAGGGCGGGGGGCCCTTCCCGCCATGGCCCCTGGGGTAGCTGTCTATCTCCAGGACCTGCTCCTCGCCTCTCCTTTCCCTTGTTTAAACCTCAAGTGTCCAATGCCCCAGTTCTCAGTTCCTTCCTAGTTTTTTCTGTGCTGAACTTCATTTTCTGGTTCAGCTCCCCTTCTTCCAACCCTCCCGACCTCCCATCCAGTCCCACCCTGTGAAAGGTGCTTCCACACTGTACCCTCCTCTCCCCGCCGCCTCTTCTCTCCACCTGCCCTGTACCCAGGGAGGGCAGAAAGGTGGGCCGGGAGCCACAAAGAGGAGCAGCAGGCAGGCTCCTGGGTGGAGAGGAGGCTGAAGACAGGGGCTAGGTCTTGTTCCTAGGAGACCCCCACAGGGCAGATTGGGGGGCAAGGGAGGGGTCTGGCTGTGGGCTTCTTGGTCTCCCTCCTCCCTGTGCCCCAGGAAAGTAGATGGACAGAGATGCCTGCTCTGGGGGGGGGGGGGGCACGTTGGAAGCGATGATTCACCAGCATCTGCAGAGCAATAAAGTCACTGATGAGGTGCACAGCCAGAGTCCCAGGTTCTGTCGTGGGGCCGCTCTCCAGGGCCGTCTCTGGGGAGAGGTTCTCTGGAACTCCCCAGCTGGGAGAGGCCCTGGGAGCCTGGGCTCAGCCCTGGGGTAGCAGTTCCTGCCGAGTCTGGAGGGGACCCCATGGGAGGTGAATTCTCACTCGTTTCTGTGCAGCAGAAGATGGGCCTGCACGTTCTGTATCAAACCTGCCCAGGGCCCTAGGAGCAGTCAGCAGCGTCTGTCTCACAGAGGCAGGGACAAGGGCCGGGGAAGGGACCTGGCTCGGGGCCAAGCCTGCTCAGGTGCCAGTCTCGACCCCTCTTGGCTGCATAACCTTAGGTCACACTCCTCTCTGAGTCTGCTCCTACCTCCATAACTAACCAACAGTACCCACGTCTCTTACTAAGACTTAATTGGGTTATGTCATCCCCATTTTGTAGGGGACTGCCCCCAAGTATCACTGTCAGCAGGTCTCCCAGGTGGCCTGTTTTGTCAGGAGAGGAGTCTAGTCGCCTGGGGTTGGGGTACAAGCCTAGTGGTCATGTGTCAGGGGCCCTGTAAGGGGGCGTGTGAGACTGGTGGTGGTTTTCTCTTGAGTGCAGACCGGTGGCATCACCCCATGCCCTCAGTTCAAAATGTCCTGAGGCCCAGGGCCTGTCCTCCCCCAGGAGTTGCTGGTATTTCTGGCAAGTAAAACCCAGGCCAAGGGCCATGCCCTAGCTGCAAGGGAGTCTGGGAAAGCAAGTAGCTGACTCTTGAGTGTGTACAGCAGCGACTGGCCCCTTTTCAAGACCCACAAAGTGGGAAAGTGCCCAAGCAGCAAACTGTGTGGGTGCCAGGCCAGCTCAAGGAAAGGGTTCCCTGGGCAAGTCCCTGGCCTTAGTGTCCCCTTGCAAGACAGCTAATAAGGGTCCTTTCTGAACAGGGTCCAGGCTTGGGAATTCAGCGAGGGAATGAGCGCAAAATGCCTAGCATGGCCTGGTCCAGCATGAGCACCCACAGGTGCTGTGGGAGGTCCCTGTAACCGTGCCTGCTGTCTAGCAGAAGAGACTTGCTTGGAGAAGATATGTCATCAGCTGCAGTACCTCAAGATATGGCTGTGGCAGGGGGGTGGGACGCATGAGGCCAGGCCGGGCTCTGGAAGGGGTTCTGATGAAAACAGCGGAACTGGTGTCTCCTGTGGGCCAGGTCCTCTTTCCAGGGCTTCACTAACTCAGTCATAACAAAGGGCACCAGCGCTGTTACCCTTAAACAGACCAGAAAACAGGCACAGAGAGAGAGGAAGTGGCCAGGCTGCTGGTGTTGAAAGCCTGGGCTGTGGTTCTGTCAGCTGGGTTGCTTCTGTAGTGAGGAGGAGCCAGACTGGTGCCTACAGGAGTCTTCACAGGAACCAGCAAGTGGCCAGAGGCTCCGGATGGGGCCGTGGCGATGGTGTCCTCTCTGTTCCAACTCTCTGGGGTCTGGACCCCGAGGAGGTGAGCTGAGTTTTCCCATCTCCTCTCTGGCTGCCACACGTACCTCATATCCCTCCCTTTGCCCAGGTACTGGGGTCAGCATCAGGTCAGGCCCCCTTCCTCTTGGTGTCTGAGGAGGTGAGTGACAGGGAAGCCCGGGCCACCTTCACTGCCTCTTACATGGGTGACTGCTCACCAGTTGGTCCACTTCCCGAATAAGCCCCGAAGCTACATCTTTCTCTTGACCTTCCTCCTCTAGGTCAAGCCATGCGTGTTGACTTGCCTGCAATAGCTTAAAACTAACCCCACAGCTTCCGAATGCTCTCACGTGGTAACACCAGGCATGAGGAAGAGACAAGGAGAGAGGCGTAGCGAATTAACGCTAAGCAAAAGTCAGCCTTCTAAGACCAGACCTCCACTGTCCAGCAGACTGGGCTGGACTTGCTCAGTGGCCGTGGCGGGGAGAGCACAGGTGTGCAAGCCTCGTGAAACCGGCACAACTCGCTGCCACCCGCATGGCCAGGTGTGAGAACCAAGAAAGCCAAAACGAAGTCCCTGTACCCCTGCACTTCTGCGCTAACTTTCTGGGGGAGGAGGAAGACAGAAAACTAACAGACGCCTAAATAACAGGGTTGCAATAGCGCTAAATCCGATTTAAAAAGTAAAGGAGCCTGTTTCCAGATCTTAACTATTGTAAATAACACTCAGTAGATGAAGGGTAAAAAAGCTGTGGTACATTTACACACGGAAAACTACGCAGCCATAAAAAAGAAGGAAGTCTTACCTTTTGTGACAGCGGGAAGGGACCTGGACAGTATTGTGCTAAGTGAAATAAGCCGGTCAGAGGAAGACAAATACCATGTGATTTCACTCGTATGTGGAATCTAAGGAACAAAATAAACAGGAACGAAATAGAACCAGAGGCATGGACACATGGAATAGACAGACAGCTGTCAGAGGGGTGGGAGTGGGGGAACTGGATAAAAGAAGGCAAAAGGATCAGCCAGCGAACATGTGCATGACCCACAGGCACAGACAACGCCGTGCTGACAGACACAGGGAAATGGGGAGACATCTACGACAGGGTCCACAGTGAAAAGTAAAGGAAGAATAGTGAAGGAGGGTGACGGGATGAAGAGGGCATTTGGGGGCGAAACGTGGAGACGGAGTAGCCAGGGAAGGCTCTGAGTGGGGGCCTGGGTGACGCCAGGACAGCAGTGCAGGGGGAGGGGACCAGCCAGGACCAAGGCCACCAGGAGGAGCAAGCCAGCCCCTGCAGACCAGGAGGGGCGTCGTGGAAGGAGGTGAGTCCTGAGCGTTTGTGAGAACGTAGTTGTATTTCTGGCGTGCTGGGAAGACGTTGGGAGGCTTCAGGCATGAGTTACATCATCTGATGTATACTTTAAAAGCAAGGTCTTGGCTGCTGAGTTGGCAGAGGTGTGAGGGCATAAGGTGCAGGTGAGCGTGAGTTAGTAGTTAGCGAAGACGCCAGCCACTTCCTCTCTCCCGGCTGAGGGTGACCTGGGAGCCAACCGTGGTCCCCAGTTCCGTGATCGATAAATGGAGAGCTGGTGACCGCTGGGAAGCATGATTGCCTGATGGTGGTGCAAAGAGGCCCCGCAGCCCAGATGCTTGGGTTTCAATCTGGTTACTTACTCATTACTCACTGTGCAATCTTGGGGAAGTGACTTAACTTCTCTGAGCCTCTGTGTTTGTCCTTGGTTAGGAACATGTGTCCTGAGCACAGCACTTGGAACGATTTTTTTAAAGATTTATTTTTAGAGGGGAGGGAAAGAGAAGGAGAAAGGGAGAGAAACATCAATGTGTGGTTGCCTTTTGCGCACCCCCTACTGGGGACCTGGCCTGCCACCCAGGCATGTGCCCTGACTGGGAATTGAACCGGCGACCCTTTGGTTCACAGGTCTGTGCTCAATCCACTGAGCCACACCAGCCAGGGCAGGATGATTACTACCAATAGGATTATGATCTTTGACAGAGGCCCCCTTCCTCACCTGCTTTACATGCAGGGTTCACCATCCTTAATTGTACTCACAACAGTTCTGTGAGGATATTGTTGTTCTTAAAAATAATCTGATGTTTTTCTTCCTCCAGTACGTGGAGGAAGCAGTAGAACATGAGGCAGATGGGGTGTCAGGCAGAGGCCTCATGTTCTGGGCCGTGTCAAGAGCCCCAGCAGGTGGCTGCCATTTGGGGCCTCGGGTCCAGTGTTTAGAGACCCTCGGACATGCGGTAGGAACATGGAAACCCAGGTCTTCATGTGAAAGGCCCCACCTCTACACCCTCGTCACTCAAATTTGCAATCAAGTGGGTGATGGGCAAGAAAAGGAGGAGGGTCTTCGTCGTGCTGGAGAACCCCCACCCAAACGATAGTACCCCCATGTCCCCTGCAGAATTCATTGCATCCCTTCATTTTGGTCTAAAATAAGGAGGCCCTGGCCTGGCCCCTCGATTGGAGCATCGTCCTGTACACTAAAAGGTTGTGGATTCGATCCCCGGGTAAACTGTACAGAGAACCCTCTTTCAAGTTTTATTGTGTGTGTACATGAGAGGAATTCTCTGGTGAAGCTTCAAAGACAAATGTGGGTCTGTGTTTTTAAATCTTAGGAGAGTTCTGTGAACACTACATCACTGGCCCACACAGAACGCGGGCGTGGGTTTTTCTAACTCAAAGGGAAGGAACATTTGAAGACATGCACGTGGCTATTGAGAGACCCCCTCCTTTATCATCACAGTCAACAATTTCCCCCAGGCCCACCTGTCCCCGAAAAGTCATGGGAGCCATAGTTGTTAGTGAAGGAAACACAGCGTGCCAAGGTCATGCAAGGCCTCGCCGCACCCCTGAGGCTGATCTGGCAGCTGTGCTGGAGGCACAGGTGTGAACAAGTCAAGCTCCTGCCCTGAGCGAGGTGCATTCTGCTTGGGTGGATACGTTCACACCGCCGTCCGGCTCCCAGATGAGAAAAAGCTGACAAAGTTCGTCACCACCGAATCAGCTTTGCAAGAAATGTTACAGAGACTACTTTAAGAGAAGGGGGGGGGGATTAAAATATGAATAATAACATGGCAATAAATACATACCTATCAATAGTTACTTTATATGTGAATGGATTAAGGGCTCCAGTCAAAAGGCATCTGGTGGCTGAATGGATAATAAAACAAGACCCTCACATATGCTGTCTGCAAGGACTCACTCTGAGTGGAAAGACACACACAGACTGACAGTAAACGGATGGAAAAGATACACAAATGGAAACAAAAAACACTGGGGTAGCAATACTTATATCAGACAAAATACACTTTAATACAGGCTGGAGAGCCCTGGCTGGTGTGGCTCAGTGGGTTGAGTGCTGGACTGCAAACCAAAGGGTTGCCAGTTTGATTCCCAGTCAGGACACAAGCGTGGGTTGTGGGCCGGGTCCCCAGTAGGGGGCGCGCGAGAGGCAATCACGCATGGAAGTTTCTCTACCTCTCTTTCTCGTTCCCTTCCCCTTTCTCTGAGAATAAATAAATAAAATATTTTAATAAGAAAAGAAACAAAGACTGGGGGAGTCGGGGTGAAGGGATTGAGCAAAAAAAAAAAGGAAAAGAAAGAACTAATGGATAACAGTGCGGTGAGT